TCCCACCAGAAAACGCCAATAGCACCTATTGACATTACGATTTGCTACGTATGGATCTGTCGCGTTAAAATTTTCTCCCAATTGTCGGTGGTTGATGAGGCGATGACAATCCTAGCTCTGATGAAACCACTTTAAGGCAAGTAAGTGGCAAGTGGATATCACCCCAACATGAAGAAAGAGGTTCAGTGGATGATTGACGCTGGAGGCACCGGAGTTAGTTGAAGCAGTTGTAACTGTTTCATGTGTGAAAGACACGTATGAACTAGTCATAAAGGCCAATCACAGAGGCCTAATTGTAGCCGCCCTAAGCTGGCCATCTGCTCAGGCGGAAGCGGCTGGGAAACGCCATAAATACCGGGTTTATTTTCAGGGGGAACGGAAGGCATTCGGTCATACAGTCCTGAGTTAGCATATCTAATGAGCATTTACATCATCACCGAAATGGGTGAGCTCTTAGACCAGGCATCTTGGTTTCGAATCCATTAATGTGTTGGAATTAATGCATGTCGTCTTTATAAGAAATGGAACTGTTGGAATATCTATATGCTTACCAATATAACCTCCGTTAAAACTTACCGGTACAATCTCAACGAAACATGCTTTCATTCTCAATTTCAACTTGGATTTTGGGCCCATGTTTAAAGGGAATATTTTGTCATCAAGATTCTTAGTACTAAGCTAATTTATTTACGATATTTATTTGATCTTTTAAATCGTTCAAATAACTTATATTTTAAGGCTCAGGAAGAGGGAGAATTAATCCGAGAACATTAAGATTACATGAAATTTTTAAATATGTTGGTTATGTATGGTGAAATGTGCCACTAGCAAGATAGAATATGCGCAGATCCTCAGGGTGGTATCCCGACTTAGAGTACTTATAAGGAGAAATTTTAAGACATACAAGCTTTCTTCTTGCAGTGCAATATTCCTTCAGCAAGCCTTCACAGAACTCATTGTACAAATTTTTGCCCCTAGACTATTCGCTCCATTTCAAGATGCACCAGTGGCATTTAATGAGCAAATACTACAGTAAAGTTTTCTCCACAGATACGTGGACCATTTGAGGCGAAAAATTCACTAATTTGTGGAAATTGGCCATGAAACTTAAGAATTATGAAGAAACTGTGCAAATGCACTGAAGCAGATCATTCACTTATGGGAGTTATAAATAATGCCAAGTAAACATTTCGGAATATTCGCGAGCACTTTTCCGCAAGTTACTAAAGAAGAGGTTCACAGATTAGGAATCACTAAAACTGAAAATTGTTTTTGAAATTTAATTCTGCCTCTTATGCCACGAAACCACACAGCTTGCCGTTTTTGAAGGTCGAACAAGCCTATTGCTCAATGTGACCCTATCTTTAACAGATTTGACATAAATCCTATTTTTAAAATGCATGAATGTAAGTCTGGCAGTGGTGACAAAAACTGATAAGCAACCGGGGGAGATTGAAACCCAACCACGAATCTGATGTCCGGTGAAATTTTCACGCCCCTGAGCAGGTAGACTGACCTCTTTACCCCGCGGTCTGGCATACAACTGTCGGATTTCACTTACGTGTAAACAAATTCGCTAAATTTTCATGCCCACATATGCGGTGAACTACTGGACATCGCCAGCCAAAAGGAGTGAAGAGCACAATGTGCTCACAGTTTGCTTAGTCAACCACAAATCGTGCCATCCATGTATCATCTGCATCAGTCAAAAAAACACGGGAAGCAGTGGGCATTTACAGTTATCTACGCAAGTAAAACACGGGCATGTTTACCCGCTTATTTATCCCCACGAATTGTCCAACCTCATAAACCTCTGTAATACTGGATTAGTGCATAAATAAGCCAACGCACCCCATCATTGTGAGGATGAACATCCCAGCATTAGTGAATAAATAAATTAGGCTGAAATTAGGGGCGAAATCACGTAATGGAAAGGAAGTAATCAGATTTTTCCGTGGTCAAAGCGTGTTGTGCCTGAAGTGATATTCATTTCAAATACGACAGTCAATACAAACTACAGAAAATGGTGATTTGCTCAAGACACGCAGGAGAGTAGAATCTCTCTCAAGGTGACTTGAATACATGCTAGTCGTTGTCAGGCCAAATGACCTTTCGTGGTCTGTCTCCTACACCAGTTGCACGTACAAATGTCCACGAATGATTCACGTTGCTAAGGCCTAGGGCGGTGAATCATGCATCAGCCCCATCGCCACCGCCCCCGCCTCTTGCATTGTCAACAGACCAAGGCCGGTTCTCAAGGTCAGAAAACAGCCACTTAAAATGTCGACCTGGGACACATTTCTACCACTAATGGAAATGCCATAGGTCCTGCGAACATTTCATATTCCTGGCCCGCTCTGGTCATACGACCTGATTAATAGATTTAATCACACTTTTAGGCTATGAACAAAGAAACTTTACCAGAGGCTGTTCATCGTAAAATCTTGACAGTGCTTACGTTTCATCGTATCCGGACCTTTTCCCAACTATAAAGTACACAAGCCACATCTAAGATATAAGATCTAGGTGCTAACTTTCTCGATGGTGCGGCTATGTAAATTTCCATTCAACGTATAAAATGGCTGTTAAAATAAGCTCAGTTAAGGTGACACTTTACTTTTGATCTGATCGCGAAGGGAATGTCGTTTTTCCCATTATCAATTTCCAGGTCCCAATGAGATTGTAAATGCGGCACCCTGAGGAAGGACTGAGTAAAAAACTGGAAATTTAGTGAGGCTGCAAACAACTTCCAGGTAAATGAGGGAGGCAAAGCAATACAACACCCCACATTGAAATAACATTCTCAAATTTATCGTGAAACACAGTGACTTACGAACTTTGCATTTTTCCGCATGGCGACATAGTCTGCTAATATGTTCTGAAACAAAATTACTTAATAAAAACATAATTTATAAGGAAGTTAGAGTGGAAATTCGACAAGAGGATAGAAGATGACTACGAATCGGATTTCTTGTCGTGATTGGGATAGCAAACAAACAAATTTGTTAAATGTAACCTCAAAATAGTTTTGCGGAACATTGTCTCAAATTGTATTTGGTTTCAAGTCAATAAGAATTGCCTCAAAGAGAGGTAGTGACTACTTTGAGGTAAGTTCAAGTAGTTACGTTTGCCAAATGACGCTTGTTTTTGCAGACTACCCAACAGAATGGTTAAAAATTGTGATAACATTAATGGGATGGATTAATATCATTAAAGTGCTTCGGTAAGCTGAACTGAGATAAGATTATTTCGTAATTTCTAAGTGCCCTAACACCGGGGTCATGTGCAACCAGCACATGACCTTCTATCAAGTCAGTCCAACCGACAGTGTTTGGTTGGATGCAGTAAAATCAATAACTGGAGCAGTAAACATTGAGATTCGAATCCAAAACCACTTTTTAAGGACCATGAACTCACCTGCTTTATCATTAAGTTAGGAAGCTTCAGCGACACGTCTTATTTGAAACCAACTACACAGGGTGAACCTTATCAGTAATGCAACTGCAACACAGGGCAGTTAGAGTCACGAATGATGGCGTTCAATTACTGTTTGTTCCTCTGCTCACAATGGTACAACAAACCAAAACCTATGTATTTGCACCCGGAAGCGGCTACAATTGCTTACAAGAGGTGACATACTAGAGGTCTGGCAGTGCCCCTAAACGCAATTCAGCGAAGGGACACAACTTTGATGGGTCATTATTTAAGATGCCTGAGTATCTCGGGGCACGGCCTTGGGGCGTTCCATTAATCAGATCTCGGCTTCATGACGTTGCGTTACTCACCCGCCATGCCAACTAGACACTTGTTGGAAGCGAAGGAAGGGGAGACCGATGGGCGCGCTTTGATGCAGTGGCGAATACCGTTGTCTTGATACGCGCGAATCCAGTGTTGGTCCAGATTGCTACCCACCTGTCCGCCCTGCAGGGGAGCCTGTTATGTTCGCCATCGACAAGGTTGACTACTATATATGACCTTCGCAGCGGCCGCCGTTGCCGCCCTTTTTACCGCTCTCGCAACCTGCAGTGAAGCTGCACGGCGGCGTGAGTCATCGGGGCGGTTGCATATCTCTAACATGCTTTGTTATCCTCTGAACACTTCCATTGGTCGTTTATTTGGCACACTGGCCCCCAGATTAACGACAAATCATTAGGATTGAGACGCCGTTTTAAGGTGTACATTTCCAGCGGGGATAAACTAGACTGTCTAACTGGTATTGTGCATCACTTAAATAGGTCCACTTAACGGAGTTTAATTTGATTGGAGGCAATCCGATGTGCTGCCAGATGCATAGTTTTATCCTGTGCTGAAGGCCTAGAGGAGAGCTGGAGCTGCAACATGGTGCCTTACACGAAAAGAGGACATATGCTGGCATGAGGTCATAAAAAACGCTGAAGAGAAGGCTATAGTGCCCTTTTGAATTTAGGGCCGGGAAAGCTAGTTAACAGGATTCGCTTAACCTCTAGAAGAATGTAGCGATAGATATAGCCGGTCCCATGAGTTGAGGATAATCTAGCCCAACTATGTAGTCAGTGTTTTAAATGAGAAAGAGGATGATTCCGTGGTTGAAATCGCCACCTGAGAGGCAACACGCTTCTAAAAGTTAGAATACGCTAAAGTTGTTTCGTTAATGTCCTATCTGTACTTATGTGTAGCATCTCGGCAGACCTTGTATTTAGTTCAAATCCCAAATTGAATGGCTAAGAAATTTTTTACCATTCCCTAAATTCATGCTTTTTCAACTGCATATATTCACATTTTGAACTTACTTTACTGATTAATTTATAAGTACGACCAGTTTTACTGGCAGAATTAGGAGGTTTAACATCATCCTATTGCAGCAGTCCAAGCAGGCAATTCTATCCAATGTGCTTTCGGAAACCCCCAAACGTAGATACGTATCCCGTGAAGATACTGCAGAAAACAAATTTACGATGCAATACTTCACGACTTTCCCTTCATTCCAGAATATTTAAATGTTGGAAAATTGGAGGAGAAGATTAGTGGATTAGAGCAATGCCAAAACATGCGCGACTATAAGCATCTGGTTTAAAGACGGTCCAGCAGAGGATTTTCGAACCATGGAGCAATACTCCATCATCCCTGATGATATCAGGAATTTTAATCGAAAATACAAAGTCACTGAAGAATGCACACATTTCACACCTACGGTGCTTTTCGAAGGGTTATAAGATTTTTTGGCAATCATTAAAAATAAACTTTATCACAATGTAGACAGTCAGATGGGGTTTAAAGAAACTAACTTCGCTTAGTGCAAAGCGATGCAAAAGGTCTAAACAGCAAGACAACGGCGATTGTGCTTCACCTCGACCGCTGAAAGCCTTTATTAATCGGTGTGGTGACTGCAAATAACCAACTAGACGAACACACGTTATCCACTGAATGGGAAGGATTCACTGCAAAATGAGATGATCTTTCATGGTTAAGTGTGCGGGGGTTGTCTGTAAGCAGGTTGTGTGTTTGACCCACCAGAGACTAGTGAAGTTGTGATGAGTCCAACCTAGTAAAATTGCGCAATCCACACGTATTTAGCAGAACTCTTTTTTAAAATATCGAGTATTTTCCTATTTTTAAATGTTGTTTACTAGATGCGGCAACCTTTTAGTACCAGTGGAAATGGAACCACTAGAACGGTCTCCTAGACATGACCGCGTGGCGACCAATGAACTTAAAATCTCTCAGATCCATCTGTTTTCCAATTTAAACACGAAAAAAAAAAAACTGTATTATCGAAATGTTTTGGAATTGGGCTAATGCCGTTAATAATCACAAATACACTGACCAGCTGAAAGAATAAAGGTGTTAAAACAATCTTAAAGGGTATGAGTATATAAGTCCGATTGCAAATTAAGTAACTTAGAATCTAACAGGAGAGCAAACGTTGGCCCCTACGAAGGACTCAAGTTGACCCCAGTATGGATTAGAAAAAGTGCATTCCCTATAAAAAAATGGACGTGCACAAACAGTTGCAATCACTGCGATGGAATGTATAAAAAGTTTGCATTATTACACTTTCTTACACTCACTACCAAAGACTAAACTGATGGATCTGCGGATAAAGAACCCCACCGATACTGGTGTTGATTAACATGCACACGCTCTTTCCCGTATAAATGTGCAGCGCCACAGTGAATTTCGAGGCGAAAGAAGATGAAATGGGACAATGTAGCCCTCTAGACTACCATCATCACTGTAATCAATGTACCGTGAGTACAAGAGATTTCCCTCCCTCCGACAACTACACTATCAAGACAATAATACGAAGCAGCCACAGAAAAGGAGCAACTGACATTGTCATTAGCGCAAAAGCGACTCGAGTGGAGAGCAAAGCACCTTGATGGGTGTTAATTTGACAAACCAATCCCAAGAATCCAAAACTGCGCATTAGAGGTTTGCACTCACATCTTCACTCCACACGCGATCCCTCCGATATCACCAAGATTGAAACGGTTCACTTCTGAAATTCAACAAAGTAATTACAGGCGAAGGGTTAGTCTTGCCACAAATTGTAATCATAAATCGGCATCAGTGGAGGGAAGTTTCATGTTCTTTGTCTTTCCGTTGATGTAAATAATATACTGAGTTCGTTTAATACACAAACCTTTTCAATACCCCACGATTCACCTTCCACAGTAACGCCAAAGAGCTAGTACCCCAGTCCTTCAGCGTGCTTATCAAAGCTCTACTTCCAGACTTACGCAGACTATGATGTTGGTACACTGCTACCAGTGCCGAATGGTTAATGAAAACCGGGCACAACAGAGAGAAGTTAGGCTCTACTCTTACACTCAGTCATAACCTTTATAAACCATTGGTTAGTATAATGGTTCCCGTGGCCAAAAATGTCAGCTGCGTGTGGATCATGACTAATTCCAATGTCGCTACCAGGTATGATCAATGCTGGTCAGGAACCAGCCAAATCCTGCCAGGTTGTGAGTGCGGCTGCGCCTTATCATTTGGCCATATTTAGGCATTCGCTAGGTTCAGGCATTTGAATTGACTTGTCTGAGCAAGGCCGCCGCGAAGGTGAATATGCCCGTGTCTCAGCCATTTGGATAATCGGTTCGCGTACATCTTTAAGATCACCTCAGGTGCCAAAATGATACCAGTGGGATGGATTGAAGAATATGGTTTCTCTCAGTGACGCTTGAAGAATCCTTATGCCTAAGTAGATTGACCGGCTAGTTAAATACACGCATACTTGATTACTGCCCTAACTTTTAGAGCTGCACCATAGTCACTAATGTCGAGCGGCCTGAAATCAACGAGTCAAAATTGTCCATATGAAAGTGACGCTGTAAAAACAGTGAACAAAGGGGAAAGCATGGCTTAAACCAGGAATGAGCCTCAAGAAAGTGGATTATTTTGTCTTGGTTTCGCTCTAGAAAGTGCTTCTACGAAAGGCAACCACATGGAATACGGCTGTTATAGAACAACGTCCAGCCTTAAGCAGCACGATTTGCTAAGAACGTGATAAATGCACTTTATCGAAGTTGACGAGATTAAATAGTGCAGCTGCATTCTGGTGTCCACTCAGTATGATGAAGGATCAACGAACAATCTTTATTCCTTCATTTCCTACAATTTATTCCCATTAATTTAGCCACTTTTGTCGCTGCCGATGCAAAGTGTCATCATGGAGAGCGAGGTCCATGTAGCAGCGTGGTACTTGCTCTATCCATTCGTGCTATTACATGGATCCTATCCACCTCTTAAGAATCCGACTCCTGGCTTAACTGTATGCTTCATCCATTTGCAAGCAAGAACTAACTGCAACTGTTTTGTGCTTGTAATCAAGAGTGGTATCTATTCATTCAATAAAAGCCGACTTTTTTGCGGTAATATCAGGCAACACACTACTTGTGGCGGCACAAGTGGCAAACATCATTCTACTTTATGCACATAGACACCCAAAAGGCCTCCACTCAGTGTGATGCCAACCGAATAGCTGGCAAACATCAGACATTACTCTAGGCAGTTTGATGTTAGCTTCAATAAAATGATGCTCGCTTAAATAATATTCAACCGCAGAGCTCGGTTGCCATGCTAATTTCACCCTATCGCCTTTATTCTAATGCACATATTCATTCAACCCTCTTGTTAGATGATAATGAACTCGTCTCCAAACCGATCTGCCTTATTAAGTGTTTATAGATGATTCAAGCGATGCACTCCGAATACACTTGGATGAATCAACTACCCCATTTTCAAGGGAAGATGCTTACCATGTTAAAGAGAAATGTATTCGGAGCCCAATTTTAAATTCATTTATATCACTAACAAGCATCGTGAGCGAAAGGTCTCAAACACGCAAGTAGACTGTTTCGGAAATAAGCAAAACACCTATAGTTAACATCAAGGTGTACTATTTTGGATATCCCAAATGCATTTCTTCAAACTAATGACGCAAAAGCACGTTGGACCAAGGAGCGCAACCATGCAGTCTAGCGCACCCCCTTGATAGGCATATATTTGGAGAATAAAGCAAGGGTGTGCAACTTTCCCGAAATTTTCACCGGTAGCAAGACCAATTCTGTAAAGCCCAGTGTTTGGCAACGCAAATCGCCCGTAGAATGGCGATTAATGCATCACTTCAAATGGAAGTTCAAGCGAAATGCACAACGATATATGACTAAGTGGTCTCAAGCAAATAGTGTCCAACCTTCTGCGTGTGTTTTAAATGTGCGCAAAATCTAGGGAACCGAATTAAATAAGCGAAATGAGACTGGTTGAAGGAGCAAAATAAACCTAAAAATTTTGTTATGCTCTCACGGGGCCTCGATAAGGGGCTTGTGCTAAGTCTCGTAACAATCGACACATGACAGCAGTCGGTGTCTACGAAAAATCACAGTATATTAGCCTAAACTGCTGAAAAATATTAGAATAAAAGTCCCATTGCAACTTCAGAGCAAAAGCAGGGAAATTGGGCGGATTTATGCACAAAATACTGACCTGGTCAGCAATAAATTTGAGTGTTTCTGGTGACAAAAGTCGACGAGTAAGATGTAAAAAAATAAGTGTATTTAAGTAGATTTACACCATGAAGTCAACAAGATCAAGTCATTAACAAACGAACAGTCGGTGACAGTGAGTTCTGTCATGGATATTCAGGAATCGCCGTCTTAAATTTTAGGGGGTAGGGATGACATAAAGACATCAGACATCTTCTTTTGAACCCTATCAGCAAGGGGGGCTACATCTGAGGCAACCATGCCGATGGTAGAAACTGAAGGCAATATAAAAATATCGCAGACACCTAAGATCTAGGACTCTCAATAGACATGTACCTCCCCTAGCCACTCTGTTAGATATGTCGAATCCAGAATATGACGCAATTACAACGGGCTGGACGGGAACCTTAAAAAAGGCAAGTTAAACAAAGTAAAGACGCGGACCTGCGCTTCCACAGCGAGGTAAAATGCGCCTTTTTTGAAGGGAAGCAAACCACTCTTTCCGTCTCCTCGAGTGCCCTCAGGAAAAATGATGACCGAAACCTTAAGAAAAACATGTAGAACTGCCAAATCCTACCTGATGCTCTTTAACAATTTTGGCTGCATTACGCAACTTATGTATACTGTCATCACGGTTCGAACGATCAATTAAAATGGCTTTAAGAAACCAGACAAGTAAGCCAAATGAAGCATAGGTTGCTATGGACCGTTTGGCTACGAATGTCGATCGCCTGGGCCACACGGGGATCAAGGCTCAAGGATAACGGTATTAGGAATACAAATACCTGGAATGTCAAGGGCACTTTGGTGATTGACTACAATGATACGTGGACCATCTGTAACTTGATTTTCTATTCCATGAACCCTATGCCGCATTCCAACAATCCAGCTAATTGTTTGCCATAAATAAATCGTATTACTAACCTAATAAAATGGTAATCAAGACCTTACTAACTATTGTAATAGCTCCGACCAGTAAAAGAATACTTAATGCAATAATAAAGAGCCCCAAGCAATAATACACATGTAGCAGCGACCAATTTTGACCAAAATTGAACTTCTCTATAAATTCCACCAAATATCCCTCGAAGCATCAATACAGGAGTCGCGTAACTTCAACTAGACCTGACCATCAGCAGTGGGTTATGAATCATATGAACTGCGAACACATTAACAATGACCTTGGTGAGCTGTGGCAACAAAGCCAATTAGCAAAAGATCATAAATCTTGTATAATGGAATAAATATAAAAACCTTCTTCTTTGTTGCATGAAGACCTCGTAGAAAGAAAAGTTTAAACAATATGGGTAGGGATCCACTCCGTATACAAATTGCCTTGCATGTTGAGGGAGGTAAATAAAGCATTGTGTCAAATTCTAACCTGGCCTTTTAAGAATAAGGTGGCTAGTCTTAGATTCAATGCATCTAAAAAGTAATCTACAGCAACTTGATTCTGCAAACTCACACACACTGGTTAACATGATTCATGAACCCACTAGTAAATCTATCCCTAAAGAAGTAAAAATGTTAGCAAAAATTTTATAAAAGTCATTAGTGAATTGTTTTTATTTAGAAGATTATTTGTTTGACATTTTATTGAAGATGAGGCATTATTTGCCGGTCTATAACAAGCAGTTAGTCAAACTTTTACTATACCTAGATCATAATTTAGAGAGAACTTTTCAAGCTGGTATACGGCTTAGTCATCATTTCAAAGACGTCCTTGTTTTAAACATTCCCGACTAACCATATTTATTGAATGCTATACGCTGTGGAAGTTCGTTTTCACTATTTTGTGTGAATAATGGATGAGTCGGAGTTTGTCGTCGTGGATGAGGAGCATAAAGAATCAGTAGAATTTGACAACCTTGCGGAAGTTGTACAGGCATATGGAGCGGCGCGCGGTAATTTACTTATTTTCATTGTTATTTCTACAGAATCCCTTCTTAAGGGTGTCACTCTGTTGCATGATACATTAAATTTAAACATGGAACTTGCCTTGAAGAATACTCCGCCCGATTTTGAATCGAACTCGGATGATCTTATGAGGCGCATACTAGGATCGGCACGTTTTTTATTGTTTGGTTAATTGAATATTTAATTCAGCTACACACTTCTTCCGAGGCTGTTCTGCGCAACCACGTGAAAAGTCTCTGTTCAAAATTGGTTGCTGTCAAGAAGGAGTACGAGGACTTGGCCAATAAGTTCGAGAGTCTGAATACACAAGGTTCACCTGAGTCTTCGGTGAGTTTTATTTTATTAGTATTGTCCTAAAAAGCCATATCATGCATGATGCTTGGCTACATTATTTTATGCAACAAAGTTAATTACGAGCTCAATCAATGGTTTATGTTGGCTGTGACCCAAGAACGGTAAACTTCGACTCGCTATCATTAGTCTATCCTACCAGATCTATGCTCTAATCAGATATTTGAAGTTTCTCTTGCACAACTTACTGCTCTACAACGTATGAATCTTATCTGAATGAATTTGTCTTCACTACGGTTTAATCAAGAATACTTTTGTCAGCATTATTTCCTTGGTGCCTGGACATTACACAAATAGTGATTGTGAACGTAAGAATGGGGGAAAATGTGGAATAATTACTGGTCATTGTTTATGTGTGAGCATCGTATCCAGTCCCATTTTTCACTAGATGAGTGGGAATAGCCAAGTAGGTTTTTATTCATGCTTGACTTTTCTTCTGCATCAAGTTTGTATTGGAGACCATTTTGGGAGCACGTTTATAGTCGAAATGCCGGTCCCTACACAGCATCGACCTTTTTGTTGCCGAGTACTTCTTAATCCATCGAAGATAAAGGGGCGGAGGGGTCTACTGAATTCCAGCCGAGGGATTATGACTTTCCTCGGCTGCAAGTTATTGCTGTGGCCATATGCATAATTGTGGGGTTAAATGCGCAGCCGACGTTCAATTGGGATGCCATTGATTCAATAGATTCGCACTAATGCACTTACACGCATAAGTTGTTGCCGCGACTGCGCTACTACCGGTAGCTCCACGGTATCGAAACTCGGTTACCGTGGCGAGCATCCCTGACACTGTGGTTAAAAGAAGTTGAGCTAGCTCATTTATTCTTTTTGGTCTCCCTCTCTTAGGCTAAACTCGTACATCTGGCTGGTGTCTTTGACCAAATCGACGCCCTTCTTCCGCCCTCTTGGTGAGTCTTACTGAACGCCTAGAAATCGTAACCCCTTACAATACCGTTTCTTAGCAATAGTGCCTTTTTGCTGAGAATATTCACGTGATGAAAGACAGTAAGTTGAAACGTGGATGGAATTTTGTTTCACTTTTTAGGCATACACATTGAATAGTTTTGGGTCGCTGTTTTTAAAGTTTTTGACGGGACTCAAATGAGTCGGTTGATTTGTGCTGTTTCTTTTCGATGCAAATGTATCTAGTAGATACTACTGTTAGAAGGCAAAGCAATTGGAGATTAATTGTCGTGTCACGTGTGAGTGTGGAAATAAAATATTTGTTTTTGCTTTTTGTTAGATTAGCTTGTTTCAGTGTGGAAGACACAAGATTGAAGAACTTTGATGATGTGTTTTATGTCGAGATGTCAGATAAGAACTACAGTTTTAGCCTGTGTTATTGCTATCGATTATGCTGCCTCATATACCCTTGTTTGCAAAGTAGGCGTCCCCTCGTTCTTTAGTTTTAGTCGGTGCATCCTAGTAATCGCATGACTCTTCTTCGAAGTCAAAGATGGCAGAGGTGATTGAATTAGGCACATGTAAGGGTGTTACATGCAGAGTTCTCTTGTAACTTTTTTCAACAACGTGCATGTCCTCTGACGCTATCGTCGTTGAGTTCATAGCATTGGCATCGCCACTGCGTCCAGAAGTTTATGTGACTTTTAGGCGGTTGTGTTGTACAATCCCCTTCACCTGCCTCCTACTTTTGTTCAGCGGGATGGTATTTAGATCGCACTGCTGGAGATATTTACTGGCGCCTTACCAGAACTTGGCCATGGGCCTATAAATGTGAAAATGACATGGGTGGGCATCAGCACTACGTGCGTGTACAATCGCGTTTCATTGATGTATGGCAGCTTATCGTCGATCATTTAAAGAAACAAATTCACGGATCACCTATTCTTACATTTCTACGTTTGTATGATCCAACACTTCAATAATTTAGTTTTCAGATAGGCAGTGAAGTTGTCATAATCATCTATTCTGAATCTTCTGTTGTCACGTTACACCCCTTTTACTTTGAAAATCATTCATATGCGTATCTAAAATTGATTTAGACCATTAAGTCATCACTGTTTTTTATAGTATCTCTTGCTCATACCTGGGGTCTGTTAAGTGCCTTTTTTAAATGTGGATGTCAGCTGAAACAAATAAATATCTTTGGGGTTATTTCGTCAGTTACTTTACTACAAAACTTTTGCTTGATCGGACTTGTTTTCTGAGCGATTTAATCACCCAAGTTTATCATGTGTTGCGACAAAATTAACGATAATTTATTGTCAGTAGGATAACATTTACTTCCTCAAAGCCTGTCCTCAGCAGCTAGTTTTAGCAAAACTCTGGCTCACTGCTAGTCCAACTTATTGAGTCAAATTAGGGTCGGTTGATAGTAAACCAATAAGCATCTCGGACTTGCCTTCTGTATTACTGCTATTTTTTAAGTAGACTTTTTCATTTACCATTTCGATGTTCCCGTCACAAGTAGCTGCCACTTCTTTCGACTGTCGTGTAAAATAATTAGTTGAATGTTAGCTAGCCCTCAGCAAATTTAATAACAAAGTACCTAGGAATAATTGTTATTTTGAGCTCCAAGTCCCAAGTAACGGCGAAGGCTAGAGTGGTGGATGAAAGGGACCGTGAAGTTTTTGAAAAGATTCGAGGGTGACTATTTTCCAGTGCTTTGCTTTTAACACTGTAATGGGAACCACATCGGGGAAGGAGTGTTTTGGTCAGCTTTTTCATACAGAGCAACTGTGTCTTTGGAGGTGATTATGTTTAATAAAGCAGACAGCAATATCTTGATTCCCCTTACTCTAGTGATACACCTGTTTCATGATGAATATGCCCTAAAATTACATCGATTTTGAGGTCTAATTGTAAAATAGCAACAAATTCTAGTATGGTAGACCGAATCAACTACGCATTTTCCGCAAAGGATCCGGACGAGATTTTCCGCTGGTATTTTTTATTAACGATGCACAATTCTGCCTCTAGGAACTTATTATTTTTGACCGCCTTTATTCTTCCCAGAGTAACAGTTTTTAAAAGATAGTGTCTTTTGGGAAGGTTTGTTGTTTAATTGTTTCTGTTTGCCTCCGATTGTTAGTGATGCTTCTACCGTCGGACCGAGCAAGACCGCTCCCACCGCTGATGTGGAAGAGTTGTGCACTCGCGCAGAGATCATTCGGGATCGTGTGAAGCTGGTTATGGAGGCGCGACTCGGATCTACCTCTGGTTCGTCTCCACCGTTGCCCTTTTTCACATTTTTATCCCACGGCTGCTATCCGGTCCATCAAGACTTCGATCAGCTTGCGAGTACACCCTACAGGCACACCACTTTTGCTCTCTTTCGTGGTCCTAGTCGGAACAAGATTGCCGTGCTATCTCGGTTGCTTGCTCCATTTGCGATTGTTCGGCGTTGCGCGATCACTTGCCCGCCCACCCACTCGTACGCGTGTGTGGACAACTACTTAACGCGCCACTTTAGCACTCATTGGTTCCTCCTAAGAAGCAGCAGTTCACATAACTGCGTATTTGCAGTGACCCTACATGTCGTAAAGGCCACACATTGCTACCATTAGTACCACTCTTACTACGCTCTACGCAGCACCTTTGGGTAGTGGGCTTTTACTCTCAAACTAAAACCTACCTAATTCTTATCCACAGACTTGGGCCAACCAGAACAGCGTGACAGACCAGGTATGGGTTTTTGCGATCACCCTTCTCAGTAATGCTCTTCCTCACTTCAAATGTATTAGCCGTTTCATTTCCTCATGATGCAGATTTGGAGTCAAATACTTCTTCATCACCAAAGGCGGAGTCAAATATGGATGTAAGTTATTCTCTTCATTTAATACTTCAAAATATTACCAGACACTTTTTTGCTGCATTACTTAGAGATGATTAGATCCAATACATGTAAATATTAGAAGCTTAGGCTTTTTTTTACAAAAGTTAGCGTTGAACTGCTGTTTTTTGGAAAGCTTACCGCTTGTTTTCCCTTTCAAACATTTCCACGAACCGCATGATCTTTTTGTGTCGTACTGCATGCATCCAGTACTTTTTTTCACCGCACCTGCCTAGTTTGAATCTGATCCGTAAGACCTCTAGCGAGGTTTCGCTGTACCACTCGCAGTACCCTCAGCATGCCATTCCCCCACCCCACTACTACCACCGTCTGCAACAGTACCAGCAATATCGACACCAATCTCACCATGTTGACTGCGAACAGCAGTCCCAACAGCTTCCACTTCGGCCTGCTGCCACTGCCACTACCGTCACCTACCGACACGATCCTCACATTGTCAGTAGTGCTCGTCATAGTCTTGTCATCGATGATGACCTCCGTCTACCTGTTGGACATGTGCAGCGCCTTAAAAAGAAACTCAGTGCCTCTCTTACTGCAAGTGGGTCCGACCACGTACCGAGTGACCTCCGTGCCATTCCGCGGCAAATTCCCGGGGCCAAGGAACTCTTTGGCGCTTCCACATCTCCATCCAAGCCCACGATACTGTCTTCCTCGGGCGCGAAGCCATCATCATTACTGACGCAGCGGCAGTTACCTCCACTGTCGCCAAGGAGGCAGTCAACAAAAGATGAGATTGTCTCGCTGCAGAAGAATGTGGCCTCCTTGGCGGCGGCTGCAGCTCTTCAGCGCAACGTGTCAGTACGAGCCAAGGAGGTAATCATTGACGGTTGTGGCGGTAGCGGTGGCAAAGGTGGTATCAAAGTTAGTGGCCGAGATCTTGCGGTGTCGAGATCGGTTGCTGTCGGCTTCGTCCCGCCTTTGTTGCCTAAGCCCTCAATATCAGTTCAAACTCAGACAGAGCCGTTTGGCGCTTGCCCTTGGTGGATGATGCTAGAGGCCCCTGGATGGCGGCAGAGCTCTATGTCCTCTGCCACCTCATCAGGCATTGGAATGGATGATGGGAGCAACTTTCAGGATGACTTCTCCTCGGTCTCAAAGACTTGTTTCGTCTGTTGCAAGCATAGTGCTGTGATGGTTGGTGCTGGTGCCACTAACCGTCCTCAGTCTGGGTCTAATTCTTTCTATCCGGCTCCCGACTTACTCCAAGAGGTAGCTCAAGCGAATGACCAGTCAAAACTCTTGCATCTGCTTAAACTAATTCAATCAGTCTGTTGTGTTCGCCACTTACTCCCATTGATTGTTTAAAACAGTTGCTGACATGGTCGAGTCGAACATGTTCTCTGTCTTGGTAATTTCTATTGGCTACATCATTCATGAGTACGGACATTTTGTCTGCTGTTATGTAGTTACCTTTATGCGAGCATGATCCTGCGCCACTAGCAAGTCAATCTGAAGCGTTTAAGCATTATTTTTTTGCATCGTTAAGTTGCATGTGTTACTCTTTCTGCCTTTTTTTAGATAAGTCGAATGATCAGAGAGGAAGTTACATCCGTGTTTCAATCAGAGATGGGCAATATCATGGAACGTCAGAGGGACCTTATCCAACAAGTTCTTAAGCCACTTACGGAGGGCAAACGGAAGGAGGATCATGCCCAGTTTCCAGCCGACGGATTTCTTGATAGTACGGAGGGAGACAAATCGCATTCCGCGTCATTTTCCCCGGTAAAATGGGCTTGCCACATCTCACATTGCCTTTAAGGGTTTCTAAAAGCTTGTAACCAAAAACCCCTATGTGAGGAACTGACAATCGCTATTTAGCGGAGATCGGCTAATTCTTGGGTTATAGTGGATCTTCTTACTCTTGTAAATTGATTTTTTTAGAACTAGGTAGTATTATTTTACCCAAACAAGAATGCATTTAATTTGATCTATGATATTAGCCTCTGTAAAATGGAGAGATTTTCGTGTTTACTTAAGGAGTAATTCTATATTTGTCCGACTTTTTTTAAAAAAGCAATTAATTGCTTCCGTAATATTGCAACTGATATCATTGTGTTCCTGTAATTGATCTTGATGTTCAGCTTCAACTGGTGCCTTTGTTAATAAAAAGGCAAAATGATGTTTTCCATTAATTGTCTGATTTGGCCATGAATTACGCTCGATGGGAGTTGCTAAACGCCTTGATTATTTCAGCACGTTATGACCTTCCTACTATTCTCTGTATCGAGAAAATATTTACTCATACCTGAAATTACTAAATTTTTTCCCTTTAGAAGCCTTCTACAACCTCACCATCGTACCTAGGGCCTTATGCAAATGAGGTAGGAACTCATTTAGTTTACTCCTTGTGTAGTATCTGTATCCCCCGGATATTACAATAACTTTCTATGCTATTTTTGCACATCCACTATTGAATGCCACTCATATGCACTGTCAAACTGAATCAAGGTATTATTTAGATGAGTAAATATGACACCTGAAGGAGACACTTTTGAATGTGGAGGAAAACCCCTACTAGGATTTTGGCTACTTTTGAATTAAAATGTTTTTGCTTTTTTCTGTCAGGATGTCGTGGTAATAGAAGTTAGGGAGAAATCCACTCAACCACCACTTCAAAATCCTGGTGATGCTTCGAGTAGCGTGACCCAGCCCATGGTATGTCCCATCTATCCTCTATCCCTACAAGCCTCCAGTCTAAATGGTAACACCATTTTGTTTTGCAGCTTTTGCCAGTGCCACATCGGTTAGTAAAGCGTTTTGTTCCTCCAGTTCCGATAGTATGTCCACAGCTTCTACCATCCGGTCTCATGGTAATAACCTCGATAGCCTATTTGCCTTTTCTCTGTGTTCTTATCCATGCCATAGTTAGGAGTCATCGTCCCATCCCTGCATAATTTTCTTTTCCGCGCACATTGCAATCTTTCATTACAAGCCCTAACTACTTGCTGTTGAAATGGACTGGGCTAAAGTGCTCTTGACGCATTGCTCAATTGTTTGTGATGGGAACAGGTCCCATATTCCCAGGAGCCGTTTCGAACTGTTCCTTCAGATCTGACCGGTAAAAATCTAGTTAACGACACCGAAATGAGGCCTCAAGCTAAAAGGATATCGTGTGATCTCAGTCCTCAGGTCATTCCACTTAAATATGGAATGATTTGGGATGGTATTCGTTTAAAACAGATTTAGGGATGACCTCTCCTTTAAGTGCAAGATCAAGCCTAATTTTGGTAACTACAATGGTATATGGAAAGCCAGGCTAATCCGATTCAGGTGTAAGCTATAACAATTTTGTGTTACTGCCGTATTTTCAAGTCAGATTCACGTCTCTGAGTGAGAGACAACCCATCGACTTTGGCCTTGTGGAATGCCATTTATTGGATCAGACAGCGTCTGTTTTTTAACTTGCCTCTTTAAGTTCCCCTAAAAGCTGCTTTTTTTGCCTTTAGTCCTCTTCTCAAAGCCAACCCGGACCCAGTCGTAGACAAAAGCCCAGCTTTCTACCCGATGATGTGAGCATTTATTGCCTTCTTTATTGCGTATTTTCTTGGTTTAATAGGCTTAGATTCGATTAAAAACTAGAGCAACATCTAGTACATGATTGTTGTGAATCAGAAATAGGTCTTTTTGGAGGTCATGCTGATAATGACTTGAGCCTTTTTATGCGATCAAGAAGGTAGCTTCCAGGTCATTTAAAATGGTCATTACTTCGCTTGCCTCCAACCCGGTGGATGCCTACTCTAGGGAGGCCGAGCCTTGTTACCAAGGCCTGCTGCGACGGATGAATTTCTTCACGATTGAGGAGCATACCCCCCACTAGGAGTTGATATACCGTTTTTCCATTTTTTATTAGTCTTTTGGCCGCAAATACCAACCTATTTTCGTTCATTGACCCCCACAGGGTTAGGTTTCTCAGGTCACACCTTTTCCTCCCTTTTACAGGAGACACCAGTCTGTCCCAAATGCCAAATTTGGCTGCCGGACAGAGACGCTCTGGAGATACATCTCGATACTTGCTTACAATGAGTTATCAGCTACCGTGCGTGTCATAGCTCGCCTCATCTTTTAGATTGAACCGAATGCTCCTCTCCTCTTATCCCAACATTACATTTATTTTTTGCGTCCCTCATGTTTTCACCGACCTTCCCACTATTGTTGTTGACATTACTACCAGCCCGTTTATTTCTATTCACAAATCACGAAACCATTGTTCCATACAACTTTCAAAAGGCCTTACTGGTGGATTAAGCGGGTCTCAGCACGACTAGGGGATCTCAGGCAGAGAATATGGGAGGGACAGGATTGAAGGGGAATTAAAATTTTCAAGATCATCTGCAACTATTAATGATGGATGGAGGATCGTCATGCATGGTGTGGAGGTGGTAAACCTCCGATCAGATGTGCATTTGCGGATTCGTAAACTACCATGTGTCTGCTTCGTGCACGTTTCCTAACTTCATTCAGAGGTTATGGATTCCAACATGCTTAAATGGATGAGATGGGATGCAATTCTCAGTAGGGGTAAGCGTGTCCCGCGTGAACGAAATTGAGGCCTACCCAGCAGCAGAACGGGGGAACAGCGGGACTTGGTAATGGGTCACAAATGCTAAAATAACAATGCGATATGACCTCCGTTTTACGGACATTGACGGCGTGGGGCCCGCTGTCGCGTCATTAGTTTAGTTTTAATGAGTCGAATTACTATGAGAAAACAACGGTACGAAGTACAACAGCACCAAAGGTCTAGGAAATGGGCATTATCTGAGAAGTGTCTGGATTTATTCCTAGGGGCTTCAAAACTTGTATTCTGTTAAAAAAGTGTAGATTTTATAACTCAGCAGTGCAGGGTTTTGCAAATGCCTACCAGCTCCAGAGGCCAGGTCTATCAATGGTTGGATTCGATCCGAGGGATTACGCAGATGAAAGCAGGATTTGATGATACAGACTACTTTGTCTAAAAAAGTGCGCCTGCTTCAGCATTTACAGGGCTCTAGTCGCATGAAGCAGTCGACAAGTGCCCTATTGCGGTGGTGGATACAAAAGTCCCCAAAACTAGTACCGTCAGTTTTTTGTATCGGGACTGAAGTGACTTCCGGCACGTTCAGTTTAACATTTTGCACTGCTGGTAAAAAACCCATTTGTCGCGACCAAAAGACTGAATCTGCAAAGCCCCCAAGCTCATCTACGTACGAGGCGCGCATGCATTTAGACAAACGTGGCTATACAAACAAACACCGAATAAATCAATTGGTAGTAAGGTAAATAAAAATGGTCCCGTAATGGTTTAGATATAAGATATGGACAAATTTCAATGGGTCGCCAGCAGAACGACAAAAATTCTGTTAAAAACCCCGAAATCTATGAATTTTGAAGGATGTTGGAAGAAAAAATTCAAATGCTACCAATATGACTCTCGCAACTTTTTATTCGGGGCATCAACGTGCACAAGCAGCAAAGATATTCACAAATTTGCCTTTAATATAATCGAATATGACTATGGATTTTTAAAGAGCTGATTATATAATGTCATAGAGTGAAAATATTTTTATGGAATAAAAAGGGCCCAAGTATGTTCGGTCTTTGGTGAGTTTAACTGGTAACTGCTTCAATGCTTTATTTGCCATTTGTTTATACGAGGTATGTGGTCCGGGTTCTGTTAGTTTTGAAGCCTTGGTGCTCTGCCTTTTGTGCAATGAAGCTGATAGATTTTATAAAATTACAGAACGCTGGTATCTGTTGCTTATGCACAGAGTCTTTAAAGTCGGAGAACGCGACACCCTCTTGTTGCGAACATAGCTTTCATGTCGACTGCCTTAAAAAATGGACGGAGGAACACAAATCAGAGAGCCATTGTAGATGTCCCATCGTAACTTGTGGTCGCATTTATACAGCCATAAGCGTTCGAGGCTCTATTGGTGGGCCAATACGAGAGAACATTTCACTTGCTGTTGACAATCAGTGTCCCATTTGTTGTGAAGAAATCCAGCCGCCTGTAGCGATTCCGGAGTCTTGTAACCACCAATTTTGCGTCACCTGCCTAAGTGAATGGGCTAAGGTTCGGCATGAGTGTCCCCTTGATCGTGGCCCCTTTGAACTGATGCTCCTATCTTCATACATTGGTGGACCGATCGTTGAGCGGGTATGATTCGCTTTGGTGTTTGATAAATTTTTGATGTCATCTTATTGCGTCCAACAGTTTATTCCCCTCTAGGTGTTAGTATTGATTCACTTAACATTTACATTGTCCTTTGCAGTAAGTTTGCAGACTGGTTCTAGTGGTGTTCTTTTAACGGGTCACTCACTTTAAGCTTGTTATAAGGATTTGTACATTATAACGGATAATTAAGTTCTCATCTTAAGCCTTAGTCGTTCTTTCAAGTCTGATGTGGGTTTCATGTTTTTCGAATATTCCAGCGGCCCCCTCCACCCGCTTTCGTGCCACCACCGGAGGAGGAGGATACCACCGAATGTGAAATTTGCCATTCACCAGAAGATGAGGCGTACCTGCTTCTGTGTGATGGCTGTGACAAAGGATATCACACGTACTGCTTGCCCAATCCCCTTTCTGAAATCCCAGAAGGAGACTGGTTCTGCCCCGATTGTGAATGCGAACGCGTTCAAACGCAGCAAGGGGCGAATTCAGTAGCTACCATACACCCTCGGCGCAGTGGACGCCGATTACGATTCCGCCATTCACTTGCCGACCTCTCGGCAGAGGAGATCAGTAGTTTGGAAGAGTCTGAAGGCGGTGAGGAGGAGGAGGATGTGGAGGGCTTGGGCTCCTGTTTGTACCTCTCCACCCAGTCTCAGGAGCGTCTTGCTCACATCGCGGAACGACGTCATCGGGGCACGGGTCTGTTGCGTGATCTCATCGAACACCTCTCAGTCAGAGCTGAGAGGGAACAACAAGAGAGACGTCGCAATCGGAGACTGCGTCAGAGGCGACGTGTCCGTTTGGCGATATCCTTCAGTGAACCATCACTTTCGGCACAAAATGTCACTTCATCGCCTTCAGTGAGCTATCTTAATTTCTTACAGTTTTGAGAAAGGGGATTTAAACTTATATGGCACTGCAAGAATTCATGTGAATTGTATTCTAATATACCTGCGTTGGTTGAGTGAATCATTCGAATTTTGGCCCTTTCGGATATTTTAAACTTTTGCATCGTATTTACACTAGTTGTCATTTATTGTTATTACTAACATTTGATTGGTGTCCTCACTTTGCCTGACTCTGTGCGGGGTTTCGTTGCTACATTATGACTAACTTTAAATTCTTCTGAAAGACCAACTGCCATTCAGCCATATTCCAGTGGGGACTTTAGCCTGTTTCACATTCCTTGGTGGTCCCAAGCAGCATCTTTTAACCTATAAGACGATTCATTCCTCTTCATTGTGCTTCTAGTGACACCAGTTGGTCCTGGTTTGCAGCAAAATTGCTCTTTTCATTTTATCAGGGTTGGACGACTTATTTTAAATTCGTCACCAATCCTTTTTTAAATGATTTTTAAGAATGAATATGAGTACATGCATGGGTATCAAGGTCTATTTTAATGCATACGGAAAGTAGTTGCATACTTTGTAAAGTCTTATTTATTAGTAGACGTTCTTATATTGTGTTGGTGGTTATTTGTTTTCGTTTTGTTCCTTTTTGCTGTTGTTCTTCTCTCCGTAAAACATCTGTTAATGTTAGAAGTCTTTTCATTTTAAACGACATAAAGTTCGTTTTAGGGCGCTGCGGCCACCACCAGCACCAGCGAAGGGAACTCATGCATAATTCGTAAACGCCGCAGAGTTGTGGGCTTTTCCTCGTCGGATTCTGAGGAAGAGGAAGAGACTTCATCTCCCGCGTCACCACCGCTTACTCGAAGGCAAGAGGGCCCCTTTTCCCCATCACCCTCCTCCTCCCACCAGCGATTACAATCAACACCTGTGCGTGACCTCCACGATGTACGGAAATGCGTTTTTTTATTAGACTAGCAAAAAAACCCATGTTTGTTTCACTTTTTAAGCAGTTCAAGCCCCCACGTAAACTTTGGTCATGCTGTAAAAGCATTAGAATAGTGCTTCATGTTGATTAGCAAAATAAATCCGGTGTTTATCGTCTTGGAAAGTTCAACAACAACAGCAAAGCCTTGAATACAGCTTATTAAAACAAGATATCGATATTTCGACTTCGTTCACGTTCCAGTAATGCACCCTTTTTATCGCGTAAGGGTTGCCTTGAAGAGAAGAATAATTAACCCCATTTTCTACTGTTTTATTGAGTCGCCCTTAGAAACTCATAAGGTATAATTTCCGGTCCCTTTTCAGCAGTCTTCGCATCACAATTTGCCATCTACGTCCACTGAATCAGGTGTCGTGGTGCCTGGTAACAGTCGGGCTGATGACAGCAGTCGCGATATCTTCGCCTCATTCACAACCGATCCGAATCTCAGCACCATTGTGGAAGAGATTCACGAAATCGCGTCGAGGAAGAAGGAGAAACGGTCCAGTTGTGGTTCCAGTAAGACTGCAAAGAGAAGGAGGAAAAAACAGAACGCCAAACATCAACTAAAGACAGTTGATAGAAGCTTCGTTTTAAGAGCACGTGGGAGTGTCCAAAGGAGCCGGGTTTCGGTCAAGCGAAGGACTCAAATAAATAGGAGGAAGAAGGGGAGGCGCCTGCGTCTCAGCGCATCTCAGAAGAGGAATCAGAGCTCTGTATGTCGTGTTGATAGATGTGCAATCCTTGTTAGTTAGATAGCCAGCTCGATCGGTATTTCCTTGTTTCAGCTGACTGGTTTGATCCCTCCTTCTACAAGTACTCATTCTGGGCGCAAGGCGCGTCGCAGTAATCGAAAACTACCCATTCCGAAGCTTTCAATATTGGGAAGCGAACTAGATTGCGGGTAGATGTACTAAATTATTTCATCTTGTAAACAACAACCGATGCGGTCGCACGAGTAGACTACTCACAGACTCGTTTATGTTTAATACAACTCTGTTTGCTTCACATACAGCCGTAGAACTGCAATGAAAGCCTTGGTGACTTATCGCCTCTGTTCCCTTTTTAGATTGGTTTTCGAATCAGAAGATGATGGTAACAAGGAACGGTATGTAGTACTGATTTAACGTCTTTTTTACGGGTTGCCCTAGGTGCAAATTATTTCTTCAAATGCTTGTACTCACACCTCCTTGGCCTAAAACATTTTTACACAGCATTGCGAAGTGTCATTTTATAATTTAAACCCAATGTTTGGTGTGAGCAATTTTTTATTCGTGACGGTTACTTAATGTAACGTTTGGTTTTTTTTACCTGAAAGGTCTTCGTTTGTCCTTACTTAATATGCTTAACTTTACCCTAACATCGAAACTTTGTCTGTAGTTTGACTCGGATTTGATACATCTCTGTTACTATAATACGTGTATTAGGTATTTTACTGACAAAAGTGCTTTTATACTAGACCAACTCCAACTTCTTCCAGTAATAAAGGCATCACCACCCCTTCTACTTCCTCTGCTTCGGTGGGCCTTTTGAGTCGTCTCGAGGCCGACCAATCCTCTCTATTTCAATTTCGCATTTCAAATATGCACGTGAATCCGGATAATTCTCTCTCTCCGATTAAAATTGCACCCCCACTCCAGCCTAAGCGTAGCGAGGCTGCGTCGAGGGTAATCCCAGAGCAGGTTTCGCCTCCGGTCCGCCTCGTTACGAATATTAATAGGATGCAGGCTACCACGTCTTCGGGGCTTCAATCCTCGAAGCCTAGCAAGTCATTGGCTCTACCGGAGGAGGTATCAGCCAAGTCCTCCACATCTACTTTGTCCTTCCCCTCAACGTGGACCTCGGAGGGGGCTCTGCGTGTCCGCAGTTTACTAGTAGCACATCTACTTCGGACTCATCCCTCCCTGACTGATAAGGCTACCAAGATGCGCCTCATTCAAAGGGCTCTCTCCAAGGTATCCAAGATGGTGTTTGGTGATGATCTTTTAGTATTATTTTGCATCATTCTCTATAGATTGATTCGGTTTCAAAAAGATATGATGAGGGTGTAATCTAGCCTTACTTCTATCATAGATATAATTGGTTATTTCACTCAAGAGCTTTCTAGTGATTGCTCAGGTCATTTAATTTAAAAAGCCGCTTTTCATAGATGGAACAAAGACGTTGTCAGTCGCGTTAGTAGAGGAAGTAGCCTCTTTTTTAGCGTACTGGAGGCTGAGTCTAGTGGCCTAGAAGACATTTTCACCAACAGCGGGCATACAACTGAAATGGGTTATTCTATTATGGGAATTGCCGGTTTTGCGTGTTTCAACTCATTCCGTCAAAATTAATTAGCCTGTAGTTTATAAAGTTTGTGGAACGATGAAGTAATTGGATTCTAAGTCATCTGATCAAAAGAGTAGGAGTTATTATCGTTTTCTTGCAGATCCTCTCGAAAAAACCGAATCGTGTGACGGAGGAAAAAATGAGGAAGTTAGTTGACGACTACGTGGAATTTTACCGTCGCTATCCTCTATAGAGCCATAATTGTGCATTTTGTGTTTTATTTTGTAAAAAGACGTATCTAGTTGCATTTGATAACTTTCCCGGCTGATGACACGGATCTTCAGTGGCTTTTAAATGGTTTGTTTTATGAAAGCTAATTAGGTACATGTTCTATCACTGTTACTTTGTTCTTCACCACGTGCTCGTTGGGGTATTTGCGATTTAAATGTTTATAAGCACACAGTTGATAGCTTGTTTGGTCCTCTTTTCGATCTGATAGCAGGTTGAGACACGAAGGACCTTGTAGGCCGAATTCCGATGGATACCATACTAATTTACTCTGGTGCAGATGTACTTTTCCCATTTTTAGGTTTCAGTAAGTCAGGAGTCCTCATATTGACACAGACAAATTTTCTTTAAGTGTTGGTAATTTTTCGCGAACACAGCTAAATGCTTCCATGAAGGGGGATGTATCGTCTACTTAGTTGGGATAGAGGTGTCTTATATGTCAAATTAATGGTCATTGGGAAAAAAAAGTTGGACGGATAATTTGATCAATAATTTACTGGATTCAGACGAGGAGCCGGATAATTTCACTCCTTGGATTTCGGTTAGGAAACTCCTCTACCCTATGGGATGACCACGGCCTTAGGGTGGATGGGTAGTTACAGCTCTAGCGGCAAGTGGTTGATGTGGTCCTGTGGAATTCCGTCGGAATTCAGTTCTGAGATTCTGTGACGGTCGTCGTTCCACCATGTAGCTGACAGTTTGGGTTGGAATGAAGCGCGAATCCGGTCGCTTGCCTCTGGGTGGGTGCGGTCAGTGGAGGTTATAACGATGTGGTCTTGAGGGGAAATCATGTTGGTAGGGGTGTCGTCAATTCCCGAATCTTAAGGGGGAGGCGGATGGATCAGCTAATGTGGTTCAGGAGGGACTAAACTTGGTCGAACCAATATTTGGGGGAGTAACGCCTCACGCGCTTAATCTATGAAGTGGTGCTTTACACGGAATTCCAGAAAGTCCACCCATTCGTTTGAGAGGAGAGGTGCTTAAGCGAGTGGACATCACTCGCCTGAGCAATTAGAATTGCGATAGGTGAATTCCACATCACAGAAGTGACTGCGGAAGTACAACTCAGTGGAGACGTGTGCCGTGCTTGAGCCACCATGTGTAGCTCCTCTGGGGCTACATGCATTTCGCAGATCTTTCGAATTATCGTGCCTGCAAACTTGTTGGGTATCGATGAGGATTCCGCCAATCTTGAAACCCATGTGCAGGCTATACTGCCCAAGAGAAGTGTCAAAATAGTGACTTTGATTAGATGGAACAATTGACTCTGCGGTAAAGTGAGTTGAGTTGTAGGTGCTTTTTTGTCAACGATCTTGCTTGGTTTGCAAGATTAGGACATTTTATGAGTCGTACACAAGCGAGACGTGCGACTTTTGACAACAATGAAAACTGCTGCAATTGAAGGCGACTTTAATGAGCTAAAGCTATTCAAAACAAAAAAGAACGCGGACGAAGTAAATTGAAATTGATGTAGGCTTTAACGTTGGCTGGCTTCAGGGTTGTGTACAGGTATCGCAAACTCTTATGTATTTCTAGTTAGTCTACTACTTCTCAATAAATAAAAGGACAACGAAGCACCGATTTCTTACACAGCCACAAAGGACTCTGTAGGACATTTTTTACTTTAGGTTGTGTGTACTTAATTTACTTCCATGTCCACTTAAATTTCGTCCTTTCACTGTTTACGGTGCCCATGCTTTTACAAAAACGGTTAAGCTTAAAGGAAAAAGAACTCAAAACTTATAACAAGCTTGAAAAGAAAAAAACACAAACAGCTTTAATCACTAGTAAAACAATTCCACAATGTATAATTGGTTTATTGGTGTAGCGCTCCAAGTCTTCTCTGAAGTCCTACTAATCCAAAGCGGTGTGGTCGAACAGTCAGCACACAGAAGGACTGGTGGGCTACGAGCACCCTCCGAGGGCCATGCCGCCGAGTGGAAGTAGAAATGATCTTCCAGCACAGTTTCCATATACTCTAAGAGTGTCATAGAACAGAAATGAGTTGCCACTACAAGTTCCAAATGCCAACTTAAAGCGGTGGATTTCATGACGTGGAAACTAGTCCCATCTTTGAAACCAACCTCAGTTCAAATTTTTAGCTTTTGAAAAGTAAGCTGTTTAGTATTTTGTAAAGCTACAAGTGTAAACTATTAGTGTTATTGAGAAGGGAAATGAGAAAGTTAACTAAACTTTTAAGTGCCAGTGCTCATTTCCTCGTCCAAGCTACGTGTCCAAAGCAATAGACTGATTTAAAAATTCAAACCAGCCTAATCAATGAGGAAGGACGGATTCTGCAATAAATTTTGCACTCATTCCAAACAAGGCGTAGTGAGTAAATTGGACAATGGGAGGTCGAGAGTCGAAGTCGGACTCAGAATGTGATTGCTGCCCTGAATGCGCGGCACAGCATAGATTTCATCCAACGAGGGGACAAAGGTACAGGACCAGAAGACTTCTCCACAACGCCAGTTTGCATCAGCAGGCTGGATGTCACGGTCACTCTCTGTTTAACAACCCCGAAAACATTCGTGTCAATTTGGCAGATGAGCTCAGTTTACCAAGCCCTGAGGCAAATGAATACGATCTGCTGAAAGAAAAAGAAACCGAGATTGAGGCAAATCTTTCTTCTTCAAATGCGACAGTTGACTTTCCAAGTTTAAAATCATCCTCACCGGTGGAGATGCCTAAGCAGTGTTCTGAACTCTCGACTAAACAATCGAAAATTCGAGCTGAAAGACCGAAATTCCAAAGAACTTCTAAACAAATGAACAGAAGAAATGTGTTCTTTCAGGGTGCCACCCCGTGTAGAGACGAGAATCCCTATAACTCTCATACCCCAAGACAAACCCCGTGGCCCAATTACCTGCGTCAAGGGGTACCTCAACAGCACACGAGTAACGAAGTCGGAGTAATTTCTTCCACTTCTGTCACGGATGCCTCTTCTCTGTGTTTTGAGGATAGCTACAGGGACTTTTTGCCCCACGAATGTGGGAGGTGCATCACGGAGCAGGATATGATAAGCTTGTTTGAGTTTGAGAAACTTGAGAGGGAATGTGACGCTGCCTGCATGAAGAGGGTGCCCCCGATGCCAAAAGCTCGGAGAACCAAAATGATTCAGCGGGCTCTTGCGGAGACAACTGTCAGGACAGCGTAGCATAATTTGTATCAACGGCCAAAAATCGAACCCACACATATATTGTGCTAATTTTGTATGCCCAAGTAACGGCGTCACCAATAGATTTACAGAAGGATCAATTTACTTAGCCCTTTTTCTTCTTTCTTATCTAAGAGGGTAGTGCCATTTACTTTCCAGGTCAGATGGGTGACCAAATAATCATGGTAATTGTGATGACAACTTGCCATCGCTTTTCCTGGGCTTTTAAAATTCTCCCACCTCCGTTTAAGAATTAAACGCTTATTTTAGTTGGGAAAATGACTAAATTTGCGGAGAACTCAGTACCATTGTGAAGTAGGTTTCAAAACTAGCAATTTCAATTCTTAAAGAGGCGAGTACTGACACCCATCTACGATCGTGGGCCAGGAAATGAAATATTTTCCGCATTTTGCCATTGGCTAACTGCACATTGACAGAGGGATTAAGTACACAACTCATGTGAATGCATACTACACGTGGCATTTCACAACAAACACTTCCTTGAAGGTAACTTCGAAAATTAATTACAATTTTTTGAATATACTTTAAGAGCGTTTTTTAAAAAGTTTACAGAGTTGTTATTATCAAAGCGTCCGCCTTACAGCTTATAAAAAACACCTACACCAAATTTCGCTTGTGCCGGTGTCCGTTTTGAATTGCGAAAGAAATACAAATTTGTGCAGTAAAAATATGCATGCATTTGATGGGTTTAGCTGGGATTTGTTTTTCAATGTGGATTTTGTCCTGAACACCAGATTATAGCTTTGCAAAACAGAGATATAGATAACGGCAAATAGGCGGCATCTGTACAGGATGGCCGGGGGAGGTACAAGTTACATTAGCAGTGGTCGTGAGTAGAAACTTATACTTTGTGGTGGATAGGGTACGATACTACTGGGGTGCATTGTGGTTTGCGGAACTAATTCAGCATGCGAAATCACCAAGGAAAGACCAAAAATTAAACATAAACACTAAAGTTTTGTAACATCTTGACTCATTTGTCCTATGCAGGCATTGTCTGAGTTACGGACTTCTGAATCATAGGCTAATTCTACCGACCATATGTAATACGTTGGTTGCTTGCTTAGCTCTCAGTTTTGGTAAAGGGGTCGCTTCGGGTCTCCGCCGATATATACTTTCGCCGAGCGGGTTGGCCTCCGGGCCACACCAGTAGCCCTAAGCCCTACCGTATGTCATATATGTATGTATTCTATCCGAGTATTATGTCTTCTTTCGTCCTTAAGGAAGTGTCAATCAATCGTTAAACCAGAGTGGTAAATATTTACATTGCTATGATTAGGTTTTGACATTCCAAGCGAAATATGACGCCGAAAGTAATGCAACTTTCGGTAAGTAGACATATACATGTTTTTGGCGGTGATTTTCAAATTCAGAATCAGGGTTACAACGGAGAACCCCACAACTGTTTAGCACCTACGATAAAAGTCAGACCGCTTTACCAACTAAATAGATCTGTTAAGTAAATATAAGATTTGACATCTGGTGAATTGCTCATGGGGAGCTCAACCAAGAACCCTTCGGGGTAAAATCCGAAAAGTTGTAAATTTTACTGAATCATCACTGGTTCACGATAGATAAGTCAAAGGTACTAGCATTTCCATCTTCCTCCAAATCTACTCTGCCTATTTCTACTGCTGATAGAACCATGAAAAATCGTGCGATGTTTCGGACTTGCTGCAAGATTTATAGTTGTAAAATTGGGTGTACTTATGTGCCGAATTCACTAAAGGCTAAAAATACATAACTAAACAGCGTTGGCATTACTGTTTAAATGGCGGAGGGATGACGCTGCAGTGTCAAAATAGCTACACTTCCTCTTATGAGTGTGCACATAAGGAAAGTAATTACTTTACAAGACGTTTTGGAGAGAAATGCGTATCATCGTCGACTTGGGCTCCATCAGCTTCTAGCGTACTTGCTACTCCTCACAGCCTCGTAAGTCTCTCAAGTTAAGAAGACTAGACTTGCGGAAAAATTGTGACCTACAGAGCAGAACGGCAATTCCGTGAGTAAAAATCTCCCAAAATACCAAAAATGTGATTCTAGCGGAAGATATCGCTACATTTTAAAAGTTTACGATATTAAAATTAGCAGTGTCAAATTATCAAACCCTCTCGAAGTCAAATTAAAGTCAAATTCCTATAGCGTGACTTTAGAGTGTAAGTATGATAAGCCCTTTACATTTAACTGGAAATCGAGATCTTAGGCTCTGTTGCCATTTTGCATTCATTTTTTGCGCCTGTGTAACCCACAATGCTCATATTCGATTTGAAAGGCGAATTCCTACAAGTTTTAACCATCTGGGATTCAAAAGGCACTTTACCTCCATCGCACGAGCAAAAACTTTAAGTAAAATAACGAAAATATGCACCTAAGGTCACGCCTTCTTACTAGTTGTCTATAAAATTGTAAGCTCTGTGGTTAAATTTAAAATTGAGTGATATTTCTTTGCTTCGTTACCTGTTTTTAGAAAAGTTTCCCCTTCAATAATTTCTGGCAAATTCTGTGGTGACACTTTTTGCTAAAAATAAGATAATCCACAGACATAAAAAAGACATTCTTGCAGAAGTTTGAATGTTGCACATTGCATTCGCCTTTGGATCATTTTTGCTGTCCCCGCGTCCGCTCTTGCTGTTTTTGGCGACAAGTAAGTGACTCCCGCGCAGGTAGCAGCACAAGTAAGTGTTACGGGCAGACAAACTCTTCTCGGCTAAGGTCCAGGCATAGCTTGAATTTTGTTGCCCTTCCACATCCCTTATTTTGCACCACTTGCTCATAGGCCCCAATCGTCTCATTATTTCGTTTAACAATAGGCCGAAGCCGACGATAAAGCCTACCGACTGCTGCAAGTGGATGGTTTTTTTCATAAATGACCAGTAAAGTGCCAAGAAGTTCAAGCTTTGATGACTCTTTTCAAACGATCTGTTTCAGGAATCGGAAAGTGGGGTATTCTTATTGCTAAAATATTACAGCGATTTACATTTGCATTAAAAATATGCATAAGATAATTCCTCTATACTGCTAATACAATTCCAGGTGAAAACTTTCTCAAAGCAACTTTTTACTCATTTTACACATTAGTACTGGTAGTAAAAAAGGGCTCCTTACTACAGTTAGATACACTTTTGCAGCTCATTCCGAAAGTGCTGATTGAGAAAGAAGTATAAAAAGAAGGTGAGTCCGTAGCTAATGAGAGCAATATTTGTGGTCACCATCCGGTAGACAACGTAGGTGGGGCAGTAGTGGAATGCCTCTTCACATGTGCCGAATGCCTCGAAGATGCGAATATACGAGAAGGCTTGGGGAATGGCGCCGAAGAGAAAGAGCAAAATTACAGCAATGAGGAGGATGTTCAGCTTTCTCTGGGCATTGCGTTTCTTCTGGCGACGTTGAATTAGCTGCAAGTCCCCCACAGTGGTATCCTTTAAGGATGTTTCATCGGCACCGGTTCCCTCCGTTCCTAACGATAAGTGGTTGCTCTTTTGTTCTACCTCCGTATTCTTACCAAATTTTTTGTTGTGTTGATAGACTATGGTGATTAGAAGGACGTTAAGAATGCACAAAAAGACAAGGGGGATAATTTGGACGATGGTCATTCGGAACCATGAGTAGACGGTGTAGAACGTAGAGCGTCGAAGGGCGGTGGCGTTAGTGATGACCCGCATGGAACCGTTGGCAAACCGCTTGAACTCGATTCGGTGTATCATGAAGTAGGGAAGGTTGAAGAGGACAGAGACGAGGGCGATGCTGATGATGAGGCGCTTAGTGTTTTGGCGCGTAGAGTATTGCCGGGCAAAGTTCCAGTGACGCATCGCTACGTAGCGCTCCAGAGCGAGGCAGACCGTTAGCCAGGCACTCATGTTCTCTGTCATATTGGTAATCGGCACCTCCGCGTACGTGGCGTAGATGTATGCGTAGATTGCCATTGTCTGCGTCACCGAGGACGATCCACGATAGCTAAATAGGAGGGAGGAGGGGGTATACAAAGAATCAAACAAATAACCAATAGCTGGAATCAAAAGCCCGATTGAGGATAATTGGATTCGGGTTATGTAAGAGTATTAATGACTAACCCTTACCTACAATGGCGTTTAAGTCCAAATCACAAGCTGATTATATTGAACAAATTTGTTGTTTATTTAAATCTGGCATCTTCACTTAAAGTGGCACTTAAAAACTATTGTAAAATTTGTCAAACACTTAATCCGACTTTGAATGGACGAGGATGAGGCGTCGTCGCTAATACCCATTCAAAAACTATTTTTCTCTCGATTTACTATCAAAATTCTTATGTAAAAGCTCAGGTTTCAGAGACTCCGAAGTTATAAATTCGAGATCGAAAACGAGCACTAGGGGAGTTATAGAGAAAATGGAATGAGTAGTTAGGTATGGTATCTGTCCCGCAATTCACCAGTCGTGCCAATGTGAAGTGCATTGCATGACGCTGTAGGAGCTTGCGACATTCAAACACCTCTCAGGTAATCAAACCTGCCACACTCCAAAAGCCCTACTGGGTTATTTTGAGTAGGTGAAAAAACCACAAAACCATCTTATCTCATCTATGGCATTTAGCATGCACCATGGAAAATTCACTAGTTTCTTGTAGAGGATTTTTTTATCATAAATTTTGAATGAATATTAAGTCGGATTTGCAGCCTACGGTGTAGGTTTGTGTCAAAGAGGGAATTATTACCTCGTTATTGGGACAGTTTTAAGCTTTGTTAACTTTGAAATACATCGGAGAATTTGCATCGCTTTGCGGCCAAAAGTAAGTAAGTACGGACCAGCAACTACAAAGCTCTTAATCACTTTTAAGTGCATGGTAAAGCACCGGATCCATGATGGATCTGATTCAGTGTAATTTGGCATGGCATTTTTGAGGTTTGCAAAACCTTTAGTAGAACAAATAACGGAAAATATAGCCACATTTCTATTTAAAAGGGATAAAAAAGTATGAGTTTGTATATAGAAGTTGGTAGCTGTCCCAATGCATTTAGCAACGTGTACAAACGTTGATGGGTTCATTTAGTAGGTAATAAGGCATATACCACCGAAGATACAATGGAGATATCAGAGAATGGAAGAAATATGTGAGGGACAAACAGTCCGCAAGAATGTAAATACGTATGCTGGTGGGAAATATTAGGTAGAAAAAAATTCCACTTTTGGAAAAAGCTGAAGAGAAGGAAAAACCTAACCACAAAAGCACATTATTGAAAAGGGTTTCGAGATTTCATTATAATTAACTTTTTAAAATAAGCTGCAAGCCATCTTTTGCTTATGTTAAAAAAGGAATTCCAGCCTTGGGCAGAATTTACTTTATTGTTGTGATGACTTGAAAACAAAACATTTTTTCCAGTGAATCTCTGACTATTTGGAAAGAGAGTGCCGAGAATTATTCAAAAAAAAATTTTGGAATACATAAATGCTTGACGCACTTTAACGTCGGATGTCTCCACTTATTTGTTTGATGATGTTGCCAGTAAAAACGTTTATTTAAAAACGACTTTTGCTGTAGGAAAGCATAATTAAAATTTCCCTATATTGTAGTATCATTCAAATATTTAATGGCACTTATTGATTTGTGAAAGAATGAGTTGTGCATTCGTGAGCCTTGCTTATCGCTCCGATTTCAGTGTAGATTCCTGAAAACTTGTAATCAGCATGATAAAGCAAAATTATGATCAAAGGAGAAGTTAAAGGGTTGGGTGCTTCTAGTAATGGAGAACCAGTGCATTTGGATCTTAGCAGTTTGAGACGGATGATGAACAATTTAATGAATGATATGCACGGGAAGCCTTGACGCCGAGGCCTTTGGCAGTTTTTGCATTTGCCCTCACAGCTGTCGCGCTGCTGGGCTGTTAACAGTCTGCTTTCACTAGTCGGTGCTCCCTCGTGAGCATAGAACTCTAGCCTTGGTAAGATCAATTTCAAGGCTTGGTCCCATCATTTCCCGACAAGAGCCGCATTGTTGATAGGGTGGCTACTTTCACAGGTACTACTCTGCAGTTTTGGGGAGGAAAAGTTCCACCTTGTGGCCGCCGCATCCATAAAGTAGATTCCCTACCAACCCCCATGAGTTAATAACCATATTCTTCCCGTAAGTGGGGAAACCAATATCACGAGCACCTTAAACACAAGGTACGGAAGCATATCATTTTCCTGGCTGCTGGAGGGAACAATCTGGTCTGTGATCGCTGTATTGATCTAAGAAACTTCATGGAGGGAACTCCCTCTCAACTACAGTAAAATTGCCTATAACTGCGACTGACCGAGGTAAATAAGGCATTTAATCTTATGGGTAATGCTTGAAAAGAGGTAAATAATTATTTCACCAGCGCCCTACCAACGCAGTAGAGAAAAATGTTCAAATATTCACCCTTTATAATAGTTGGATTAAAATGCTAGGGTTTTTGAAAAGAAAAAGATGAAGAGTAGGGCGAGAGCTTACTAGGTGAGACCCTGAGGAATGCGTAGTCCGAGGGTAATGGCATCAGCAATGGATAGAGCGAGAACAAGCATGTAGGCGGGTGTGGAGCAGAAGGTCTTACGCTGGAAGACATAAATGTTGATGATGTTGAGGATGAAGCCGATTAGGCAGATGCAGGGCTGCACGTAGACATAGCCTATGGCTGAGATTCGCAGGCCTTGCTGCACATCGGCGCGCTGTAGGTAGGCCCTCAGGGCAGCCTCACCGCCTCTCGAAGTGCCTGCCATACCTCCTACAATGCTGCAAGCGGCAAAGCATGAATGCATTACACTTGACCTAACACGACTTTTCCTACCCATCTCTAACCCAGAATACCGCAGACCAGGTATTGGTATCATGGTGTAACTGGTGTGGAGGCAATGTATGCAAGACGTATTTTTGATATGCAAGTAACAATGCCGAAATTAAAAAGGCTCAGTTATTCACTAATATTCATCATGCATTAGACTGAAAATTTTTGTTTACCTCGCTGGTGGTCTCTTAATTAGTTATCTAGACAACGATTGCTGCATCAAAAGACTTGCGCTGCATTGCTCTCCATTTTGCAACTTAAAAATGTGATTAGGAGTAAAGTGAGTGTTCGTGTACTCAATATTTTAACGGCCGTCGCGCCACTACTTTCCAATTTTATCATTTTTAACATCTGCCTAATGGGGTAATGCTCTGTCTGGCGTGGAGAGAGCTGATGAATTCTGTAACCCAACTGCTTAACCACGTGTCGCCAAAATCGCTTCGATTCACTGCAAATACGAGACAGTTTTGCTTTTTATTGGTAGCAAACTTGAATTGTACGCACCATGGATTGGATCAGAAAGTCCTGACTCGAAAAGAATTAAAACAGTACTTAAACCAAAGTAATAATTAATTATTATGACTAAATCATCCGCTGATAGAAAACTTGATCTCCACAGAATCAGTGCATTAAGATATCAACGCTATGTGAGAACGGTGAAACACGGAAACGAATGATGATAAGCTGTCAACAGAACGCACACGAACAAAGCAACAAGCACCGGGCCCTTCGAAACGGTGTTTGAATGGTAGCATTCATCTTCATTCAGGAAAAAAATTACTTGATGGATAAGTTGTATTCTTGAGCTGCTGTTGCATACAGTAAAGTGAGGGTTTATTGACAAGACATCTCAAAAATTGAGATTTGTCCCTAAGGCAACTAGTAGTGCTATAGGGTTGCTGACTTACTATGCATTCTGCCTTATTTTGAAGAATGCTTAACCCAAATTCATGGTCTCTTGCGCGAGGAAAGTGGAGGATGCTTATTTCATTTTACTGTTTCAGGTCTCCGGTGATTTTTAATGCCAGCAAATACATTAAATTCCCCTGAAAGATCTTGCCGTAGGTGCAATGGTGGAAACATGCCTGAAGCCTTTGTTTAGCTCACCAAGTATCAACACTGCTTCCAAATACGTATAAAGCCAGCCGAAATCGAAAAAAATGCATCCACCCGATATTCATTTTTAATTTCGGTGATTCCCCTAATAAGTCATTTTGGGGTAGTCATCTCTGCAATATTGCCATTCATGCGGTCTTCTCTCCCACCCACCGCCCTCCTCTAAGTAAGCAGAACAAAATGAAGTCCGGAATCCCACTACGCACTTGATGTTAGTATTCACGTGCCAATCTCCGGAGTCCTTTCTTTAGGTGCAACATCACTATTGCACGTTTACGACAAATATATATGACCCAATAACTTAGCGTTTTGCCATTCGAAAACAACCATAATCAAGGAGCGGTAGGATTCAGACATGCAAGATGGTAACAATGCTTACTTTTTCTATAATATAAGGTAGAAAAGGCATCGCGGCTAAGAATTGCCTCCATTTGCTGGCGAATACAGGAGTCTACCATACGATCATCTGCAAAACCATCGGCCTGGCGATAGGTGAAGTTGTAAGTAAAGGCCAAGGCAGCACTGGATCACTTAGAGTGAGTGGTTTCGAATAGGTATCCTACGCCAAAGGTGATTTATGCACTTAGGACATCTATGACAGCAAATATGCTTCCACTTTACAGACTGAGAAATTAGCTAGTTAGTTTAGGAAAATTTGAGAATTTGAAATTTAGTGTAAGATTCACTTTTTATTTTTAACTTACTTTTATTCATTCTGATGATAAGTGGAACTGCAGCAAATAATCACTGCAATTTCAGTACTTTAGGGACATCTTGCTTCCAGTGCGAAGGAGTTAAAATTAATGCCTATACGTGTTGTGTTGTTTTAATAATAATTGGCGGATTAAAAAAGGAAATTGTATTCGCCAAATTTAGAAAATGTGTTTTGTACGAAAAAATTGGCAAAAACTATCGCATTGTGAGTGCAAAATGAAAAGACTGCATTTTTTGATCGGTGGCAAATGAAGTAATGTTACAGACACACTTTGTAACGGTTTTAAAATGCCAAGTCTCTTCGGGTTGTTTGTCAAAAAAGTTGTCCACCAACTTACCATTAATGTATGACATAGTTCTTTAAATTGTTCAAGAATGTGAGTCTGCGTGGAGGGCGTTTGAGCGGCTCATGCATCAACAGCCAATCAGTGCTCCCTACTGCCTGCTCAGGCCAATGAAGACTTGGTCAAAGCAGACACCCACCTTTTTAACTACTGCAAATACTGCGCCTAGCGATAATACCCCTTATGCAAATTCTTCAGAAAACTGTCCATTTAACAGCACACTTTTATCCCATTTCCGAGAATCAGTGCATTGCGAAAAATGCAATTTCTTCCGCGGAAGGTCGCACATTTTGTTGCCGTTTGATTGGTGCCACATGAAATAAATTTTGTTGAGTTAGAAGAAGGTCGTTTAGGTATGCCGATGTATTATCAAAATTTTGATAGCTAGTTCAAACTAGTTCGCTGTTATAAATATTACCACAGGGCTAGCATTCCAAACCGCAACTTAGATCATGCAAATTTTCAGTGTGCCTGACAATCAATGACGGCGACGTGTTTTGCCAGACAAATCGCTTGCCTCCGACAGGCCAGAGAAGAGTGTATTGCCGAAATCTAAATATTTAGCACGAAAGTATACTCAAAAATCCATTTCATACCCCAACTTCAATCACGATATTTACCTTCACCAAGATTAATGTGTGGTTTCGCCATTTTAGGACTGATAAAAATCACAGCTGTTCTCTACAAAGGTAAAAACAACTTGTTTCGGATAAGGCAAGGCTAGTCTAAAAAGTACGAATTTTATGTGATAGAAGCTAGATTTTAAGGCACCATCAAGAATTTGTGTGTAAACTAAGGACACGCTTGAAGCAAATCAAGTTCTGCGGCATAGGAAGTGTCCTTTTTATGCATAAAAATAACCAGCTCAGAGCTAAATCAAAGCGCTGTAGATTTATTAGTATTTAAAGCTAGCCTACAATTATCGGAGTTCACTTTACTTACTTTACAATCATTGTTTTATGATTTTATTTACGGCCGAATTTTCAGTTTTACAATGCCCGAGGGAATGGCTATTAATTTTGGTTAAAGTCCATTTTAGTATCAACCCCAAACTACTCACAAGTGTTAAAATATTAATTTCAATGTTCCATTTGGCAATATAGACTGCTTACTGTTTCGCACTTTGCTCGTCATCTCGACGGCAGTGTGTTTAATGAACAGCGGTTCCACAGAGACATGGCAAGACCTGACATGGAGCACATAATTATTTTGCCTGAGGTAAACCGGTAAAGATGCATTAAACGGCATTTGCTGTATGCATGTAGGGGAAAGGTATCAAGTGACTTGAACAGCGAGTGGAAGTGTTTTGCATGCGTGTCCACCTAAAAGTCAGCGCTCGCACTTCTGTGACTCGGTGAAGCCGTAATTACAGCAATTAACTGCGCATGTGTGCCCGCTGCTGAACGGTATCCCTGATGCTAAATTAAGTTTCATGTACGCTCCAAACCTAACCGACAGTAATTTTCCACTCGGTGCCTGAGCAGAGTAATTAAGTTTTCAATCTTCGGTCCCGTGGATTGCCGTAAGAATTAGCGAGAATATGCAAAATCTTTTCGACTAAATTGAAGTGTAAAAGAACATGGATGACTGCTGCACAAAATGGTTCAATTGAGGCCTCAATGAGCCATGTACTTCACTATGGCGTTGCCCAAATACATCCCTTGAGCGATGAAATTCAAATCGTTGCACACCCACAGATTCGCCTAAATTATTCACTTAAACAAGCGCTTAAATGATGCCATGTGTAACATACTGAATTAAATGCCTAACTTTAAAAGCGACGTTATTTTGGATTGAGATATGTTGGGCACCACAATGGAAACATTTCGACTTTTCCCACGGTTAATGATGTCCCCATTCCATCTGAATGAGAGGTATGCCCACGAATCGTCTGATCCCACACTGGCAAGTTAAAATTTGCATGCCGATAGAGGCTGGGTCGGCTGTGGAGTATCCAATCAACTTTGGGGTCAAATTTGGCGGATGAGTGTGAAAACTAGCCTCACCTTGTACACATGTATAAATGGCACATGTGTTTTTTGAAATGAGACGATTTGTTAAATCAGTTCCGATATTTGAGTAGACGTTCAAAATAGGGATGATAAATGAGGACGCATTTCCCGTTATTTTTTTGCAGAATTGTCAGTTGGTTTTTTTTCATTGTATGAGATTCTGTGTGCAGTTGTTTAATTAATACAAAGGTTTTGTGGATGTCTGCAAATTAACAATAGCAAACGTGGATTTCTTTGTTAATTTATTCGACAAATGGGGGCCATTAGCAACTCTATAGAAAGGGCAGACCCTTGTTGTGGAATAAGTTCATTTAAACTACTATGCTAAGGATGTACGAATAGGAATCACGAAAATGATCATTCGACAGAAGATGGCTTTATTTCCCAGAGACATAGCATACTTACAAAACCACTGTTCAAATTTAAACACCCGCATAAAATCCCATACCAGCGAAAATCCAGGAGTTAACTCAAATAAATTGGCTTAACTGCTCCAAATTCTTTCGACATTTTCATTTTTCCATATAACTGTGTGATGCGAATATATCTGCTGTATTAGCAGATCTACATTCTAGCTGAGCCTTTCCTGCAAAATTAAATAAACTGAAACACAAGCCAACATGTGTGAATTGTCACGAATGTTGGAGCAGTTTATTTTCTTTCAAAGAGGCACGCACGACGGTAGGGTGTGTCACTGGTATTTAATGCGTTCGTGATCATCGTATAATTTTCTAGTAATGGCTAAAAGGAAAGCGAGCTAAGAAGTTTCACGTCTGCAAGTAAATACGAAGGCAAATATCAGACGCAAGTACTGGCCAGTAACTAGCGCAAATTTGCTCCTCCACTGTGGCTCAAAATCGTATAGAGTGGGGAGAAACAAATTATTTCATTTACTGCTTATTATGAAACGGGACGGTTTCCAAACTCCGTAAATGTGATCGTCGATGCAAGAAATCCATTTAACCACAACTTTAAAAGTCGTAGTAAAACGACTGCCTCGATATGCCTTCATAGGGCAGTCTCTACACACTCCGATTGACATTCCGTTGCAAAGTAAATGGGTATGAAATGTCTTCGTTCGAAACCTCAATATTTGTCCATAAATTAGTAGCTATTAGCCAATTTACCAATAAAAACTAAAAGTAAATTTCAAAAATTGGAATCTTGAAAAAGGAAAGCACCCCTCAGAATGAGTTATGAGGGAGGTGGAATTAATTTTGATAGCACAAGAGCTTGGGAATGACTAGTGTCTGGTAAAACTCTAATAGGTACAAATGATGCAATACTTGCGTGATTTTAATGTTCCTTTCAGAGAGGAAGCAGGGATACGAATCGAACTTCGTGACAGTCGAAGTTGAATCAACCTGGGTGTTCTAAGAGTATGAGGACGAAGGAAGAAGAGATCTACGCGCCTTTTCCTACAATAACATCACGAAAAACAAATGAAACAAAGTAATATCACCATCCTCACATGAGTTTTATATATTTTTATAAAAATAGTAATAAAAGGGCACTTTCTTGCGGTGCAATCTATGTAGAAATCCTTCGTCTTCTTTTGTATGACTTAGTGCAGGAGATTATTTACTTATGTGAAGCATTCTGCTACATACCTTTTACAATGGTCAAAAATCCGCTGTAAGTTAAGGTGTTAATTACAAATTCTTCTTAAAACGACTTATTAGTGTGTACTTTTGAGGAAATCTTTTACAAAATGCTACGACCAAGTTCTCAACTGTTGGGATTTGATATTTTGTTTAACTGCACGGACACCTCGGTCTTCGGGCCACGCCAAAAGCTTCTTAGCGCTTCTGAACGTCAGTAATGCTACAAATTCCGAGAGGACTCGGGTGATGCGTAAATTTTCAATTTAAAATATGCTAATAACGAGTATTTTCTACATGAACCTAAAGAAATATTTCTCACACTGATTATTCTATTAAATTGAACAATAATTATGGAGACTTTGGGCAAAGTCGATTTTTACCGAGTCTTCCTAACTTATACGACTTCATTAATGGGATTCGTTAAAAGGCCTAGTTTCCATGTCATGCAAATTGTGAGGAAAATTAAAATCCAACGTAAATGATTAACCCCAATTTTTTGCCACCTGGGACTGGTGCTGATAGCGCTAAGTAAACAAAGTAGCGGAATCCACTTTGTTTTTCATACAAGCTTCCGGGATTCCGGTGATGTTAAATTTAAATCTTTTTTGAATAAATTTCATAATATTTAACCATTTTAACGTCCCAGAACTCGTACTTTAGCCTCACCTTTATGCTACTAAGATCGCCTACAAAGCGCAGGAGGAATGAGTTTTAAATTCGAAGAAAAATATCAGGAAACATTGCAAAAAAATTATGCAGCCATTCAAGGCTCTTTTATTTATGCACGTTGAGGTATTTTTAAGTGACTCATTCATTTAAATCCCAAACGTTACATTGTACACATTTATTAAAATGAAACTCAATGCAGACGGGAATTCACCCGAATCCACTGATGTGATCTCCATTGCAACAAGTGAATAGAAGAAAAAAAACGCAAACATTTTTTAAAGTGACGCTACTAAATAAACTGCGATTAATCGGGAAATTAAGCTATGGGAAAGTTTTACAACCGCCACAAGAATGCATCTTAGTCTTTGAATAGTTGGCTTCAAAGTATTGGATTTCAGCAATCCAGTTCTTACCAGGCGAACTCGGCAATTTTATGCTGTACGCACTCGTGTGACGTGAACCCACGGTGCGTCATACATAGAGGGAAGTTCCCTTTCCAAAATTCTGATTTCTCATGCAATAAGAACGTGTTTGCACTGACTACAAGTTGTTGCATTATTGGCATAGATTTTACCAAAATTAGTTGCAGACGTTTTTGCGGCCGACACTGACAAGGAACTCGGGTGCATAGATAGCTAGAAACCCTTGGACAAGCGTAGTGAACAAAATGATGTTTTTGTCAGATTATTAAATAAAGGAGAGGCTATGCTTATTTTAATTATCGTAACCTGATAAAAATGAGCTGTATGTCAGAAGTTAACCTCCTGACAGTTGCCTAATCAACGAAATCAGCCTGCCAGATAGGCGAAAAATGAGAAAAGGACGGTCTAAATGCAAATAAAAGGCAAAATAATCAAACAGCTGATAAGAATTTTCTTTATTAGCCAAATAACTATGCCGTGGTTCCTTCTGCGATGGATGATTTCGGCTAAATAATCTTTTTTGCGCACTTGCAATGGACAGCAAAAAATAACCACTTTGATTTGCCAATCAGCTCATTAAAAGCACAGCAGCGGACTAAACATTTTGCATTATACATACCATTTTTTGCGGATACAAATTTACTTTTTTAGCGGTAATCCTAAAACATTCCCCAGTTTTTAGCAAATAACGTATCAAACTTTTCAAATTAAGGCACAAAAGCATGAGTAACTTCCGAGGCTATAAGTTACTGAATGGGCTGCCATATTGTAGAACCCCGAGACTTCCCTGAAGACGAGAGAAAAAAGTAGTACTCGGGCAGAATATGCATACTCGGCACACGGAAGAGCTGAGGGGCTATGGCCATGGTCCGGAGGCCAGTCCACCAGGCGAAGGTACAATGGTGGAGCTGCTAAGTGGTCCCTTTACCAAAACCGTGGGTTAAATAAACAGCTAACGCATTGTAGTACCACATGTTTAGCTAATGTAAAATTGCCGTCACCGATGTACGTACGTTTTAAGCTTGGAAATGAGGATGATTTGAATGCGTACAACAGCAGGAATTTGGGTTGCGAATCAAGTCTCAAAAATATTTCAACTGCACAAATAAAGAAATCAAAACTGAAAATAAGCACGCACTCTTTTGTAACAAAACTTAAAATCGTAATTTTATTGGTAAGAGACCTTAGGGAGTTGCCTCATGAACCACAGTGCCATAAGAATGCATGACCTCGGGTTGCCATGGTTACAGCTCCTGGTTAATTCACACGCAGAATGGCGATCTAGCCCTAAATAAAACACTATAATCGAGTTGATTTTCTGGTTCTGATATATTTTTTTTCATCGACCACCATTGTCATTACTGACAACATCTTCTTTCTACTACCATGGTAAACAAAATGTAGTTGAATAGACCGCTTTTAAACATTTGATTTATCCGAGATAGGCTGTTTGAATCGCATATTTCCCCACTAGTCAAGCTTGAGGCTCTCTTGCGTACTGCGAACGAGAAAGAAGGAAAAGATGACTTTTCGGAGAGTAGTTGCCTCGATCACTTTCTTTAGCTTGTCACGATTAGGAAAAAATCCGTACTTCTGCTCTGCCTCATACTGCCTGTGCCAACTATTCTCTGCGCAACTTTGCATCTTATCCATCTTTTATTATTTCTAAAATCTACCACTGCCTGCATTAATTTTGCCCTTCTCTTCAATGCACCAGCGATTTACTCTCGACAGTGGTGATCACAAGGATGCATCATGGGTTAGCATCGCTAATGTGGAGCACCTGTATAATCGTGCTTTACCGTGCCAACAACAAAAATGTTGCTGGATCATTTAGGGGGGTCTTGACATATTTACTTGCTCTCTAGCTTGCCGTCAAACACAATTGCAGTGGTTGCTACTACAAAATTAGCATTACTAGAAATGGACCTTAAACAAATGAGTGTAACATTTAGTTGCTCGACTTCCCGAAATACACCTATCTAAATTTTGTGGATGATTCAAAGAGAATTATATTTTGAACATTATTTTAAGGTCAATGGAGGACTTAACTAAGGTATTGGTGGTGATCCGGACAAAGCATACCCTAGTTTTTATGGCCTTTTTTAACCGTATTGATGCGCAGAGGTTTAATTGTTAGAAAGTGAATAACGTCTTTGGTACAGCACGGGATCTGCTTCACGCTTGATTATTATCTTAGGGCAAGAGAAGTAAGAGCACTCACCGGAACTTTTGCGTGTCGATCTGATGACTTGCGGAGAGCCATGACTGCTTATTTGTACTTTTCTTATTATGAGCAAAGTGCTGTCAGAAAAATGAAATTATGGGCCACCGTGATTCACTCAACGCAGCTAATGCACACATTCACTTAAGCAACCCGGAGGCAAAACATGCGAAGCCTATTTGAATGAAATCAATTGCTATTTCATTTCTGCACTCCCCTTGAACAGTGTAATGTTTACAAGCAGTCGTCATGAACTCTTACTTTTTAAAAAGTTTCAACGCTATTCATCTTTGTTTACGAAGGAAGCAACTTCAAAAGGAAAGTTTTTCGCAACATATAAGTTGATTGGTAAAAGGCACCATTTGAAGGTGGGCGAAATCCGCCTTCTTCCTCAATAAGATTCTAAAAATTTTTATGTCACGCCTTAAATGGTCTCAAAGGCACAAGGCTACATGGATGCCATTTGCACTAGATTTAAATGAGGACCAATTCGCGCCTAAAAATTTTGTTCCATATTTATGCGCATTAAGGTACCGTCTTGCTTACTGCACAGAGATCAAACATCCACTATTTGTGCGACTTACACAAGCAATTATTTTGGGAACTCAAAAGTTATGTCAAACAACGGCAATCAGAGGAAATTGGCTCTAAATGCTCCTCCCATCATTACTAGCGCTAACATAAACTGCTCTTCAAAACGAAAAACCGAATACTTTGTGAATATACGGTGCAGCAGTGATTTCCTCAGTAAGGATCCCAGAAATCGCTAGTTAAATGCTAATTTGGAATTCCTTTTTGGACGCTTATCTGGTAGTGCATAAATCACATTCCACACAATTTCTTCCGCTGCTGAAAATATGAAATAAAATATGAATGACTTTCAGAGATAAAAATGCCCAGGAGCCAATTATTTTCTGCAACAAAATCCCACCAATGACGCCTTGTAATAAGAGTGCTCTCCCTCTCTCTCCCCCCCTCACACACATTGCTTGTTCAATTTCAGCATCATTACAAGTCTTTTTTCACTGATTATATCCCATTCAGGTAGCAAATGATTGTCTAGCTGATATAATTGGGAAGGGATGCACTCGTGTGGATAACATTGGGCACCGAGAGGTGGCAGAAGTGAACAGCCGCGTCGTACAAGTTGAGTTTCCAAGATGCCTGAAGGGTGGTCTAACATTATAAATTAATCTTCTTAAGTAATACCTCAGTAAAATAGCTTCTGTAGGCTAGGAAAACTAATTGAGTTTTAATAGAATAAACGCATTTAAACTTCTAATGAGAATTTACAATCAACAATTTGAAGTTTAAAGTTCTGCAAAGTTTTTTTTGCGATGCACAATGAAAGTTCTTTTTCGAAGTAGACATGAAGACGACCATTTCTATCGATAAAGCAGCGAAACCTCTCACGACAATGAATTGTTCTTCGAGCAAGGCATCAGGGGAAATCCTTTATGGGAGGCAAACAGCCATTCCAAAAGTAGGATTTTCACACCGTCGCAACCATTCACTTTTGCTTTCTCTTCTCCTGTTTCACGCTTAACAGGATGAGGACTACTACTAAATTTTCTACGTAATTTCAGTGTTCTCAGAGCGGTCTCATCAAAATAAGGGCAACCCTTTGTTCTTCAAGTAGTAGCGTTGGCTGTTTCATCACAGTCCAGTGTGATCTGAATATAACAAAACTATGGTTGAGTATTTGAATAGAGCCTGGTTTATTGTCGACCTCACTACTAGTCGGATTAGTACCACATTATTAACTGAGACGACAGTTCAGAAATTTCAAGGAATTCGTTAGAAGTTGACCGTCAACTTGTGAACTTTATTTATAGTGGGTTATTTCACCAGGTAGAAATACATACATATATTTGTTAACTTACTAGTATCTTTTAGATGTATGCGCACATTTCTGGGTCGCTATGAAGCCACCGAAATTTCGTTGAAGGCTGAAGAAGACATAGCACTCGGGCAGAATATTATGCATTAAATATAGAATGGAGTTGAGGTCCACTGGAATGGCCCGGAGGCTGGCTCACCCGGTGAAGGTGCAATGGTGGGGCACCCAAGTGGCTCTTTCACCAAAACCGAGGGTTAAACAAACAACCAACGCATACAGCTTAAGTGGTAATAAACCTTGACAGGCGCATCGCAGGATCGCACCGAAGTCATGCAACAGTACGCTGTTTAGAAGACTAGACGAATGAATTCGGCTCTTTTCATGCATAAAACTTCCTGTTCGGAAGAAATAAGAACTCACTCCCAAGCTATTACCCTTTTTATAATTATTTTCAGATCCTTTAAATCATACCTTTTCCAATTTCGAAGTGCGCCACTGACTTAAGTAGATATTGCATCAATTTTTGCTTTAAAGCATCTTTCCGGTCACCTTTATAATTAGTGGACTTATTTCCGTCCCGCAACAGGTTTATGCACGTTAGAAATAGCCTTTTGTAGATTTTTACACCATTCGCATCTGACGGTGTTAATTCTACTATAGCACTTAGCTTTTGTCTCAATTGCTCATTCCCTCAAATCACTTGCCTGAACGGGACCAAGAAGTCGTGTAGATAATGTGGACATCGTTTTCCCACATAAAAAGTAATGCAGCCAGTTCACTCATTGACATTAACCGCAGTTGTAATAAATCACTTAAAAATACAAGAAAATGCGCAATTTTACCTCGTTAATTCGCATTGAACACAACGAATTTTTGCCTTTATACGTTTGGAACAGCAAAGAACTTGCGAAATCTCCGACAGGCTATTTACGATAAAAATAAGGCAGGTCCTACGGTAAGGAAGAAACATAATGCGGTATCCAAGGTCAGTTGTGCTTCCCAAGTCGTTCTCAAAATTACGTAGTGTGATTTCCATGATGGTGGCCTTCCCGACTAATCATGCAAATATTCTTCATTATCGCTGATATGATGATGTAATACATGAGAATAGCAGAAACATTTGTCCGTAACTTAAATTAGGATCTAATAAGCACCAGTAACACAACATCTCGACAAAAAAGGTCAAAAGAATGAATTTTAGGGATAAGATGGCGTTTTAGCTCAGTTATTAATAGAGTTATAAAATCTCCAAGGATAGCAAACAGGGTTTTAAATGACTAAATATCTAACAAAAATTATCACTGGCAGAAAGTGAGCTTGGTTGAACCGCATACCATGGAAACGTTGGAGAAGTAAAGTGGACCAACATATTGGTTTGCAACGATTTGCACCGACGGTACGTTAGTGTTTAAATGCCTCCTCTCAAAGCCAAGTAGTTTGCGTTTTTGCTTGCGCTATGCTTAACAATAGTGAAAATGGGGCTTCTGCCAATTATCAAGCACTAATATTGCTTCATGTTCATTGTTCTTCGAAAATACGAAATAATTGACATTCAGGCAGCTAATATTGGGAGTTGGTACACTTCCCCCATTAAACCCAGACCAGTATATGCGAGTTAAGCAGGGCAACACTAATCGCATCTAAACTTACATCAATAAGTACTCTTTCAGACAGTCGGCTTTCGGTATAAAAAGGTAAATGGTTTGGGGCACAAACATTTCCCCTGTCTGAGTTGGGTTGGGGTGACCCAACGGACTTCATTTAGTTGATTTTTCCCCCAAAAGTTCCCTCTTCCTTGATTAAACGCCCAAATACCCTACTAGGGACGTGGTTTTTTCTAGCCGAAGTGTTGAAGGCGACTTTATTTGGGTGTGACAGATATGAGGAGGTTGCAAAGTGAACATTTAGGACCTATTAACTGGTAATTTATTTAGATTTGCTTTGGTGTCTACTGTGAATCAACGGCGATTCAAATATATGTGTTTGTTCATCGAATCCCTTGATATCCTAAATTGAAAACACTAAAGACAATAAGAATCCAGGGGGATGGTGATGGAAGAGTTCTACTACCACCATGCACTGTCAACAAGAGGTAACAAAGAGAAAGTAATTAAAAAAAAGAGTGGGAAGCTGAAGAGTTAGTGTCTGCTCAATCTGCTGTTTAACACTAGCCATGATGACCTTATTAAAAATTCAGAAGGTGTGAGTAATTTGAAAATTTTTAAGGCAGCTGGAAAAACTACGAATTTGGGGGGTTTTGGTGCTCTGTACACTAGCAGATTTAAATAATCCATCAAAATTACAGCTGTACCCTAGCCATTTCAATTAGTACAAAAGAAATAGTTTATTTAGGTAAAAGAAATGCAGCCAAAATCTACCGATAGCCCCCTGCAAATAAATTCTTTGTCTAGTTAAAGTCATGCTTTATCACGAGTTATTGAAGCGCAATAAAGCGATCACAGAGCGAATTGCTTTGAAGAATAGACAAAAGGATGTTGCGAAAACGCCATCGGCTGGAGGGGATTAATACAAAATCAAACAGCCAAATCACTTTCGTTCCCTGTATTCAATTGAGAATTAAAAAAATGCTCCGATTTTATTAGTCGGTTGATTCAAAAAGCCTATCTTGTGCAGCAAACACCATGGACAAAACGTTTTATAACTATAACTAAAGCCTAAATGAAATGTCGTTAGTCTACCTTTTCTGCCTAACTGGTGAGGGAGGAATGATGGGCTCTGGCATATTTAACTCTAATTCTTCGCGTACGTAGCTCCCGTTTTATGTGATTGCTCAGGAACTGTTAAAGGCTGACCAGCGTTCTCTCCTCTCCTACTTCCGATTTTCCCATTCGATTATCTTTTGTCATGGCGGCATGCCCATGAAAACTGTCAAATCACCGATTATCTTTTTGTGAAGGAGTAAACAAGTAACAATTCATACTGCTATTAACAACGGCACACAACTACGGAGTTGCTACACTTTCAGAGCTTATTTTAATCGTTTTTTAGCGGCAGAGTTTTAAAACGCATCATGCAAGTCCTTCAAATGTGCATTCTTTCAGCTGGTTTTGACTCATAAGTAGAAAGCTTGCATTTTCAGTTAACTTGCCCACTTTTAGCAAAAATTAGGCCCCAAAATTTCCGCTGTTTCACTTGACAAAAAACTAACGTGCAATTCCACATTGATCGAACCATTTTAGGCCCGTCTATTCACACCCACCTGTGGTTACTTGTGTCGTGAATCGGCTGTAACCAAATCGAAATTCTACATTTGGATGCATAGCGGTGCCCCGTGCTCATTTATAATCATTTACATCGAGGCCCCAATCCTCCTGAGGAAGTAGACCGCCGCCGTCACGACGACGCATGTCTCAGAAACCAATTACGATATCTTTACCTCTCGCGGTCAAACCTGAGTTTACTTTTCAATTAAATCGTACCAAAACTATAGAGTAGTTTTTTTCAGGATGAAGAGGACTATGTCGAAGAAAACTTGGGTAATTTATTTCAGTCCCAAATGATGTATTTGGAGTATTCAGCTAAACAACTCAGTAAAATACAGATGAGTTGAAGTGCCGCGTGCTCTGAACGGGAAGGAGGCAGTGAGTGCGAGTGAAAACGTATTAGACACTTTTAGACAAATTAATAAAATACAAGAGAATGTCAAAACGAAAGATGTGAGGGGGACGTCAGCGGAGACGAAATGAGCCAAACGAGTAGAAGAAATGAGAGGGCGACCAAGGATTACAGGCGCGAGACGAAAAAGAGAGGTGTTAAAAGTAGACTCAGTGGGAGACCATTTTGGCAAACTGCCCACTGCTCTCCGGTGAGATCACGGGCGTGGCAAACCAGGAGCGACGCTCTTCCAGCCTCTGCCGTATCAGAAACTCATCCTTCCTCGACAACTTCAGGACCGTCGCCACCGCGCGCACCAATTGCAGGGCCTGCAATTGGAGAAGAAAGAAGAGAAAGGTCGGCTTGTCGCATCTGACCCTCCGTGATTCGATAACTGCACTCAGCCCCGTCTCGTAACAGCACCAGAACAATACAATGGAGACAGCAGAAAATACCCATTATTAAAACTATGGAGTTTTTGGCGTTCAATAGGGAAAAATGTGATCTATAATTCCACATAATTAAATGTCATTTGGTTATTTTTTTACGAGAAAACGCAAGTTGTCGTGTTCGTACCGTTGGACTGTTACCGATAATTGCTCGAATAGGTTGTCAAGATAACGAATGCAACTGATAAGTGGTTGGCATCGGGCCGTTAAAATTTTAAAGTATGACATCATGGATGAATGAATCTATGATCGGGGATTGGTGAGACAACTGAGGTAAAGCGCTCGATCCTAATCACGCATTGTAGGAATGGAGGTACAACAATTCTTAAATTTGCTATAGGACAGATAAACACAAAGTCAGGCAGACAAGGGGTGGCCTGATGGAATTCCACAGAGACAAAGCTATACATGACTGACGGGCACTGATAATGTACTAAAAGGCAGTTACACCCTACGAAATCCGAAAAATACTTTCCCTTACTTAGTTGTTTTAAACAAAGCTGGATAATCTCACACGAAAAACGAGAATAGGATGTGTGAAAAAAGTCAGCATGGAAAGTTAATTGGTATTCATTTACCTTATTAGCAAGAGAAATAGGCAATTCGTGCAAAAACACGTTGAATCAGGCACGCCTGAGTTTTTCTCAAAACCGGAAGAAACCGAGGCCACAGCGACAAATTATAAAATGAGTTTTGTGCGCATTTTTTGGCAAAAAAAGGAGGAAATAGGGCAACGGTAGACCAGCAACGACATTCTGAGGAGCATTCACAAAAAGGCACTGGGGATAAAATTAGACAAATCACTACTTTTTAGCAGTTTCACTGTCCATTGGCTAAACAATGGCAAGACTCGCTATCTTCATACGGCACAAGTGATTTTCACGCAACAGGAGGAACCACTCAAGACCATCATGATGATAATGACAATTCCAGGGCACAACGAAAATGATTATCATACAATGACAAAGCAAAAGTAACATGTTCACTATCAGGCTCTGGCCTCAGAGGGAAATCTACCATCACAGCCATTCAGGTGTTTTATGCCTCAAACGTGACAACAATTGCCATTATTTTATTGACCAATTCAACTCCTGTTCAAAAAGCAAAAGTGCAGTTATCCTCAGAACAAGAACATTCTACACCTATTTTATTGCTTTAAACTCAACCAATCTGTCTGGGGTACGATTTGATAAAACCATTATACACTGAAAGAGAAAACGTGTTACATGCTTGTAGTGACGTTCAGCTAAGTTAAGATACAACAGTATCTAACTGGATGATGAGTGAACCGAATCATTGTAAACACAAATCCTGAATTGTCAAATTGCAAGTTGCCATTAAATTAAACTCACCGAGAAAATAGAAGCACATAATTAAATTAAAAGCCTTCAAAAAGAGGATATCGATGTTGACACCTCTATGAGTGAGGCGGAACAAAGGAAGGAGTTTAAACTAACCTCTGAGTCGTGACTGAGGAAGAACTTGAGGAGAACGTGTCTCATGTATTCGAAGTTGACGGGGTCGGTATCATAATGGGAGTTGGTCGTTAATACCGCCCCCGGTGAAGAGGTGGACAACACGGTGGAAGCGCAGTGCGAATCAAGGCTCTGTGTCGTCTCCATCGCTGGTAGGATAGCGGGAGGACTGGCAGGTGGCACCTGCCGGCTGGTCGCGAACAGCGGCGGTAATGTCACATCCACGGCCGAGGGCCCTCCTAGGGCTACTGATCCTGCCGTACCACTGCAGATTAACGGATAAGAGAAATTGATTAGATTGGTGGTATATTTTTTAGTAAAAAAATTTGTCTTAGCCGTAATTCAACCACATGAGTTCTCCAGTCCTTGCACTTCAAACACCATTTTATTAGCATGAAATTTCTGCTGACAGTAAACTAGTACTCCTACACATTCATGATAAAGTTCTATCCAGGAGTGTAATTTTTGAACATATCGAAGATAATTCGAGCACCACAAATTCACTATGTTCGGGGAGCAGTACTTGAAGTCGTGAACTGGTAGTGCCTAAAGAAAACAGTGCTATCCGCTACAATGGTTTTAATTAGCGGTCTGATCACAGCAATCGTTATTAGACAGTAATATAAGCACAACTTCAATGCTAAAAATAAGGACAATTAGGGTGACGAATAAACAAAGCCAAATTTTTAAATTTTTTAATTCACCAATGTGATAAATTTCATTCAGTAGTGGGGGCTGCGGCGATTCTAATGAAGTAAGAACAAAAACTGCAATAACCATGTAAACCGTCAGATGATCGGGCGAATAGAGCACGAAGGATTCCACAAGGTGAAGAGAGAAAATGGCGTTTTATTGCAAATTGTAGGGAAACTTAGACAAGCGAACTTCCCCAAAACTTCTAGCGATTTCTAATGAGCACTGCGAGAGAACCGACTTTTCTGGAGCCAAATTATGATATCCAGCAACCACACGAAACATTAGGCAGTTTGATGGAAAAAAGACCTCGCAAATCGAAATAGCCAGCTCAGTTTGTGCAGTGGTGATAAGGTAGTAGTACAAGCATGGCGTTTATGCGACTGATAAAATCAGGAGGCAAGCTTCCTTCATCCACATACGGTAGCGCAGCTTCCAGTGTGTCGGTATGTCTGCTCACGGAAAAATACTCAATTACTAGGAGCAGCCATTCCCTGACAAAGCACTCCATCGAGCCCGAATCTTTTTAAACAAGAGGTTTGGCAACACCGATTTTTGCAAAAAGCTCAACAAGACGGGTAAAAAACGCACTAGGCAAGATTAGGCGCACATATCGCGTACCTAAGAACGACATGAACAGTTTGATGAGGAATTGAAAATTACAACTTGGATGCTAGAGATCTCGAGCCCAACCCTATCCAGTATCGCGTCGTCTCTGTAGTAAATGTGTTAGTATTCATACGAGTCGAAAATCCTGCACCTGGTGGATAACTGTATGCGTTTATTGTATGAGTAAACAAAGATCTTGAGCCAGTCAAAAGGAACACTACTTAATACCAAATAACATTCTAATTCAAGTGTTTTAAAAGAGATAAGGTTAGACAGGGCATAGTGCTCCTCTCAGTATCTCACGATGTCACTAACCATTAGGGGCGGGATCTCTTAATAAAGTTAACCTACAGAGAGTTAATTAACTGATCGTCAGGAGGGATCTCAGCATTGCATGTGAACATGTAAATTTCCTGTATAGAAGCCAAAGAATGTAAGGAGGTTCATTTTCTGCCCGAAAACAGTCGGAATCATGACAAGAAAAGTTGACTCCCATTTTAAAATCGCAGAGAAATGAAATAAATTAATGAGCGATCGTGAATGAAACGGTTCTTACCCCAGTCCCCTATAAAAAATTAATCATTTCATACTTTGATAGAATTTTTCATTGCTCCGGTGTCCGATAAAAAGTGGAGCGAAATTGAGATTCGTCTCAGCTTGGCAAGACAAGCTGTTGATGGCCTCCTGAGGGGAGGGGTGCGAAAGAGCATCCGAAGCAGGTGATTGACACGAGATGCGCCAACTCATTTCCCTCTTGCTCAAGAAGGGGAATGAGAAAGTACATCTAAATTCGGACTTGGGAAGAAGTAGAAGTGTAGTGTTCGTGGGATGGACATCACAAAGTTGACACCAACATCGACGCTGGTGAAAGTAAAGAAATTGCTTACGAACGGTAATGTATGCAGCTGTGAGATCACTCTTTCCCATTATCTTAAGCGCCTTGGTCCAGATCTTGCATCCCATAAATATGGATGCATTGCAGTGGCACGCTTGCTGGAACGAGGATGTAAACAGTGCGGCAGAGGTGGAGACTCAGAAATAAGCACATAACAATGTCGTGTAAATAAAATAAATGCTGCTAAATTTAAAGCTGAAATCCATGAATTGTTGAACGCTTGTTCAACCAGATTTTAAATGACATGGAAATTTAACGGACAGATACAAGCAGGTTTGACTGGGATCATACGAATCATAAAAACAATAGATACAGCCAAAGAAAAAAATACACATAAACAACTCATCGACTTTTAACAAAACTAGATTTTTTTTCCCCGTTTTGCTATAAATTAGAAAAAATAGATACGACTAAGATGCCTTTGACAGAGTTAGTCTGAGGTAAATAATTGGCTTATGTAGATAAAAGGGATGTTTTACAAGTTGTAATGATATGAAAATGCCGTACTTAGAGGGGAAAAAATCACATCCCATCACCGTAGTAACAAGAGGACGGAAGAAGGTGGAAGGAGGAGGAAAAGGGGCAGCCATAAGTGACACTCCAGTTTTGCATGTGAAGGAAGCTTGGGACATTCAAAGTCACATTTCCTTCGTTGCCGATGATTGATGCGCCATAAGCACGCTGATAATGCATTTGAATGGCGCAGCGAGAAGACGTCATCAAAGTTCTTCTACCAATGCTTTTGCCTTATGGAATTTCAAAATCAGCCCTCCGGAGAGGAGGCTGCAAAACAGTTTTTCGTATGGCAGTGGATGATAAGGAATGAAGAATTGATTTACAAGTGAACTTCTACGAAAAGTATGTAACAAGACAGTTAGGCATGAAAGAAGCATAGAGGCGACAAACCACATTACTACAAACCTACCAACCTTGCCATCCTATTTTAATTGAAGACTACTCCTTCAGATCCGCTTGACATGTTTTACAGTCCTGACTACAAATTCATCACCCAAGTATGTATTTGTTGACATATCGTTTCTCTTTCTGAGTTTGTTTCAATTTCCCGGTTGATTCTCATTTTTAGGGAAAAGATAATAATTCTATAGCGCACAACTCAATCAAATCTCCACTTTTTTTCTAACGGATTCCAAAAGTGCTGGCAATTTTATCCAATCATACTATATGCCAAGAAGATTGTATCTAGTAACAAGAACGCAAAGACGTAACACACTGACAGTTTTCACATCAGTCGCTTTTGAAAAGTTTTCATGATCACCTGCAAAAGGTTCATATTTCAGCATAAAAAGTCGCCACAAAAATGGAAAAATCAGGAAAAGCTAGGCTTAGGGGCCAACCAGGTGACGAGAAATAAGACAGGTTAAAATTCATCAAAGACTTTGTAACTAACTGTTAAAATCACTTTTCCAAAAAGTTTGCCTGCTTGTGGTCAGGCTCAATGCTAGATTGAATTACGTATTGAGGAATACCTGGGAAAGAAAAAGTGGAATACAATTCTTTTTTCCGTGAAACGCGTAGAAGTCTGACAATCGTCGAGGTTCGGCACTATTCTCATATTTAGCCTTCGGTACTTACAACAGTCTATTCACTTTTGTACTAATATTTGTTTGATCAATCGAAAAGTTGCCTATTTACCCGTGGAAAATGGCCCAACAAAAATAATATACTGTAAAAAAGCTAAGAGGAGGAAATTAATAATGGGTAGCTTAAATAACCCGGAGTAGTCCTGATAATATGGGCGATGGGCAATTGCAATTGGATCAAATTACACCTCACACGTGGTGGTGGCTTAGAAACAGACCCATGCAATAGACTACCAACACTCCCTTTTATCCTCAAAGAATAGAAGTATTTTAGGAAGGCTGAAGACTTAGTGTTCACAGAAGATAAAACTAACACCAGGATGCAAGCAGATTCTCAGCGTAAAATTTGTGCATTGAAAAGAATTTTGAGCAGAAGTACAGAGTCAATAGAGGACAATTTAACGATGGACTTCGCCCCAATTCTTTCACCAAAATTTGATCAGCTTGGGACCTTAGAAAGCTAAAATGTGGGTGTAGCCCGCTAACCCATCTCCATGTTTTGTGCGCGTCTAAACGCCTTTTCAAAGACAAACTTTTTAATAAAATAACCCGGAAGCAAATTCTTCTTCGGGAAGTTCATGTGCGGAAAATATGGCTCTCGCAGATAATGCCCAATGTTCTTACAGATTACAAAAATAGGCCAATTTTCCCAACATTCTAGGCCAAAGAAAAAACGTTCAAAATTAGCAAATCCACCAGGTATACTGCAGTACTCTAACAAACAGTCGTTAAGCGCACCTTATTTGCCTTAATTCGAATTTCTATTAAAATAAAAAAGCAAACTTTAAAATAGATAATGTCTAAGTTCTTCAAAGGAAGACTGACTCTATCGGTAGCAGTATAATTTACATTTATTTCTTTTATTACTTGAATATAATTCTGTTATAAGAATCATAACCGCTAACGCTTAAAAGTAAATGTCACTGACTTCCGAGTTATATCGAGGGGATTTTTGTCATCAAGAAACATGAACAGCAAAAAGATCTTTCAATTTTCCAGAGACTTCCAGCTTTGAAAAACGCTAAATAATAAATAAATAAATAAATAATAAACAGTCTTCATGTCACCCGGCCATACGGCAAAAGAGGGCTAATTTGCATGATTCCACAAAGGGAACCGTTAAAGCTAAACGTCTTGAATGCCATGAACTTCACAATAGCAAATTTATGCAAGTGAAAAACTTCACTTCTGATTTGCCCGATCCTCTTCATTAAAAATTTGCATTACATTTTAGGAAAGGTGGCAAGGGAAAAGAGGAAAGTGGAGAACGGACGAACCTGACAAAAGAAGGCTGCTGATGATTGTGGGCCTCCTCATCAGTGGAAATGAGGGAGAGATTTGACACTGTCACCGGTCTCAATCCCTGACCAAGAGCCTTTTTCAGCTCCGACAGCTTCTGCTTCTGCAGCCGAATAGTCTAAAGAAACGAAAAAAGACACTTCATAGTTCCGGTATGGCAAATGATCTTTTTAATCGTAAATTAAGCCGTCTAGGTTGGCAAGCGGATTAACACCATCAGCGCGGTATACGCTTAAATATGCCGATGTTGAAATGAATCGTCCAAATGGAGGAAACGGCTGTGCTTGATGCAACTAGATGAACTTATTCACAGTGAAAAAGTAAAGAGCCTCTTATTAGACACACAATGTTTTGGTTTCTGCGTGCGTCGACCTTTTAATAACCAATTTAAAAGTACATCAATGTTTTTGGCACAATTCAAAAAGTTCTTTTATGTGAAACCCGATCGGTGTAGTTATCATTTTAAGGCATTCATGACAAAATCTTTGCTTGTAAAGGCGAGTCATACAAAATCCTCAACACTGTGACATGTATAAACAAAACAAAATTACCACTATTGATTTTGTTCATACAAAAAGATTATATTATTAGCTGAATGGACCTCCAAATGAGGCCAATGGTAAAAAAGAAAGGAGCCGCATAACTAAGCGGGAAGACGTACAATTGGTCTAGGGCGGTAAGTCATGAATAAGGTATACCTTACTAATATGGAGTGCTTTAATGTAGATCGAAACTAGGGCCAACATATTTACAACAACACGTCAAAATCTTAAACAGAAAAAAGGAGGTAACTTTGGTGCAATCAGCCGAAGGCTGGGTCAGCACGTTGTATAGGGATCTTTCAAATTTGTAGCAGTGCGATATTAACCAAATAGACAACATTTGACGAAAAATAGAATAATAGAAATGCATTGTAAAACAATGCGTGAAACGACATCCGTGCCAGTGTCCTTCAGAGACCATTACCTCAACATTTTTCGAAAGCGGATATAAATAATAAGCGCTTCGTTTAGTAAAGTTTTGTTTATACGTGAGTTTTTGAAAGACTTAAAATCAACTTTTATCAATATGTATGAGACAAAATTGTGTTCTAAACCAATAAATGATTCCAGGGCATTTGGGGAGTAATGAAATTGAGATCCCATAAATGAACGCCAGGCAAAATGAGGACATCAAGAATACCATAATGTAATATAACAAAAGCAAAAAGGACTTCCACACCACTAAAGTCTGTCTATCGATATTCCTGGTTCAGTTAAAGTGTTTTCTGTCTGCAAAAAGGTAGGAGGCACTTTTAGGAGCAACAACTGTTCACGTGAAAGTAAAATATTTAGAGCAGCCTGTTTAGTTTCACTCTCTAAGATCATTCGAATGAGAAGAAACCACTACCTTTCTGGTGTCCAAGTGGGCGCGCAAGGCCTATGGACAAAGTAAACTGCATTAAAGCATGCAAAATCTGCTCATGGTTGATTACAGAGGCGACAGACAATTGTTGAATACACAGAAAAGCCGAACTACACATATAGGAGTAATACACAAACACGAACACGTCTAAGAGTCTTTATACAAAGTGAAGATTCTGGATGTAAAAAATACTCGAATGGGGAAAAACTGCATGCTCTTTCAATGTTACTTGGCGTTTCTGTGCAGGAATGAAGGAATATTATTTCTACGCATAACCTTTAAGCCATGAATTTTGTGCGCGTCGTGGTAAATGTAAAGCTTGAAAGTTCAATCGGTTTCTCAGTCCAAATATTTGTACGCGCCACGTCAAGTGCAGTCACATTTCCGCTGACTGGGTAACGTGCCTCATTAATCTTTTACCGCAGATGTCCAATCTTTGGCGGCATGGAAAGGAAATACTGTGAAGGCTTCAACTCGTTTTCCTCTGACGGAAGAAAGATCCAGGTTCATTTCATCGTTTAGGCTAATTATTCTTCTTGTTTTCAGCTGTTAATTACCTTTTCCCTCCTCGTTTACACTTTTGCTAAATTTGTACCAACAATTAGCAAAATTACATATGGACAATTGACTACTAATAGAGAAAACATTAAAGTGCAGCTAACGCGGATAAAAAGGCCTATTCCTTCCTCCCTTCAGAGAGCTCGATAAAGTAGAAAGTTGGCATATAACTTACTTTGTTGCGATCCAAAATTACCTCATTCAATTCGTTTATTGATTCCTTCAAGGACGCAACCTCCGCAGAGGTTTGAACTGTCTCAACTTCCTCTCGCTTCGCCTCAAGCTCTGCAAGCCTACTCTGAAAACCCTTCTCCATTTCTGCCATCTGGAAAAAAAAGTAGAAAACAAACGTGACCACAGCGAATTCAGGAGTGGGCATATTTCGGGGATTCTTTTGTCGTGATTGGGAGGGAGAGGGAGGCAGAAAATACCGGACCACTCAAGTGGACTCCTACGAATAACCTCGACTACTACATTTGGATTTGAGGCGCACATATTTGAAATCATAATCAAATACACATATTTGGAAATATCCGTCTCAACCGGAAGGGACAGAGCCGATGCATTTCGGGAGATTCTCAATAGCTTTTGACTAAAATACACACTAAAATACACTAAGAACGTTTCAAAAGGCTAAAGAGACCAAAATTTTTCAGAATCTCGACAATGCACCCGAAATATGTGCATTTGTTTTGTATGAAGAGTTGATATTAAGCCGGGCAGCAAAAAAACATGGTCCAAAAACACAAAAGGACTTACTTTGGCGTGAAGAACATCTCGTTCTGACTGCAGCTGCTGGCACTTGACCTCGGCTGCGTTAGCTGCTTTTTGGGCATCGTCGATTCGCTTAGTCGATGCCAGCAGCTCCGCTTCAGTTCTGGCCAATTCCTCCTTCAATGCGATCCCTTGGGCAACCTCAGCTGAAAATAAACAGTATTTTCGGATAATTTGTGCAGACACCTACTCTCTCTTGCGTGCTCCTGGGTTTTAGTAAGTCTGTCCATCTCTGTCCTTAGGTAGGCATTCGTTTCGCTTAGCTCTCGCAATTCCTGCTCCAGCTTCGTAACCTGCAAATGATTAAATAACGCCTACTTTAGATATATAAGTAAAACGTCATGCCAATAGATGCTCTCTAAATACACAATACGCGTGCAACTGCAAGTGCATTAAGATTAATATAAATAACCTAACCTTTTCACAATTCTGTTTCTCCAATGCTCTATACTTTGAGATCGTTTGTTGAAGCTCTGCAATTTCGGCAGTTCCTGTGTCAAGTTGAATCTGAAAATATGATTTACTTTTGGGCGGACCTACCTTCAATTCTTCTTTTTCACGCTTTAGTGAGTCAGCTTCCTTAACACCATTTTCAATGTCCTTCGCCAAATCCGATATCCGTGACTGAAGCTCTTGCTATGAAAAAACCAAAGAAATATTCATTAGTGCATGAATTAAATGACTCGGCTACTGTGTGTGGCTTAGAAATCATATTCAATAGTCCCGATTAAATGTGCAACCGTTTCAATTAATGGATTAATTTTTATGCAATAAGTGCACTTAATGAGTGCCCAGAAAAAAATGATTTCAAAAAGCGCGAGCTTCGAGAGGATCTTGACTAAGTAAAACCCATATGGAAAGGCAGCATTTGTATGAAACAGACACAATAATAACTAATGTAAAGACGAAAGAAAGCGATAAAAGTGGTTTACCGAAAACTGGAGGACCTCGGCATGCGTGCGACACTCAGTTTGCGCGGTTTGCTGCAATGCTGCAATCTCGGCCTTCAGCGAGGTGTGAGTTAGCTCCCACTCTCGACGCTGCTCCTCCCACGCCAACTCGCGCGCCGTCCGATCCAACTCCGCCCGATATAGCGCAGCGTCTGCCTCTGCCTGCTTGCCACGCACCTCTGTCAACTGAGTCGTACGGAAGGGAGGAAAAAGACAAAGACACCGATAATAGCCACAAGCTGTCGAAAATAAGACAACCTCTTCACTTGCCTCGATTAGACGGGCCAATGAAAACTATCAAAAGTGTGGATAAATGTACTATTGCAATGAATAATCACTTTCAACAAAAGGATCTGCCCATCTGGCTCCGCAATAGGTGGTCATATAGTCAGTACTCCTTTCGAGATGACACCAATTGCGCAACTAGAGAGGTGAATACACACATCCACAAAAGAAAGCATAAGCAAACGCATCTCACAAACGGCAAAATGGGAAAGCCACCACATCAAAACCAGAATTTGGCTATTAAATAGATCATGCTAGGAATATTAATCTAAATGCCATGCTTTGCGAAGAATCAAATGCGACATAATTGTAAGAAATGTTGAAAATATACAATGATAAAGTTGAAAAGGGATATGACAACCAAAGCACACAATATGACTTCAATTTGTACAAGATTATTAGGCAACAATCGCTAAGAAGTGGGAGTTCAAAAAACCTACTTCTGAATCAAGCTTTTGCCGCTGACTTTCCCATTCAGCCTTCTCAGAGGCGTGCTTGGCAGAGTCCCCAGCGATCTTATCATTTAGATTAGTGATTTGAGATTCAAGATCGGCGAGTTTTTCGCCCAAGTTCGACTTGACTTCCTCCAGGTGCTTTCGTGTTTCCGCCAACCGAGTCTCTAGCAGCTTACGCTGAAAAAAAAGTACAATGGTACTTCGTACTGTGACAACTGAGAGGCGGTACATTAAACACACCACTCGTGCCACCCATATGATAAAAATGCATACTGGCAAAAAAAGCCCGACAAATGTACACTTTCCAAATTCATCACACACTCCGAAGAGATTGCACGGTGATACTATCTTCTTCTTTAAAAGACTGTAGAACTAAGCAGAAGTCTAATCAAATTTTGCTAAGCCCGTTAAATCAAACGACAGTCCCACGGCAGCACACATGTTCCAAGACAACTCCCAACTAGCGGAGCTCAAAAACACTATCATAACTGTTAGACTGAGAATTGATCTGCCTAGGATACCACAATTTTATAATATTAACAGTCGCAAAGAGGAAGCCAGTTTTGTTATTAGAAAGCTAAGGGAAACGAATGAGTGAAGTAAGGGATAGAGGAATTAGAGGAAAAGTACATACTTCAACAAGAAGAGTGACACATCGCGCAGAAGCGGTCTCGGGTGCGTCGGGACTTGGGATAGGACCAGAGGTGAGTTTAGCATCCTCCATTTGTTCGGTGAAAAGCCCGGCGTCGGGTTCGGTGAGGATGACAAGGCGTTCTTCCAGTAGACGCACGCGATCCTTCAAATCGGCTTCGCGTTCGCTCGCACGCACGGACGCATTCCTTGCCTGAAGGTTTGCCTTCTCCGCCTCCGCCTGCGCTACCCTCGCCCGATCCAACGCTTCCACAGCCTCGTGCTTCTGTCGACTCAGAGCCCCCTTCATCTGGAAAAAAAGAAATATAGTGATAGTTGTAATGCACTGCCTTACACACTTTCAGAGCACACAACGGAAAGGTGACTACAAATCTCACCCTTTTGAATGGGAAATTTCGAATAGGGAACACTACGGATACAATCCGATTGGCAACTTCAGTAGATTATATGCAGTGTATCCACAAGTGTAATACTACGAATGTGCATTTGATGGTTATGTACTTGACGAAAAAGATTCGGTGGATATTCAATATAGCACTGATTATCATTCTCGCGTGTTAAAAAGGTTTGTGCAATGGAAAGGATCGGATTGTTATCAGCATATGATCTAATTAATTTCAAAATAGTGAATGCAAATAAAAAGCAGGAGTAGAATGACCTGGTTTAATTCGGTAGTGAGTTCCTTAACTTTCATTTCTGTCGCATCGTTTTCAGCTTCGAGTTCGCGCAATGCCTTGGTTTTAACAGACTGGTCATCGAGCAATTTTAAGCTATAAAAAAGATTAAGCATGTTAATTCAATTGCAAAAAATAGAAGTAACCACAGACAAGTAAATCAACTCACCGGAGTTCTTCCGCATTTTCCAAGGCCACATTTTTAGCCTCCATTTCCTTGGATAACTGAGTCAGCTGGAGAGAGAGATCTTCAATCTCTGCAACTTTTTCTGCCAACTGGGCACGCAAAGTTCTCACCTCTTCCTCCAAGCTGACAAGCTGTAATTAAGCACAACATCATCAGCACCATAACGATTGCGTCCACAAATTCTTAAACCAAATATTATTGTACATTGTTTTTCGCGCATTCCAATTCCTGAATTGCCTTACGATGCTGCTCATCTTTTTGTGCGATAACCTCTTCTGAAAGTCGATCCACCGCGGCGAGATTAGCTTCAGCCTTTGACAGCATGCTGCCCAAATCTAAACGTGACTGAAGGTGAAAAATGGCAAGAAAAAAAGTTTAACTTGATAAGGTACAGTTTTGAAGAAGAAAAGTTAAATTGGTGAAACGACATATGCAACAAGTTGAATTAACTAGTAATTTATAAGACTGTTGCAAAAACCTCAACAGATTCGGGAGCCTCGTCAGTGTGATCAGATTTGGCTCCGCCCAGACTTCCCGTGCGAGAGTTTGCCCGCAGGAGTTCTATCAATAATAGTTTTGGGGAAGCTCGAGGAACTCACCGCTTCTAAGTCTATCAATTTCTTTGTTGGAGGTCTCGATTGAGACATCCTTTTGACGTAAAAGGACGCCCAATTCCGCAATCTTTGCTTCAAAATATTTGATCCGATCGCTTTTACGATGCTAAGAAAAAATAATGGGAAAAACGAACATACTGCAGTCGCGGAGTTTAGACTGGTCAGCGACTCGTTGGAGGCCAACATGGATCTAGCTTTAAACAAAATAGAGGACGCGAACAAAGTTTTTATAAGAATCGAATAGACAGTGCATATTAAGAGCTGTGACGGCACAGTAAACCAGAAGTGTTTTACTTAAATTACGATCAATATGCACTTTGATGTAGACTAAACAATGCAAACAGGCCAACAAGGGAAAACGTAGAATATCATTACAAAGACAACCAAAGAAATAAAAGCTACCATAGTTTTATGACAATATACGAACTAAACACAGTCGAAATGAGGGAGGTTTATTAATTGCAAGGAAATAAAACAAATTTGTCGATAAAGTTCGACACCAGAACCTTGCTGTATGGGTGCTTACAGAAGGTGTATAAAATAGTTGGCAACCAGTAGCACCAATTTCAAATACTATGAAAAACTTTCCTCGGTGTGTATCAGTATGCTGTCAGCAGGCATGGAATTGCCAATTAAAATAGTAATAAATTGGTTCGAAACGCCCCGATTAACTTAAACTAGGTAAACAAACGTTTGCATGAGACTACGTGGAGTTGATCCATTTCAGCTACGAAAACCAAAAATCGTAGCTCCAAGTCGTAGTAAGGACGTATAATTACCAACTCTATCCGGGTACGGGAATTGTGGATAGTAACGTGAGTAATTATGCTGAGACACTTATTAAATGGGCTAAATGGCGTGAAATTCGGCAAACCTGTTATAGAACTCTGAACTGAATGAGAGTCCGAGGTCTTTCTTCTATCTCTGTCCTTCGAAATCCTATTTTGTAAGTCCGAAAACATCCTGGAAGTCTAGAACTCTAACACGCACACCACCTCGAGTAGGAGCAGCTATCACAGGCTCGGTAAAACAAAAAGAGGTCGCCTTAGTGCTTACTGTGATTTTAGCCTAGAAAACCCTGCTTTCAGTTTAATTAAGTTAAACAATAAGTGAAGTGATGTAGTTGAAAGATACTTAAAGCAATTTATATCGTCCCATATAAGGGAGGCAAACCATGAGGCGCAGGCCATAAAGTTGGATATCTGCGGGTTCCATGGTAGTTGGGTCATTGTTAGTAGTTTCCAATTCTTATAGAGTGCTAAACAAGGCTACTGACCTACGTGTTTGAAATAATTTAGCAGTTATCAGTGGTGGATAATTGCACTTATTCCGTTTAAGACCCAGTACCACCTTTACTTGCATGTAGCGCCTTAAGCAATCCCTGAGGACCTAATAAGCCAAAACTGCACGGATCAAATACTTGTGCACATAAGGATTAAAAAGCTATAAGCATGGCTGCAGCTCCTTGCTTTTTAAAAGACGTGCAATCCGTGAAAAATTAAAAAGCCCGTGTAATCAAATGTTCTGTTAAATAAATATTAATGCACTATATTACCCAATCCTTCGTTTGGACGCCGACCTCTGCGCCACCCGTGGTCAGTCCTTTGCTCTGGCTACAGTGAGTCTTGGCATAAGAACGCGACAGGTTCACAGATACTGATGAATTTGCAGCATCAAGAGGATCCTACCTGATAATGGTAGCACACACTATAGGTCTGTTCAAGAATGCTAATTGTCGTGCCTCCTACAGGGCGAAATATATTGGGAAGATAACTAATTTGAGAAGTGATATTGAAGGCTAGACGATACTTTACGGAGAACATATGCAGTACATAAGTCTCCACAGTTACATTTGTTAAAAAATAGCACCGCAGAAGCAAATGCAATGTGCTCAGAACATAACAGAAATCATTACGCTCGGGGTCTACATTGTTTTATTGAGGTCAGTTGTGATTCGTGGAAACTTGACCTCACCTCATCGTCAATCGTGGGGCAAAACCTAAAATTTCGGAATTTGCCCATCTTCGGTGAGTCTCCGTATGTTCAGCCAACCACAACTTCTAGATTTTGGATCCAATTAACCTAACCAAGATTGTTATTAACTTGAACTGAACTTGGTCACCTTTGCCCTCCCTGAGGTTACAAGCCACACCATCACATTACTTATTTTTAACGTACAGGACGGAAACCATACTACTAACCGAATACATAAACACTACATCCGTTCTACCGAATTTCACGACAAAATACCACACAAATTACTCCTGAACAATAGAGAACCGGAATAGATTAGTAGAATTCTTTGCACTTAAAGACAGCAACTTTTGCTGCCTAGGCAATAGCGCAAAAAGTAACGATAGAATAATAATTGCAGGAATTAATAACAGTAGTGGTCGATAGAGTGAGATGGGAGGCAGGGGATGTTTATGCATACATGCGTTCAATTGGAGGAAAAAGAACTTGAAGGGCGCAGGAGATTTGCGTTCATCTACAGGCCTCTATCCGGACCAGTCCTTGGGTTCATAGAATGGTCCCCACCCGTGGAAGCAGCGACGGAAGAGGAAGGGTTCAGCATTTTTAGCTGTTAACTTAAGTTGGCGCGGTCGTGAGGGTTGAGCCCGGGCCATATGTTCCTTGTACAACTTGGCAGCCTGTAGTGACAGCTTCACCTCCACGTCAGACGTCTTTTTGCCTAGCCAGAGGTAAACCTGCTCGCCATTGTCAAGCATCATAACATCGTCATTGACGAGATCGTCTTGGCAGAAGTCGGCGCATTTCTCCGAGGCGTGAAAGTAGCCCGCGTCATTGGAGAGCCTGAAAAGACGCGCGTAGTGCATGTAGTCGGCGGTCTTGTCATATTTTCCCTTGCCGCCCAGTGCTGTCCAAAATGCATCAGGTTCTTCACCTTCCGACAGCATCTCAACCTTGGTGCCAGACTACAAGAAGACTCGGTAATCAACAAGTCTTACGCATGGAAAGACGGTTAGCAAACGAACCTGATCATAGATCTGATCGCAAATGGCCTGTAATATTTTTTTGTCGTCTGGATGCGCCGATTCTCCTATCCAAATGAAAACTTGATCCATACTGCTGTTCGTGATATTCTTTGGGGCGCGCAAGATGTAGGAGAAACACGAATTCAGCGTTTGTACGGCAGGCTTCACCTGAAGTCGGATACGAATCGATGTATAGAAGATGAAGTTACTTCTACTTGAGAAATACGTATTTTGTCAGCTTGATAAGCAGTTTTTAATAAGCAAAGGGGAATTAAGGCAAAAATAAATCAAAGTAGCACTGGATCGTAGCCTGCTATCCTATGATGGTTCAGTCGTACTAGCAGACCCTCCCACGTTAAAGAAATTTTTCGGGTATTGGTGAAACGCTGGTATCAGTGCATAAATGCGGCAGTCAAAAAATAGTAAATGAAGCTATCAATTCGTGGGATTAAAACATTTCTCTTATAGTACAAAAATCATTTTGACACCCTTTATACGATTAAATCTCAACTGTTATACAGAGCTGTATATCTAGTTGAATAAAACTAGATCAAATCGGAGATAAGACAGTAAACAGTAATAAACAACAAATTCCTAGATCAATGATAAAAAAGATGGGGAAAATGGTAGTGAAGCGCGTACCTCAAGGCACCTGGTGGCGATAGGGTCACCGTTCATGCGAAGGTGGTAGAAGTGTACGTGATCTAGACGTTGGGCGGAATCGCGGTCGCGATAGCTACCCGAATGGATGACCATTTTCCGGAGAAAGTGAGCGAGGAAGTACATATCTTCCTGCTGCTGCTTCACACGCTTGAACTCCACGCTGAGGGGACGTCCATTAGCGTTGGGGTTGCGCGAGAGACGCGATTCCATGTCTTTGCGGAGGGAGAAGTTAAAGGTGAGCCACGCGAGCTCAGAGGCCTCGCGACCTTGCCAGAAATAGACAACCGTCTTTGTTGGTTCCTCCTCCTCTTCCCCCTCCTCACCTTCTCCTCCAACTTTATCCGACGCGACAGTCCCTTCTCCAACCGTCTTGGAGACCTCCTCAGTGTCCATCGACAGCTCGTTATCCTAGTGAGGAGGAAAGGGCGGTAGAAGATCAGCATAAGCGTCAGCCAAGTTGACGTGAGTAGCTGCAATGAGGTTTGTTTGCTTGCATTTTAGACTTAAATACGAACCCTCTTTCAGCCTTCTTGTAAATGCTACCTAAACCCTTGGCTACTCAAGACACTTACAATGACGCAACGTTTAAATGGGTATACCTTGCTACGCCTTCAGAGGGAACCTGGGCGTTGCATTACGAAGGTCATCCATATTACCTTAAGCCACACTTAAGGAAAAGATGTCAGCCGTAACCTGACTGTCATGAATAAATATAATTTCTGAGCAGTGAGGAAACAATGAAAACGTCTATTTGCTAAACTTATCGACCTATGGACTGCAAGATCGAATCAAAACTGCTTTACCGAGTGATGAGTGAACAATCAGCGAATCCAAAAAAAACTGCCAAAAAGATTACCATTAGTTTAATAAAGGCAAACATAGTTGAGTTGGACATTTCATCACATGCAATTCAGCCAATTATCAACTACCCTAAAGTGGAGTAAAATCCTTGAATTTTGTTTCAGCGACAGACTTGCATTTAAATTCACCAAGTTCGTGATTGATTCTGGTCGCCATGCAGCGATGGAGGAGCATTTACACGAATAAACCCCACTGCCCCCAAAACCAGTATTTGTTCTCTGGACTAGGTAATTTTTTCCTATTAGAGAAAATAAACGCCATCAACATGGACAATTCAACTAAAACTACTCAGTGGAAGTTAAATCAATTGCATAAAGCCGAGGAGAAGGTACACAGATAAGAAAAACTGAGATGGCATCCAGCAACCACTGCTTACTTATACTACCGTACCTTATTCTACCAATTTACAATCTTTACGCTGATTCTCCCATACATGTATCCAGAATCAGTAAATCTTGCTCCCTATGTAACCAAAAACTCACCCAGTAGCGAGCAATAACAATGTAAGAGTCTTTGTTGAAGAAGTGTCCAAACCACCTGGGTTCAACGGGCGCCCACTTGCGATCAAGGATTACGAATTGCTGAAGAGAGGGAGTGGGAGAGCCTTGACTAAAGTCGGCGTCCAGCTCGAGTGGTTCAATGAGTTCGTAGTTCAGGTCATTCATCAGTTGAATGGCCTTGTCCCAGGAAAGGGGTGTCTCGCGCGGTGCAATGAGAGCTCGAAGATCCGTTTTAATTTGATCGCGCTCCAGAATCACGTTGGGATCGGCGCCGCGAGCTGTCACCGACTGTGCAGTACGCGTGAAGTCTACTGCCATGGTTGGCTCCCAGCCAACGAACTGCGCTCGGAATATCTACAACAGTGTAGGCGGACCCCACTCCCGATCGTTATGAGGTTGAGAAACTGGCCATGGTCAAGCAGCTAGATGGGAAACGTTCGCATATTCTACATTCATTAGCAAAATATTCACCTGTTTTCTGATACAAATTACTGCCACTATAGCACTTTAACTACTTAAGCCTGATAACCTGCTAGTGATATAAAAAAGAACCCAAGGCACGATTCTAAATCCTCATTCACTCAACTAATCATTGAAGGAAGTTGGACGGTGAACAACGCCATTAAGGCATGACGGGCTTAGAGTAAACGGATTTAAAAAAAGCTATAAAACTGAGTTATTGATACTGAACTTTGTTACTTCTAACGCACGGCCTTAATTGATAGTTTTTTACTTGGTCTCGTTGAAAACAAGATCAAAAATGCTGTCCACCTGTTATTCGGGAATACTCTATGCTTATACTACCCAATTTAAACTTTAATATGCGTTACAGCATTCGAATAGGGTCTCTAAGTATTGATAACCATCGTGGATAACCATAATCAGTTATAAGAAAACACTTTCAAGTGAGCAAGCTCCGATTCACTAACATTAACGATATATTAACCCCAGCATGTTTGCCTTTCAGCGGAAGATTTTAACCATAATAACGAAGAAGGTCATTTCTGTATATCTTAAACTGAGTTTGGGTATCAACTATATTCACATTGGCTACCGCTTTTCATGAGCTAGCGGCTAAATAACGAATATGCACTGCAACTCAATAGTTTGCTTGCCAGCCAAAGTAAAAATATCCAGGCAGGGATAGAGGAGAACTGCAAAGTGGGACTAACCTCATTCTCAGCACCTTCAGGACAGGGCTGCGGGGGCAGCCGCTTGTGTGCGGTAACAGTCTGTTCCACACTGTTGTCCGCAACAATCTCATCGATAAGAGTGTCCTCGGCGCCGCCGAAGCAGCCACGGGGCATCATCTCCGTTAATTCCTCGGCCAACTTGAAACCTGCGTAACGCAAGAACCGCGCTGACTTCTTCCCCATCCACACAAACAACTCGCCCCCGCTGTCCACCAAGTACACGTTCTCAGAGTTCAATATATCCCGTGTCAACTGACCCAGTGGCAGATCAACCTAGAGGCGGACAGAGGCATTATCAACGAACGCTTTTCTTTTGTAAATCAACTACACCAATTAATTTAAGTTATTTCCCAACAAATTGTTAAGAGAATTACGCAAGATCCAACGATTAGACATCCATTCATTGTAGTGAGATTCTGAGTTGTAACAACCTGGACATAAACAAGAGGATGTTCACCTCAAAAAACCCTACACGGAATAAATCCCTTTGTTTAAACTGAAATCGACCACCAATATTTACTTTCGGAAGGATGGCTAACCCAAATGAAATTTTTGGGTGAAGTGTAGAAGCTTTTGCAACAGAGGTATTTGCTTTTAGTGTAAAAGCTAATATCTTGACTTTTACAGAGTTTCATGATTCAGTCTCCACGCTGATGGCATGAAAATCCACCTAGAGTAGCTGCGCATTCTTATAGATAAAGTTGATTTCTGATTGGCGTGCCTTGTTGACGCCCTCAGAGAAGACACCAACGCTACACTCTAAAAATGGCAACTTCATGGAAGTTGATCACTTACAACAGATATACTTCGAAATTAAACCTAATTAAATACTACTATGTAGGCCTTTTCAGTTTCTCATGACTGCTTTCACGCTGGCTGTGGCATAGAGTAATGCTACCAGTTTTCCAGACGTTTCAAAATTAATTCTACGTGAAATGTTGAAAGATGTAGAGGCTTCAACGGTTAAATATCCATTGATTACGGTATGACGGCAGACAAGATTAATTAATGACAACTCACTTGTAGGAGCTCCAAGTACCCCTTCCCAAGTTTAACGTCATAGAGGATAGGCCTAGGGAGTTTCCAATCTGCCGAGATGTAGTCACGAGCGGGTGGAGGGCGTTGGACATTAGTGGGGGGTTTGGGATGGTCAACGATAGCTTGCACCGGTCTCTCCTCCTGATGCTCCACGGCTGGAGGGCGCGGGGCAGGTTTCCAAAGTCCCATCACCACCGCCCAGAACTCCGTTGACTCGCGACCTTCGTGCTCTAGTGAGATGGTAGCCTCGTTCAACCGCTCCTTCTGAGCTATCTTCTCCGCTAACAGGCGGCCACGGGTCTGGATAAGGAGGCGTGACCTCGAACCAAACCAAACGTAGAGACAAGAGTCGCCGTCAACTAGATATACAAACTTTGGATCCAGACTGTCGGGACTGACTGGCATTGAGACTATATACATAGTCTTCTCTTGACCAAATAATCTACGGAAGGAGGTAAGTAACTCTAAGAATATTTGTTAAAGCAGTGTAAATTACTAGGACTGCTTCAGTATGAACCATTAGCATTCCAGCTCTTCCATAAATTTACGAAATAAACTAACTTAAAGTTCCTAAACCTTACAACACCTAGAAATAGGTGCACTTGTCACTGGCTAACTACTACGTCAAAAGGCCGTAGGAAGCATGTGTTGGATGGCCGGAGTTTATGATGTCTGTTGTAGAGGTGTCAAATTTCGGCAACTACCTTAATTTCAGATTCTGCATTACGACTAACACTGAAGCAAGACCAGATCTGTACGAATCAAAAACTTTTTTTCAGGTACCGCTTACAAAATTGTTACGATCAATGGATTATGTGATGCTACTACATTGCTTAATAGAAAATCTTTAAACAAAGATATTGATAAAGAGGGCGATTTTGGTGTAAAGCATGGATCAGTATTTACGACTCCTTCCTAAATGAATCCCTCCCAAGACAGCTCGACATTACTGAGGGTGAGGTTTAAGAATCCCACCAAGAACCACAGCATGTACAATCACTATTGTGAAAGTAGCAATCATCACGTGATCTCCATTACTGTTTTGCAGTTGATCAAAATCCACCAAAATTTTAACGACTTAAAGAGATTTGTCACAAGTAGCACTTCGGATGACGCACAAAGTAAGGGGAAGACTCACTTATCTCATTTTCACACCACCGACTTGTCAGTTTTACCAAGGAATCTGTGTTGAAAAATGAGGGGTGGAGGAAGTAGAGGGAAGGACAAAGGGGACGTACCGGTACATGCGAACAGCGGCCTCCTTGCAGGCAACGATGTGAAAGCCGGTGCTGCCACTAGAACCCTCCAGAACAGTGATTTTGTGGCCCTGGAATAGGGAGAGAAAGTCAGAGGACTCCTCGCCCTGTTCTTCGCGCTGTGTCTGCCCATCGATGCCAAGGAAGTTGCGCAGATTGACCGCGTGCATGGCAACGCAGGCGCGCTTGTCAAGACTAGCCTTGGCACCGATCCAGTAAAAAATGCGCCATTCCCGATTACCAGTCGCCCCACCGTCCTTCGGCACCTCAGTTACTTCGCGCGTCTGTAGGAGGATGTAGCAGTCACCCGAGTATAGCTGGCCCACGTACTCTTCGTCTTCTGGTTCAAAACGCTTCGGGTAGAACTCGTCAATCACCCAGATCTCCACACCTAACTGCGTTCCTGCGTCCTAGACAGTCAAAAAGTGCCACTGTATTCGTTAATAGTGAGAATTCAGAAGGTCACTAGAGCTCAAGAGTTTTGTGTCAGGCAAAATCAACTGGTGGAGTTCACCGACACAAACTACCAGGACAAACAGTGCAATTTGGCGATGAAAAAATGAGCAAAAAACTACAAATCATTAGTTCAAATTATGAATGAGAAAGCGATGCAGAAAAACTACATAATCTTCTTGATTTTTAAACCTATAACTATAATGAATGGCGTCATCCAGCAATGCCCATAATGCAACTTTACCAAAAACAGTCGCAATGTTTTAAACTAGAGAATAAGAAAAAAACATCAGTAAAAGATACTGCTTATGAAGTAGCAAAGATTAAAGAATTAAATAGAGTACGCTCAACTATACTTTTTCAGTTATTTAGAAATTTCATGAAGGCAAATAACGCCAGAGACAAGTCCGGTTCTAAACTCACAAATACTTGTTGTTACAGAGGTACAGCATGAAAGTACGGTGCCTGTGTTACGTTGGATTTCCAAATTTAAATGTCACTGGAGTGAATGGTCAAAACTTGATAATGAGGTGATGAGCGATAATGATGCTATTCAATAACGTTATGATAATTTCAATCATGAAGAGAAACTAGGAGTACCAGAGTTAGCGACTGCTGATCTGGAAAAACAGAAATAGCAAAGAAAGGATGCCAAGTATTTAACCACACCATTTACGACTCTTCAACTAAAGCTGTCACTAAGATAAATAAAAGAGAAGCGGATATAGCTCTGTAAAGGAAATATCAATTCGTACAGATGTCAGCAACATTCCTAGGATGTGCAGTTTCGACAAATGGGGTGGCAGTCAGAGGAGAATGAACATTTCAAATAGGGGAATGACCAACTCAAAACAACCAGACGGACCTATGCAATTTCCAAAAGCTGAGCAGCTATGACAGGTATTTTGTAAAAGAAGCCCCTCACGAAATAAATGAGCGAAAAATTGTTTCACATTGAAAGAGGAAAGTAATGAGGCTCTAAAGAATATTACCATATCGACCAACTTTGGCGTTGTCAAATCCCAAACTCGATACAAAATCATGCATTAAGAACATCGACCTCAGCAACATGGCTTTCGGTGGTGTTATCGTAAAACCATCAGGTCCGTAAACGCATCATCGTCTATGCCAACGGAAACTCGAACAAAGAGGAGCAGATCTTTAAATTTGGTCTATTTATAACTAAAATAGAGCAGTGTGGGGGAAATTAGCCACTAAAACAAAACATGAAATTATGAAGGGATAATACAGAGCCTATCTGGCAACTATAAAAAGGCACCAGGTAGAAGAAATTCAATCGCCATATCTTTTTCAAATTTTAGACGAAAAGTATCGTCAATGTGGATCATTTCAGAGGCAGGATGAAAAATGCATTAGCATGAATAAATATAATAACCTGGGTCTGAATTAAGAAAACAAGAGTGATGGACGAATTTAGCAACGCCTATGAGTAGGGATAATCAAATTTATAAGCGTGAGAGGGTTCAAGGTGGCGATCAAAGGGGATTTAAATGAGCAGTAAGTGCGTGACTCGTTTCAATAAACTCATTAATTTTCGGAGGACATCATGATCCAAACAAGAGAAGGAGAGACTGCGGGCATACCTCGTCAAAGATATCACTGTAGTCGAGGTTGGGCTTGGTTAGGGCCTCCTTCCATCGTTTGGCGGCGACCTGTTTCTCGTCTGCTTGAGCAGCTTCAGCATAACGTCGACGCATGATGGCATCCTTCTCGCCAGCGATGTGGCGCATGCCTGCCAGTACCACCTGACTCCCCTCCGTATCTTCTGCTGCCGTCGTCACCGCGTTCTCACCCCCGTCTAGTCGGCGTCGACGCATCCGCTTCAGTCGCGCCGCCGATTCCTACAGCCATCGTCGCAACGCATCATAAGGTTAGCATCGCTGCTACCATGCCTCACACAGTTCCTCAACTTAAGCAGTTATTTTAGGGTTTCGTGTTGGCATAAAAAAAATAGCGTCCAGCTGTTAAAATGTGTATAAACTTTAAATAGCCAAAATTTGCGCTTAGAATATGGGGTGTTTAAACGCATTTGCAGTAAAAATTGATGAGAGGCAGATTGCCTTCCAAAAGCCCACGGCAAATCATCGTAATACATTTAAAGTGCCGAAATGTCACATCAAAGGGTCAATGAAGAGGATCAAACATACATCACATGGCAGCCTTATTGCCATCAATTCAAACGATCAGGTCCTCTATTTGTACCAACTCTAAACACATTCCACATATACTCTCATACGTAGGGAATTAAGCTAAAGTTAATGGTTTATCACACTTTCAGTGATTTGCAACACAAAGTAACGATTTGACTGTAAGTCATAAAAACGTGTGGACGGTACGACACAGTACGAATATCCAGAACAGATCAGTACAAATGCTGAAGAGGTGGTAAAACTGCCGAAATTTAAACAATAATGGTAATACTAATGCGCATCAGGAAGGCTGAACTAGTTATTTTTGATTATCAAAGGCAAAAACAATAGCTTAAGCACCAATCAGCGTTAGCCGAATGCACCTTGAATGGTTTCCTAATCGCAACTCAGGAGTGAGCCTGGGTATTCTCCTAACAGTACCTCGAGATAGCTTATTTAGCACGCGACACTAACGAGTTGAAAGACGCAAACCAAGATAATGACATTTTTGTTCAAGAGCTCTGACGATGTTTTTTTGTAAAGGTGAAAGGATTTACAGCCACACGCCCCACCAAAGAGCTGTCGAATGGTTACTTCATAACCTTCTATTAGTAAGGAGGTAGGACCTACATTTATGACGTTTTAATCATCGCTAGCAAAGTTCTTCAAAAAGCAATGTAGAGCAGTAACATGTTTAAGCACCTTTTTCATTTCATTTTTTTCACACCATCGATGCTAAGGCTGGTATAGCTATTACGCAACCATACCAAAGAGCAAAGGTTAGATTGGTTTCCAAGTGATCCTGTGTGACAAATTGTCTCGTTAGGATCGAAAAGACAGAATTTACACTGCAACAAACATTAAGAAGCAATCTAATCTCCAGGTTAATGTGATTTTGATCACGATATTCATGATTCTGACCTTCTCCAAAGCCATAAAAATTACTGCCAAGCTTAAGTCTTACAAATATTCATGCCGAGATAAACTAATGGTTGAAACATATATTTATCCGGAAACAAAGAAATGAAGATAATAAGAAATCTCAACGAACTTTGCCCTTTTTGACATCCTCGCTGGGTTCAGGGGAAATTCCACGCATCATCTGTAGTTGGCCATCCAGAGAAAAGTCGATATTGTAGAAAGCAAGGCCTGCACCCTTCTGTAGAGCCGGCGGTTTGGGTGGAAATCGCAGCTTGGGGTTGTTCTCCACATCAAACCTCTCCAAGTTCTCAATCAAAAAGTGGATTGCATCAGGAAGGGTTTCCAACTCATTGTTGGACAAAATAAGGCGCTTCAGTCGTCCACACCGACACAGGCCTGCAATGGAAGTAACAGCAACTTCAACGCAAAGCCATCCTAGGATTAATGATGCTAGATGGAGAGTAGTCAGGGCTGAAAAAGGAATGACCCGAAATAGGGAAGGTGTTAAAATACACGCTGTTGATTAAGCAAAGGCGACATATTTTTTTTCCAAGGGGACTATTTGATGTCACTTCATTACATATTTCGAGTACATTGGAATCAACAACCTCACAACTGCGTATGATTGGATTATATTTTATCCCACACAAAAGTAAAAAGCCGCAGCTAGGACTGCTTGCTGGATGAACACCCCTCCTAAATATGTTAAAAGTATTCCTCAACAATGCCTCCTCATTCAGAGCAATTAATTAGCCCATAAATTTGGACGAAGGAATTCATGAAGAAATGAAAACGTAAGTAACAGAATTTCCAAAACTCGGCACTTTTGAAATCGGAAATCTGCCTCTGCTTTGCAAGAGAAAGGGGAATTTTTAGCAAATTCCACCGAGCGAAGAAAAGCGCACCTTCGGGAATATTTTCAAGTTTGTTGTTGGAGGCGTTGAGAACCTCGAGGTCGTTGAGTTTGGCCATGCCAGAGGGCAGACCGGAGAAGGTGAGCTGGTTGTCATTGAGATAGAGCTTGCGCAGCTTCGTGAGGCGTGTGAGGCCCGAAGGAATGCTGACCAATTGGTTGTGGCTCAGATTGAGATACTCCAGCGAGGGCCAGTTGTCCGTCAGCGCCGACAGCTCACTGATCTCGTTGTAGCTCAGGTCCAACTTCCGCAGCGCGCGCAAGTCAAAGACAGGCTCGGGCACGCCCACCAACTGGTTGTGCGAGAGATCCAGATCCGCCAGCTTCGTTAATCGGTCCAGTTCCTTTGGGATATTATCCAAGCGTCGCTGCGTGCCTGACATATGGAGAACCTACACCAAAATTATATAAACAGCCATTGCATTTAAAAAACCAAATTACAAGAGATATGTTCTCTTTTTTCGTATTGTTTGATTTATTCAACTTTGCTGGCGTACAAATGAGTTTTCTGTAATTCGCGATTCCCGTAGATTTATTTCAATTTTATAAGCCTTAATTTAAAATGGTTCCATGTCTTAAACACTTTTTATTACATGAACATGCTAAGTATGCAGGAGATATCTGCCTGTTTCTGTGCCTTTCCGTAGAGTTTTTCAGCCTATGCTACTGTGAGAAAACGTCCCTTGTTCAAATTGTATTTTTATCTGGATAAACTCTTCAGTCTCCTTATGCCTTGTGCATCACCCTAGTGGGATAGCGTTCCGCCCATGTCACATTTGTTAGCAGCACACAAGCCTTTCTGTACGGATACACATGTTGTATGATGTCTCCAGGGAGGATTTGAGTATTATAATACAATCATTATAGCTTTTCATATGCACGCAATCATAACAAGCATGTCCAATTTTAAGGTGGGGCTGGGAGATGCGAACCCCTCCAAAATACAGTAAAACGAAAGCGATTCCGGATCAAACTTTGCATTCAGAAATATCAATTAAATAGTGGACTCGCTATCCTGTTTTCAGCACTTGAAAAATCGCATAAACAACAAAACAGACAGAAGCTAGACCAGGGCAAGTGCCACCTACTGCTCATTATCTGTACAACACTCACGCCTTAGATGGTGAGGAAGGATTTCTGTTTCAAGGTTACAACTTATTTTGATGAAATATTTAAAAATGTGGTGCGAACTAAATGATCCAAATTTGATATCTTGAACAGCACGCAGAGCAGTGTAGGGGAATGCGCAAGAACACTCGAAACAATGGGTTGTCCCATAAAGATTTTCAAAAGGTTAGACGCGGAAATGATCCTCTTAATTGCTTTACCATTCCCAATATTGAAAAATGCTCATCACTAAGTAGGCAACCAAGGTCAAAAAGATCATGTTAACTCTTCTTACGTATGCACGAAATAAGTCTACATCCCATTTAACAAAGGGAATTTAGTATCGCAGAGTTGTGAACCACTTTAATAAAACAAGTCACGATAGCCACGAGAAACTAATTTGAAAGTTGCTGACATTTGGAGATGATAGACAAGGTAGAGCGAGATCCACGAATCCACCATAAATAGAAGGAAGGTAGTAATTAGGATGAAAATGAAAAAAAAGCAACGCACCTCAAGATTTTTTATAGCTACAATGGTACGCGGCTGGTAGTGTTGGAAGGGGTTTCGATTGAGGACAAGCTGTTGGAGGGAGGAGCAGCGACGGAGCTGCGCGGGTAAAACAGTGAGGCAATTGTCAGAGAGATCAAGCAGCATTAATTCGGTGCACTCGGTGAATATCTCCGCTGGCACCGATGATAGCTGATTGTTGCTGAGATTGAGCACCAAAAGACCCGAGGCATTTTCAATGCCTCGGGGAACCTGAGTCAACTGGTTGCAGCTAAAGTCAACCACCTGGAGATTGGGGCAATTAAAGATGTCAGGCGGAATGGCGTCGTGACTAACAAGTTGGTTTTTTCGGCAATTGAGGACACGGAGATTAGGGAAGACTTTGGGCCAGTCCGTGATGGAGGTAAGTCGAGTGAGTTTGTTTTTGGCCAAGGAGAGGTATTCCAACCGGTTAAGGTACTTGAGCTCACTGGGGAGGTCAGAGTTAGTGAGCTGGGTGTTTCGAAGTTTAAGCCACTCGAGGCGGGCCATCTTCTCCAGGGGGTGGGTGCAGGGTAGCACTGCGGAGGCTGCAGACACGAAGGCTCGATTTTTACTGCGACGCGCCACGCCGTCCGAAGACTGCGCAGCCACGTGCTCACCTATTGAGCCGAAGTTTACGCCAGAAAGATCGAGGCCCCGCAGAAACTGGGTCACGGATTTAGTACCTGCGGCCGACATCGCTTTTTCTCTAAATTATGACGATACACGAGTCTGGAGCGCCTGTAGGCGCGTCTGAAATAAATTCAAGAACATTGTCCAAGAATAAAAACAACAATACTCCAAACAACTTTCTGCACATTTAGGAAATTAGGGTAATTACCTGAATGCGTTGCAAATGAGATTCTAAAGCCCGAAGGCGCGAATTTGCAGTGGTAATTTTCCTTGTATGACGTTGAAGGTCAATAGGAGGAATAATCTGATTCAGTACTTGCGTCAACCCTAGAAGTTGGCAAAAATTTCCAAGATCAATTCCAAATAGACGGTAGAGAAACGAAGACTGCTTCCTGATACAAACGTATAGGTGCACCGGCTATTACACAACACAGTTAATAGTGACGAGCAATTCAGTACCAATGAAGAAACCATATATTTCGCTTTATTTTAATGGTAACGTGCATAAGAATGACGAATACTACCGATATCTAAGTATGATTTATCCTTTCTCAATAATGCAAGCTGGCATAACTTTTTGATCCTAAAACATTCTTGAAAGTCCATTTTCATAGAACCCCCTTAATGGCAGAGAATAATTTATTACGGAATTGGCTAATCCAAACTGCATATCTGTGAAGTGGCTCTGCTCTCATGTCACATTATTGTGACATTCAACAAGACAATCTTCTTTGGCGAATTAATAAGTACTTTGTTTATCAATTTAACTTATTCCCTAATTGTTAAAAGATTATTACACAAACTCTTTATAGCTTATAAAATTGTTAAAAGTCATCATTTCAAGCAAAGCAAATAACAATGTCGCCCCACACGCACATCTCTTAAATGAAAACTGCTCATTAAATTTACTTAATCGAGTGGTCAGGATCATCTTGCATGCCTTCTAAATCTTGCGTTTCAGTTAAATATTTCCATCACGTTTGGATGAAAATAGAATAAGCTGATGAAAGAAGAAGCAAACCTTGAGAGATTCCCTCGAGCAAGAGCTTCAGTTTTCCTTGAGTGAGCAGGTAGGTCGCAACGGTGTTGTCGAGCTGTTCAATACTGGGCTTGAAGAGGCCTACAAAATATTCGGCGGTAAGAGATGGAATGAGCAACTGGGCGTCTGGCGAAGCTGGTCCAGAAGACAGATCGAGGCTACTGTCCTCACTGGTTGCTGAAGAAGGGGAGAGGCCGTGAGGCTGCTTATGGCTGCTGTACTGGCGCAGTGTGCACTCGTCTTCGTTCACACCACTCACTCCCGTTGTGCCGAGTTTTACCTTGGAACTGCACTCTCCGAGATCAGCCAGTTTTAATGGAGTTAGAAAATAGCTGCCAGGCTTCTATTGTCTGAATCGTTAATAATGAAAAACGAAGGGCTCAGACTTTCCGGACTAGTGCAATGCAAACAAACCACTAACTCAATAGTTACAACTGCTAGTTTCCCTAATAAAACTTGTCTTTTGGTTTCAAACAAAGTTGGAAAATCAGGTAAATAGATTCGACATTCTCGAAAATCACTTTAAATAAACTTCTACAAACCTCATAAATCCGACAATAGGTATCATAAACACAACACAATACGGATCAATCCACTACAAACGGCCGGGTGTGTTAGCAGTTAGACAAACGCATTTCTTCCGCTTCTACTTCAAGTACTATCAATTGTGGCTTACTTTTTAGAAAATACCAAATAAAGCTGTTTTTACATGAACCTAATTCCACTCCTTCGAAATATTCCTGTCCCTAGATAAGTACTCTTAACAAGTTAGGAATTCAGACATTGATGTTGAATGAGCCACGGCGCAAAAGTAGGGCTTCTGTGTTAGTGTGAGGGGTTTATTAGCCATTACTAGAGAAAAAAAGTGTCTGATGAAACCTTTTCACTAGGTTATCATAATTAGGTAAAGGGAAAGGTTATGTTTTTTGTGCAATCACACTCACAAATATTATGAAACAACTAAATTGAAAAAAGGCAGGTAATCCTCAAAGAAAACCACATCTGATTAACATTAGAGTCAATTTGAAGAAAAGGTGATTAAGTACGAGTGGCATAACAAGAGGCCATCACTAGAATGAATTGCACACCTCGCAAACAAGCACACGACACGTGGCATACCAAAAGATGCAGCATAATCAAGGAAATATTTTGAATCAGCATAACAAATACACTGGTGGGTGAAGAAGGGAGAAACGGTATGGTGTAGTGACGATAATGCTGCGGCCAAGGGCCCAAGTGACCGCAACCTGGCAGCGTAAAATGCATAAAGTAGCAATGAAGAATTCAGAGGGATTGACAGGTGAGTTGGGGAGGGTGAAGATACAGAACTGTTTTACAAGCGAAATGCAACAGAGATACGAGGAAACAGGGAGGGTCCACATCAGCAACGTCTGTGTACAACAGGCTGGCTCCAGGAGGATGAAAGACTAGAAGTACTTCACTTCCTGCAGTTGATGCAACTAAAAGGTAAGACTGCAATTTAACCAAATATTAGGTTACAATGAAAAGTAAAAGACAAGAGGGAAGGGTGAAGAAGTCAGACCTCTCAAAAGTCTGTGACAGTCATGTCGGCGTCTTCATCGAATTGTTCATCACTGTTGTCCCGGGCGGTGTCAGCGTGTTGACAACATGGCGTTGACGATGGCTGGAGCAATGGTGACGCACACGTGACAATGTTATGCTGCCGATTCACATCGTCACGGATGCGCTTCAGTTGGGCCGAAAGGAGATCGTTGATAGCACGAACCCACTGAGTGCGCACCTGCGAATTGTTCGGCTGGAATATGTACAGCTGCGCCCGACACGCTGTCCACACCGCGAATCGGCGTCGGTCCTCCTGGCCGCTTGGCATCAAGCCTACTTCCGTAAGCTTATTAGAAAACAGAAATTGATGACAATTTTACTACCCAATACTCCGACAGCCAGGTATGTAACCATTATTCTAGATTACCTCAAGGTGAATGAAATCCACCGTAATTTTACTAAAGCTTTATTAATAAGGGGAACCATTATCGACAGCTTTGCAACTTATTACCAGTACTCATGAGAAACACACAATACAGTGGCCAGAAGCGAAATTTAGGTCATTTTTATGAATAGAAAAAGCGCACCACGCATTGTGATCGTGAAAGATCACGCCCTCGGAGATTTCGCGGCATATTCAAGGAAGATGACCAGACTCATAGTTATTTCCTAATTGCAGCTCCAACGGCTGCAGATATTTACTGACACTCCGTGATAATGATAATGCAATGCACCGGACGAAAAATCTCTTCATTTCAAAGAGGAATCAGAACAGAAATTCACCATTAGTTTCTTTGAAAAGCAAAATAAATGGGTCGCAGGCCATTCATTACGTATGGGAAAAACATCACAAATTATGTTTTATAAAGGATATTATTTTAAGGAGATGAAGCCATTTGGAGCTTGAAAATCGGAATAACGTAAAAGCAGCAATAATATTGCTAACCCCATTCCACTAAAAACAATTCATAAATGCGAAATTCCTAGCTAGTTTTAAGAAATTCCCTGTATCAATTAGTTAGTTTTCGATGATGTTGGCGGCTGAAAACGGATCACTATTATTACGGGAAGAGTGATTGAAAGAAAATGATGCTAAGTACTTATATGTTCAAATTCAAAAAAATGAAAGTAAGGCGGAGAGAACGAACCTTGATCTCCATCTTAATTTCATAGATGGGTTTCTGAGAGGAGATATCAATGGGGATGGAGGGAAGAGAAGAGGGCAGACTGTCAATTTCATTCCCACAACTACCCGCTTCTTCGGTATTCAAGTCAGTGACTCCGGAGGTGAGAGACTGGTTGCTGGAAGTGCCACTGCTGCTGAGAGTAGCGAGTACGGTGGAAACCAAGGAACTGTTGGTCTGGCGCAGCTTGGTCAGTAGAATGACGTTTTCAAAGAGGAAAACGTAACGCTGGTGCTTGTTGTTTCGGCCTTCTCCGTACCACACCGTGAAGCTGTCTTGCAGCAACAGGCGACCCAGACGAGAGGGATGGTCCTAAAGAGGTCAAAAAAGTCCTTATGAATAAAAAGGACAAACTGGTAGCAACCCCTCCTCAATTAACAGAAAAGCAATGCCAAACGCAGGCGAAACCGGACCTTTTTTCCCCTCCGGTAAGTCCTTAGGCAAAATCAAATCTGCCGAAATTGATTATGTTATAGGCTTACCGCTAACCAAGGATAACTTACATGAGATACTGAAAAATAAGCAAATTGAGCAAAGCTGAGATCGAGCACAAATTGGAAAAATCCAAGAAAACGTTAGTTTTATCGCATAACCACGGAACAGTGTAGCACCCCACACGTAAATAAGGCTATAGTGGTTTTCCCTAGGTTGAATTTAAGACTTGAAATATGATAACCAGACATGAATCGGAGATGAAGAATTAAGGACATGGAGGTACGTCTGTGATTGACGCTAAACAAATTTTTCATGGAACACGCCAACTTATTGAAAAACGCAAAATGTTGGAACATATGAATGATTTCAGAGGTACGGTATAAATTATTATCAAATTCATGAATATGTAGGGAAAAATCTTACAGAAAGACCACGAATTCGCATGAGAACATTCACAGTGTTGCACATATCAAGCATGGACTGATGGGCCTTTGTCAATGCCTCCCTGGAATTCGACAAAAACGAGTTGACCGCATCGATATTTCCACACTTACGTGCCCTTGTGTGTGCAGATAAAGTGCGTACTTCTGAGGCCCTTCAGGAGCATAGTTTTTGAGTCGGTCAATCAGAAGGTGGTAGCGTTGAAATCGCTGAGCGGGCTCCAGGAGACGCGAACTGTAGGCAAGGAGGGGACGACAGAGGGAGGTGGATTTGACCGCCTCACCACATGAGTCCTTTCGCGTTGGAGGTAGGTTCTCCTCGTTCTCGTCACCCATCCCACTAACACCACCGCCATCATCACAATCACCATCGAGGAGGAGTTGGTTCTCGAAGTTAATGCAAGAATTGATGCGATTCAGGCTAGTAACTTTATACAAATCCTCCTTAACTACCGCTCCCTCTGCCTCCTTCTCCTGCTCATCCTCCGGCTTTGCCTCAAGGAGGTTCAGGTATCGGTTATAGGCGGAGATCCACTGAGAGTGAATTTGATGCTTTTCAAAGGCAGCTGTGTATTGCGCGGCTCGCTCGTAATTCAGGCAGTAGTTGGTGTACAGATCCACCAGGCTAGCCCACTGCCAGAGAAATGCACAATCAATTAACTAAAGGCAATTAAAAAAGTTCCTTACAATTATTGAATCTTTGATATTAACATGAGGTTCCCCTGAATCACATGCGTTGAGACTGACGGCACTAGGGAATCAAACATTTTTGCGGAATAGGGGCTCGCTTCTTAAAATGGCATCATCTATGAAGGACGGAAAAAATTGAAACTTGACGGGCTTACTAGGCATTTGGTTGCCTTGCCTTAGTAGTGCTCGTAATTCCTAGCAGAACAGTAGACATTCAGAAGTGTAATTATTTTGGCAATGAAAAGAGGCAAATAATATTGGAGAAATTACAACCTAAACGCATTATTATAGAATAAATCCTGAGAGATTTTAGAAATTTATGATAAGTGTAAGATCTTGGTTGTGTAAACATGGTAAATAATTAATCCTAAGGTTAGCAAGGTTAGCAAGCACAAGGGCGCTTCACACCTCCATATCTAGTAGGCATAGTGGGCTGCAGCAAGGCAGACACATACCGTGCCTGATTTCACCGGCAAGTGGTTAGTCATGAGCTTGCTGCCAAGTTAAGCTGGTTGATAGTCATATAGGGAGGAACTTTGAGAGCTGTGAATAGCTGTTCAGAGATGGAGATCACTTTGTTGACTAGGTCTAGTGGGTGATTTGAAAAGGAAGATTAGGCTTAATTTACCTTTTTAAGGATAAGCGCAATTAACGATGATTAACTTAATCAGACATAACGTTAAATATGCTCTGTCTGGGAGTAACAGTTGCTAGGTAGTACGCAGTGTTCGGCATGATATAGCGGAAAGCGACTTGTTATTCCAACACTAGACCTCTTAAAAGGCTGAATATGCTCTGACATAATTGTCTGCACCATGCACAAGATTTGAGTGGTGCCACGTAAATTCATGTGACCACCAAGAGACACGAAAGCCCCTTACCACAAAGCATAGGATAATCTGAATGCACAAGATAACCGATGAAAGTCGTTATCGACTCAAAGACTCATTAAAACAAGCCGAAAAACTAACAGACGGCATATGAAAACAAGTAATTTGAAAGGTCCTCTTGTACGTGGTTCACAAGTAAACCTTAACTCAGGAAGGTAAAAAGGGAAAATCGTGTATGTGCTTCGGTAAAAGACGCAATATGAAAATATCTAAGTTATTCCATGGATTAGGATGAGCTTGAGGTCTGACGTGTATGTATGTATGTATGTATGACGCGCATGTACAAACACACGAATGCGAAATTTTGGCTAAAGTAGACACATGGTCTTGTGACCTTGATATTGTGTCCTCCCAGTAGTCACCTACCTTTTGGAAATTTACCTAATTTTTCTATTAAGTGGTGTGAACGAGCATTAAAGTGTTTCCAAAATTTCGTGATTAGGTATAAATGTATTAAAGAGCGCTGGGATCAAATTCTTACCGAAGATTCTGCCCATTGTTGAATTAGTTGGGGGTCTCCATTACACTCCAGGAGTTGGGGATAGAAATGACTGAAAGAGTAGAACGTTTAATGAAATAATAAAGGAAGAAATAAGATGAATAGAGCATAATGCTTTTCAACACATTTATTTGAAATACTGACTGGTGTTAGCAGTAGCAAAAAGGGTCTTCGATTGCATGTGATAAACTTTTTTCCATAGAATGCACTTAATTCCTCTGACCAAGGCAATTAAAGACATACAAAGACAAGACAAATTTTTGCTATTCTGATTTAAGAGCAAGAGCTACATTAAAATCACCAATATAAAAAAACCGACATTAAATGGTTCGACGTGAGCCAAAGCCCCGATGCACGAAGCTTCAAATTCTTAAATACGATTGACGCTAAAAAGGGTATACCACTTCTAGGTAAACATATCCCAATTGAGGACGAATAACATTCTATAAACTTAAGTAGAAACACACCTGTTGTGGAAGACAAGTTGTTCAGGGAGGTTTACAATGAGAAGGGCCGGATTGTCCCGAACAAAGGTGGGCAAACGAGGAAGAGTGGGGTCGCCTGGACTTCCTGAGAAGGCCTGCGTGGCCGCTTTGAGGAATCTTATATAATTGGCCTCGGTGACGAGCAGTTCCTGGAGGGCTCTTTGGTAGAGTTTTGCATTATTCCTCCTGGACGCAACTGCTTCCGATGTCTTGCAAGGATGAGATAAACAGATTCAGCACGCTCAAATCATGCTGAATTGAATATGAGCAAGAAACAACCAAACGCAGTGTAGAACATTAAAAACTTTATCGAACCACAACGAGTCAGATCGATGAATAAAAATAATAATAAAACTGTTCAGGGGAACTAGAAACATGAATCCCTTCGAAAAACCGGGAATAGTGACATAGATTTAAGGCACTCCGCGTAAAAATGAGCATAGAGTAGCCGAACGTGAACGCCTCATTGTCGGTGAATCAGCGGTGAAAGGTGTTAATGGCTTCCCATACAATGAGTAAACTAAAGATGGAGTATAGGTGGGCACACAGACACACTAAAATATTTCATGGAACCAAGTTAGACTCACATGTGGTTTACTTCTGGTGGTAAACGCGTACAGTATTTGTGGCCAATGTGCTGTGGTTCATTTACTGTTAAAAAGTAAGCCATAGATTTTGGATAAATATAGAACTTTGCAATGCAAAAGATTGTCCCTTGTCGGTGAGGGGTTCAAAATAGCTCAACCACATTTAGAGCAAGTATTGAGAACTAAATATAGGGTCATCAAACAATTAAACTGAACCTTTGGAAAAAAGGGTAGTTGATTCGCAATTTTAGAGCTAAAAGAGTGGATAAGCATGTGCGAAGCCTTAGCGGCAGAAATGGGCTAATAACTTAATCGGCATAAAAGTATGGGTACGTGATCCAATAAGCCTTTCAAAAAGGACTAAAGCCTGCGGATCCAATATTAACATCTAGACCTATTAATGAGATGTATTAAGAGATGATCAATGAATGGCAAAAGAGGCATCGGAGGTTTGTGCGGATAGGCCACTGCAACGTGTAACATACGCCATTAAGGGACACCCATTCTCCCATCAAACGTCGTAAGTTTTGCTATTACAAGAAACCATTCCATATCATGGGTAAACTATAAAACACGCAATTTTAGAAGAAATTTTAAAAATAAAATTAAAGAACGTCAAGCTACTTAGCTAAACCGGCAGTCATTGAATGCATATGACTGTATATTACATCAATCAGATTGATTGGGAACAGATATTTCTAATCAATGGTTAAAAAGTAATGCTAAAAACATAGGAACAGAATTTACAGCCATTAAACAACTTTTCCCGGAACACGAAATTGCAAAGTGATAGCCTAACTCCAAAGTGCTTTGATCAAACAAGTATTACGATAAGCCTTGAGATACACAGAGCCATACTACGGCAGGATGCACCGGGAGACAATCAATAGCTATTGAAACAACCACCACAGGCTTGCGAAGATAAACTGTATCAACGCGTTATATACCTCTATTTCGGGAGAAGCCTGCTCCTGATTGAGCGGCGCCTGCTTGGAGAGAGGAGCGGTGAGATTCTGATGTCCAAGGGGTTGATACTGTTGTAGTTGGATTTGTTGTTGAGAGGAGGGGAGAGGCTTGATGGGGTAGGCGCTGCGTGAGATTTGCTGTCGCAGTTTCGAAACGGTGAGTTTGAGAGCCTGCTCAACTTCCTCCACCAGCCGAAGCATTTGACTTAACTCAACCTGAAGTCAGTACAAGAAATAGTGAAATGATGAGGGTCGGTTACCCCGCCTCAGGTGACGGCAACTTCTTTTAGCACAAATCATCACCTGACGGACCGGGTTCAAACTACTAAAAGGGAAAGTAGGGGTGGACCTATACGAAATAACAATTTGATAAGCCGTTCGTTCTGAAAACGCTACATAATATTTACAAGATCTGATTTAGGCGAAAATAGGATGCAAAAAGTAGCAGTTTGAGTCCTAATCAACAGAAAGCGGAAATTGGAACAAAAAACCGCAGAATATTATGAGAAAGGAAAGGCTTGGTATTTTTTCTAGATAATTGTAAGCGCTTGATAGGTTACGACCTAAAAAGAAAGAAATTCAAGGATGACTAAGCGACCACCAAAAGTGAGGAAACTACTCCAGTCCTAGTGACAACTTCGTAAGATAGGCCGATGGAAACCAGTCTATCAATCATCTGTGATTAACGGCATCGTGAAAACCTCAAAAAAAGGGAATTGGCCAACACGTAGTAGCGCGAAGTGCACAATTGACAAACCTTCATTTCGGCGTTGAGTAAATCCGAAAACTGTTTTCTAAACTGGGCCGGATTACCCTTGAGAACGAGGTTCTGCTCCCTCAAATCGCAAAATACCTTCAACTTCTTAATTTCATTCTCACAAGCCGTTGGATCCATCTCTACTATAGTTGCCGCCGTTAGTGGATTGAGAAGGCCGTTTCCCCTTGATATCCACTGACGAGCCTAAAAGGCAGTTAATTACAAATGCCGGTACGATTGAACGTGAAAATTTCTTTACAAAAAAGATACATTTCAAGTACCACAAGTGCAAGAAGCCTTAACGGTAAGACGAGCGGCAAACACTTCACTTAAGTTGGAGTGGGCGAAGTGAGTGACGGTGACAAGGCGCTGATCAAACATGCAGACGTATTTATTGACCCCAGAGGAATGGGAACACGTCCACCTTCGCACCCACGCAGGTGTAGACACCTTACCTGATTAATCTCGGTGTAGAGTTGAACAAGTCGGTCCAGTTGGCTGACAGCTTTGTCAAGGGTCGTACAAGCCAGGACCTCAAGTTGACGCAGACTGACGATATGGGCCGTTGCGTATTCGGGAATAAGACAGATCAATGGAAGAGACGAAGGTGGACACTCGATATTCTCCCCCTTTGTCTCATTTGTCATTTCGACTGAAAGTTCATCAGAGCCTAAAACGTCACTCTCCTCTGATTCATAGGCATCCTCTATTTCTTTCACATCTCTGCCATTATGCCCATACTCCTCATCCTCTTTTTTCCCATCTATCAGTGGATCAATTTGGCGACCACCAACTGTAAAGGTGGAGAATAGAAATGATCCAGGGGCTGATTATAAGGCGGAGAATAGTAAAGTTTTACCAACTCACGCGTAAGACGAGCGAGAGCACTATTGGAACTGGTGATACTCATTGTCTTGTCGATCTGTCCGCTACCATCTGAGGGTACACAAGAGGTGGCAGCAGCGATGGCTTCGTCCCGAATGGTCTCTCCGAGAACAATAAGATCAAGGATCTCACCAAGTATCGAAACTCCGGAGGCTTGAGCCTCTTTGCTACGAGCCTGGATTGTCAAGAGACCCTCCATGGGGTCTTCTGGGGCAGCAGTGATCTTTGCAGTAGAGACGAGGGCGGCGGAAGAAAAGTTAGAAGAGTCGCTATTCATGCCTTCCTCCTCACCTGCCATTGCCACAGCCGAGTCGGTCTCCTCAGAGGCGTCGGAGAGGCCACGGAGTGAAGAATCGCTAAAGGAGGCGGCGGGAAGAAGTGGAGCGCCCGGATGACCGGGAAGGTAGTCGGAGACTGACGTGATCAGTGACTGCCACGAGTTCAGAAGGGGATGCAACTAAGGACAAAGGACGAAGAAATTATAATGACTTTAGCAAGTTCCAGTTAATAAAATTGGTATAGGCTTGTTGAGCAACAAGTGTAAGGGCTAAGGTTCGAGCTTTTCTAAAAACAACTAAAGTGGGTGTCAAAACAGAGTCCAAAGTTCAACACACTTATCAAAAAAAGCAAAAAAATTGGCTCATCAATGTCACAAAACATTAAAATAGCAGCATGTTTCAATTAGCTGCTATCAGTGGAAACAATAGTGCTACTGAAATTATATGATTAATTGGCAAAAGTATCTTGCAGCTATTATTATTGCGGTAGAAAATGAAACGTTTTAGCACAAAAGACTTCATTCCTTCGTATTGGCATTAGAAGGAGCAGGGAGGAGATAAAAAATGACTTTGGAAGAACTGGTGTTTACGACACTTGACTGCTTTGTAATCTACTATTCACACATATGGGCTTCGACCGCGTTTTGAAGGGCACCCGTCATTGAAACGCATCCTGGATCAAAAATGCAGATTTACTGAACTCCGACAAAGATAGATTAGCAGGTTATTTTAAAAATGAGAATGATTAAAATGAACACTGATTTCGTAAACCCTACATATGCACACGAGAGCACATGTGGAAATGGGTAGGATTCGGGTCTCTGACAGTGTGACGCGCTCGAGTATTCATTTGCAAATCTAATTAGGCATTCGCAGTGCCCGAGCACTCTTCATGAGGCCAGGCACAAACATAGCAAAAGAAGGTATCGGATTGGTTATTCGAAATCACGCACTCATTTAACTGAGGAAGGGATGACAATAGGTAGAAGGCAAGGACGGTAAGCTACTAGCTTAAATCTTTGTAATACTTGAAATAAATAAAAAAAATGAAGACGAGGAGAGCAGTGATAAAATTCTAATGAGCATGAAGGATGAAGGGTGAGTGTCGAACAAGAGGAGCTTTCTAAGACCCACGACAGTTACTGAGGCTCCATGCACTTGGCCATGGATAAAACGTCCTCAGAACATGAAGACCGAAGGCTAGAAAATAGAAGTCTAACGAGACGAAAATTTCAAAATATGAGATCGAGTCATGTAAGTTTAGCCAAGCTATCGCAGTCTTGTATTGACACAAAACACCACTGGCGCAAAAGTCGACAAGGTTTGGATAGGTATGGAGAGCATTGGATCAGTCTAACCTCGCTGCCTCTTATAAAGTTGGTAAGAGGAGAATAATAAAAATTGACCTATAAAAATTCGAACGCAAGGATAGCATAATTCAGTACTGGCTCCCGCACTAGCATGCAAATAAAAGCAAACTGATTAAAGGTTCTTTCAAGACAATTTGATCTTATCTGGTAAAAAGCGATCAGGTGAATTCATCAAATCTTACTTGGCAGGTTACCGAAATATAATTCGAGTTGTTAAAAAACCAAATTTAATACCCTTTGTTAATGAGTGCTGACATCCAAGGGATGCATATAGAAACAGCAACAAGAAGCTGGCAGACTCGAAGTACACACGAAAAACACCACATAAAATCCCATTTTAAATTGATTGAAGCAAGTACAAAATAACGCCTTCTAAATCCGTCAAGACCATTCGTTTAAGAAATTGTAGCGGCTTGATAATCTAAGCATGTAACGACGCTGAATAAAGTAATTCAAGACTGCTATTTCCCACACAGAGCCACTTGTATGATTTTGATTATGGAATAATGATGACATAAGGGAAAAGGTGCCTATCCATATTATGACGCTGTCACGGAGGGCACTAATTGCCTGTCAAGGCAAAAAACCTACTGGTGGAGTTCAATCCTAGGGGTGAAAGTACACAGATCAAAATAAAAAAAAAAAAACAGAATAAATTGTCAGAGGCGAGACAACTTCAAACACATTGCGTTCAGCGATTAAATAATGAAAGGTACTACGCACGTAAATGAAACATAGCTTGGGTAGAATTTCCGCAAAGTTACAAAGAATTGAATTTTGAAAGATGGCTCATGACGAAAAATGTGTAACAAAGACTTGGATGACGTATCGAAAAGGGCCGTGAGAGTGGATAAATAGCTACATCCACGCTGATGACCTTCAAATAGCATAGAACTGACAGAGCAATAAGTACCATTACAATATTTTTAAAGTTGAGTGCACCCCATCACCCCTTCACACTCATTTACAGAGGTACGTGAACGCGTGCCGTTGTGGGTCGAAGACGAAATGTAGTCCACGCAGGCTGAGAAGAGAGGTCATCTGATGAAAAAGCGCATATGGATATGGAGAATGCCTTTTTCATATGGTGTTAAACCAAAAAAAAGAATAACAGAAAGTGCATTTGAAACATTTCCAAAAAAACAAGTAAAGAAACACTGCAAAGTTGACATGTTGTAAGACAACAAGATTCTACAGCAATGCAATAACATAGGATGCGAAAACTGCTCATAATCAGCTGATAAAACCTCAAAATTGCACCTTTTTAATTTAACAAATTTAACCTATAAGTAAACTTGTACGTCCGATAGACCTCAAAAGCGAAAAATGTTTTAGGCAAGCGACACGTGCAGAAACCCAAACTGATATCGATTTCAGATTGTGTAGGTCTAAATGGCACACAACAATCTGAGGACACTTCTTAAAAATGGACACACTGTTACCACTCGGGGAGGCTAGAAGAATAGGCGTGCGTTTATACATGTAATTTGGCGAAAACGAAATGCGAGTATCTAATGTAAGGTCAATGTTATTCGACGCCGGTGACCTCAAGTGTACAAATCCGGAAATGTACAAGTCTTCACGAAAAACCCATCAGATCAGTCACCAAGTGGGGTACGAAAGCCTGCATCGCAAATAAAATGTAAAAAGTTAGAAAAGTCTAGCCATTGAACCAATACACATGCTTCAGAGGATCTAATAGTTTCTAAGATGACTTCTCTCAGAAGCAAATTTTGTTTTCTTGCACCATAAGCCTAGTCGAAAGACTTTAGTAAAGGGCAAATTTAAAGTTTATACAAAATAACGTAGTAATGCATGCAAGCCCGTTGAGAGGATCTATTTACTTTCAGAGGAAATCGAAGTGTATACGTGCTCAGAAAGTTGATTCCTATAAAGAAATATTACCACCTAATTTAGTGTGACATAGTTAGACTAGTCTAGCAGATACCAGAAAAAAACGTTAGTTCAATTCTACCAAAAAGGTCCTATAAGGAGGTTGACATTTGTCAGGAAGTCGAAAACGTCTTAGGTGGATAACAGAAGCTGAATAAAACAAGGTCCAAAGTGTGCACGGGATCAATTTCACTCCTATTTGAAACAAGACCAGGATATGGCGGTATGATAGCTGTGGTGATCATGCAAGTGTAGGGAGCGGTGATTTCCCCGTCAAAATGATAAGTCACACGCTTACAGTAAAGGCAAATGATTGGGATTAAATACGACATGTTACGTCAAATCTGAACCACTTGTTTTGTCTACAAATTTCTAAACGGCAAAATGCATTACATACAAATTCAATATTTTAGACTATTACTACTTCACGAGATTAAAAGCAATGAAGAGAGTAGATAGACATGAAAGTAATGGAAAACAAGTCTAGTCGTGTTTACAAAGGGGATGGACCCACCTTTTTGTACCGAGTTTCAAATTCTTCAAGCGTTTTCAAATTCCTTAATCCATGAGTGAATCGAATCCAGAACTTCCGCAATTTCAACCGTATCTCGGATAGTTGGATAATGTACTGTTCCACAAGGATGATCTGGGTTGATCGATCCACAGGTAGGTCCAGCGAGCTGACTACCTCTTCACGTCCACTGCCACTAAGACCGACGTCACCATCATCTTCATCTTCGGAGTTACTTACGGCGGAGGCGATACCATCCACTTCCCGCAGCCGCTTGCGCAAATCCACGCCGCGTGACTCACAAACGGAGAGGCGTCGGAGTAGCAACCTTCGCCGACGATGCAGCTCATCCACGCGTCCATGATCCAATTCAAAGGTGCTGAGGTCGCGAGGGATGTGAGCGAGGGCCTCCAGCCGCGAGATATCGCCCACGAAGGCCTGGATCTCGCGGCCCAACGTACTGGCCGCGCTCTGGAATGCCTCGATCTCCTGCAGAAAGAGGGAGTTGGTGGTGAGACGGGAGAGGAGGAGGCCGTGAGTATACTGCTCCTGTTGTCGACCTCGACTTCGTCTTGCTGGTGCAGCTCGCAGCGTTGCCATTCTGCACGCACACGATCGAGGTTATGACGGCCCTCTTGGCGCACACGCGTGCACACACATTTCAGGCACGCTGCGCATGTACGCGCGCACCATCGATCCTGCACCCATCCACGTGGCGCACTCGTGCTAAAGTGCGACGACTCCTGTCTACGTGTGTGCACGCGTGCGCGCGCACACACACAACGTGCGCAGGTAGGCGCACACGCCATTACATAACGTGAACCCAAGAATGGCACGAGACCCTTAGATTACTTGGCAGCATCAGTGATGACACTTCACTGTTAAGATGCTGATATACATCTACAAGCAGTGTTGGATCGGCATAGTTTTTGCGGATTTCGACAGGTACCAGATAAGTATCTACATTATTGAAAAATAACCTTAGTGGTTCGAAATAGCAGCAGACAGTATTCACATGCATTATTATAAAACCCATTTTGAGCAATAACTCTGTGTGCGCCGTTCGCAGGTAGATAAAGGGTTTTTGGGGCAAGCAAGCAAATAATAGATGTCTGAAAAAGGCAGCCTTTAGGCATGTACCGATGCACAATTTTTAACCCCGAAAAAGGGTCCTTGAGGATATGAACTTTTTTAAAAAGTTTGTATTCAAGGAAAGAACTGCGAATAAAATGAAAAAAGACATTCGAGTAAGCAGGACGAGTATGATTCATTTCTTTCGGCCGAGAATTTGGCAAGATAGAGTAGCATCATTAGGATAACGAAAATTAAATCGCTTTTTTCCTTTAACAGTCGTTAAAAGTGGGACGCTAAGGAAATATCATTAAATAAAAACAGTAGTTTACGAGGACCATCAGTTCTAATTGCACAACACAAGCTCTGGAACGGTAAAGGGAATCAAGGCGGAGGTGCAGTGCTGACGTTCCGCCAAAGCAAACACGACTGCTCCGCATCAAAACTTCGGAGGAGTTTGGATGCACAAACACACACCACGCAAAAGAAGACCTGTACAGCCGCAAAAAATTGAGTGGATTTCTATGCCACACACACAACCAGGCAAAAAGCGCACGCAGTGACAGTGGCACATATTCAGGCAACATGGCAGGGGAGTCACATTTACACGCGCAGTGGCGCAAACCACGCACAGAGGCTCACACGACTCATTACGGCCCTGCCTTGTGCAATGAGCTGAGCATGCGTGTGTTCGGAGAAGAAAGACACAAGAAACCCACTGATTCCAGTTTCATAGCAGCATGGGCTCAGGAATTGGAAAGAAGGCACAGGTTCGAAACTGACAAGTTAAACTAACAACTTCGCTACCAAGACCTTGTTCTAATGCGACAACATTGCTTAGCATTTCAATCAAGTGAGCTTCTATTAAAAACCTAAAAAAGTGTTATTATCCTCGGACAAAAAACGTCCCACGCTCTGTTGCAGTGTTTTAAACAATCTGCTTGTGACAATTTGGTGCGACCACTTATCATGAGCCGATGAGGAACACATCGCATATTTGTGACACTAAACTTAGATAAGAAAGTCGAAACGAGTGTCAATGGAGTGACTGAATATTAATGGAGTTGATGCAGTAGTAATTTGCCTTCAACTGGGGCCCACACATAGATAGGGAGCGATGAAGTATTAAGTACTTGCACAAGTTATGTTTCTGATCAGACACCAAATTTGGGTCGGACAGAATACGTACTCTGAGCAAAGTGGAGTAGTAGATGAATCTTCATCCAACCCCGCAGTTGATGGAAATAAACGCAACCACATTGAACCTGATGCCTGCAAAAATAGCAACGATGATGAATCATCGCACCTTATCTATTACCATGCTTCACAGCAAACAAAACAAGGTCACACAAAGCCGAGCAACACAACAACCATTCGATCATAACAGGAATTCAAAAATTCATTTGCGTTCAAATGACAATGACAGCTATGTGATTGCAAGTCTGCCCAAGTCTATTAATCATGAGTGCTGCCATGACGCTCAAAGAGACTGGAGGGACGTAAAGAAGCTGTAGCACGTGGGAAAGATAGCAAGGTTAACCAGCAGGTCACGAGATAAATTTGCTACATAGATGATCAAGTATCGCAATGCCACATTTCCTAAAGTGGTCAGATCAGTTAACATTTCTGTTGTAATTCGACAAGATTTTAAGTGTATCCGAAGGAGACGGCAAGAAACATGAAGAACACCGCATAAAAAGGCTTCATCAAAATGGGTACTTTCAAGAACACATACGCTCAAACAATTAAGTTTCTCACTAAACCTTCTCCATACACACAAAAGAAACGTAGAGCTATTGTGCGATCCGCGATGTACGGGCTTGCCATAAAGCAGTTATTATTACAAATAACAACCGGTTGATAATCATTTGCGACTCCAACAGAATAACCTGAATAGGATGTTTATGTTGATTGACCCAAAATAATTAATTAGTTGAACCTTACATTACCATTCAATGGTTTATGAGAACACCTTTGACCTTTGAATGTTGGATTTGGAACCTAAATAGAAATGTAGTGCCAGTGGTTCATGATTAGACATGAAGTGACGGCAGCAATGATTTGCGAGTAATTACACACTTATGAGGATGTAAATGGGCAGACAAGGTCTAAAACATTTGCGACGTGCATCCAATAAGGCCATATCTTTTAGGTTGTACATTCTGTAAGGTCACACTGTATATTGACAGATAGGTTCATTTAAATCTATGAAATAAACCAGTAAGTGATTGGTCATCACACTTGACCAAACTTATGCAGGAATCACAAATCCGAAAGCTCAAGCGATTCAAATTAGTCATATTCTGTAAAGCCAGTCACCTTTATGATAAAACAGCGAATGCAACTATCAGGAATGTCGAGAAGAAAGCCTGACATCAAGGCCACATGTACTGAGGACAAGTGTAGATTTAAATCGGTGGTAAGCTTAACCATGCATGCGATTACATCGAGTAATATTTCTTAAAGTGAGGCATTTAAAGTGAAAGACACCTAAATTGACGGTTGACCGAAGACAGAAGCGTTTACTTAAATCGTGTAAGTAGCCAGCGTCGGAGGCTCGACAATTATAAGTCAGAGAATGTTCCAACGTTGACGTAAAATGCCACGAATAAACAGTGGGGCGGTATTAATGTAATCTGCACAGTCGCGTCTGATTTTGATAATTTTAACTAGGTCACATGAATGCAGAGATCAAATCAATTCGGAGGTGAAGGTGTTCACTTGAGGGACCACAAAAATAAAATATTTAGTCTCGCGAACACGCATGTCCAATCATCTGACGTTCCGAACTCCAACACAGCATAATCAAAAAGAGGATTCGGTAGGATCGTATTATGCCAAATAGTACAGCTGACGCCAAATCTACTGCTGTGAAGTAATTAAAACGTTCACTACAACGCAGCAGAACGCATTGCTTACAGATCGTGACTAGCATTTTATAACTCAAACGAATAAACCAGAGTAGGAATGCAGTGACAAGCTTTGAATTCCCAAAAAAACTAAGAAAAAACGACCAGCATAAAAGACGAATTCATGAGAAAATAGAGCACATTTATCCTCCGATTTGATGGAATTAAGGAGTCCTCAGCGGGCATGCAATACATACATTACAAGTGATCAGATTAAAAAGCCAGACTTCAACTAATTTGATCGCACCCAAACCACACCATGAAAAAAACTGTGTTTGGTAGGTAAAAAGGCATATTTTCGCCTTTGAGTGATTAGCCAAAGTGGTGAGCAAAGCACGGAACGAGTTCACTTTTGTCAGGAAAGTAGTGCAATTACTTCTCCTTTTGTTTTAAAATCAAAAATTGAAGTTTGCTAAAGAAATCTACGGAATAAATTACTCGAAGATTTTAGAAAGATGCAGATGTTATGCGACATTTTGATTGCAGAACATCAAAAACTGTCCGAAAATCGCAAATCGATCTAACCTTCTAGCACTCATTTCATAACTGCTTTGCACAACCTCTCCCGCATTGCAAAAATACCATTTAAAGAACCAGGTAAACCACTTTCGTACAGTGTACAGGAAATTCGTTTTAACTCAGAAAGTTTTCAAGAGCGGAGCTATAACCACGAAACCCAAATTTACTTTAGGAAACCAAAGAAACTACTGCTACAGCACAAAATACAAGCCGTTATGCACACAACCCACATTGCACAAAGCCAAACCTTAGATAATTTTTCTTAATGCGTGAATTACATTTGAAGGGAGCATTAGAGTGAGTGCTAAAGAAAAATTTAGAGCACATGGACACTGAGGAAGGAGCCGGGACGGTTAGTATCATAAGCGGATTTTCTTTTAAAGGAAAAACCCACTTCGACTTGGCATATGGGATAAACTTTACGATCTTGATCGCAAAACTGAGGATGATACTAGACCAAGTGGAGGGGAGGGGACAAGGAGAGAAGAAGTAAAGTGAGACGGTAAATGTGAAGCCAAAACAGTGATGCAAAGCAATCTCGTTCGGGTGGCGACTTAACAAGGTATTCCGCAGAGGCCGAAGCATACGAAAAGGGAGAGAAGCGAAGGCAAAAGCCTAGAAGAAAGGCTGAGTGTGGACGAAAGAGCCTAGCAGAAATACTTTGCTATTGCGCCAGCTACTCTACAGGTTGTTTGAGACAATATTAATAAGAGTATCAAGCATTCACAGTTGAAAAATAATGCGATAAGCGTCAACGCCAGCTAGTCAACGGTAGGGAAGGAGTTAAAGAACGAGAGCCACCACTCTCACTTGATAGAAAGTGGTTTAAACTGAAAAAGGTGCTTTCAAAAAAGTGCTCATGAGTACTCTATTCACGGGCCTTGCAATCGTGGGTAGTAAATAAACACAATTACGCACGATGTTTCGAGAGTTGAACTGTCACAAACAATGCTATTCGACTGTGGTTTATGCAAAAAGACTATGATTGAATAGTAAAATATGGACTGATTCAAAAATAAAACCGAAGAAACTATCAGTCGGAATTAAACCAAAGACATCGGCAAAGCGATAGTCTAATCAATGAAACGAAGACTTAAAGCAATTAAAAACTAAAAAAGTGTGATACACGGATTGGTGATGGGTGCGTTGAGATGTGTTGGCGCGTGTGAGAGTGATCTAAAAACTAACAGCACTACCACAACCGAAAAAATGAGGTACGAACTCGCCAAAAATCCAACCAGTATCCTCAGTTAATATAAACACTCCTGGATCATCTAGTTAAACCAAAACTTGTGACCAGTTTTGATCTTTCACACTAAAAATGTAGTTGCGATCCATTTTACGAGGAAATAAGCAGATGAGACAACGGATCTGATAGATAAAGCCAAATGATTGTCCTACAAAGCAATAACTAGAACAGGCCTAACGGATCTAATATCGTTAGCATTTCAATCTAATGGACAAAGCAAATGCACCTATGGTCAATAAAATATTGAGTTTGAGTACGATTGTACCAAATTTGTGCTGATTTAAAATGCCTTAAATCAATCACTATCACGAATGCAGCCAAAAATAATAATTACTATTAAAGCGCTAATGCCATTGTTACGTTCCTTTTAAGAAAAAAAAAAACTTCACTCAACCTTAGGAGCTTGGAACAGCAAAACATAACAATGCCGAATAACCAGAACAAGAAATAAGGAAATATCCTGCACCAAACTCTTAGGAAAGTAGCTCAAAGCCGCTGTCCCGAATAGAAGCTGGTTCACTTAGGTACAGTTATGGACAGGATCAAATGACTTGGCCCAATCATACAACTAGAAAATTGAAGCCTCCACTAGTTCTAGCAACAAAAGAACCGCGATCAAAGCATCTACTTACAATTTGGAAATTCACCCAGGATGAAATATCGAACGATAAATCACCACCGAGCAATGATGGGATTTGAGTTGGAGAGATGAATTCAAAAAGTTCCTTTGGTTCATCAATCAGATGAAGAGAGTATAGGACATCGTTGTAAATCCCTGTGACAAATTTGTCTGAAGCGATGCGTTGAAAAAAACCTTGCGGTCGCAGGACAATAACATACTCAATCTGATCTATATAGTTGAGCTTCATTTAAAAAGTAAAAGAAAGTACATCATACATTTAAATGCATTAGAAGCATCCTCACTGAAACCCACCCACATCTGCGACGATCGATGGCAAAAACATGGCGACAAAAGCTACTAAAAAGGTTACCAAAGGTCAGGCCATACGATTGAAAAAAGTAATCAAGCAATAAATCTAAAACTGGGAATGGTAGACTGTCTTCAGTAATATCCGGAAAAAATAGGACGGGGTGATTTTGAGCATCTAGCGAGCCTAGAACTGTTGTAATATAAAAAACACTAACCAGGTGCCCACACGTAGGATCTCCTCAAGCAATCACATATCGATTCAGCGGAAGGACTAATACATAAATGAACCATCTGGAATAAGGGGACCAGAAAACAGATAATACCCCCTAATTTCGCATTTGTGCTGCACATTAGATCATTCAAACAAGACACCTCCTTAATTCACAACGCAGAAGACTTCATAAAGTTTCCGCAATTTTATACTTTATTTATGTTTAAGAACGGCTAATTCTTTGACAACCTTTTCAAACAGCAAAATAAAACTACGTGTAATGACCACTTCTAAATGCTTAAAAATTATTTAAGCTGGATAACAAAACAAACAAATCCGCCTTGTTAGAGTTGTATGATTAAAATAAATATAAGAGCCCCTCAAAACCTTAAAGTCGACTGAAGCCATAATGCCCGTGTAATGCTCACGCTGCTTAAACGCTCCTTTACGAGAAGAAGCGGGCAGTGGACTAGAAACTTGTGATCAAGGTGTGGTCAGCATCTCTCAAATCAGGGAAGAGCTCTGTTTCTAGGTCTTCCTGAGTTTGTGTATGTCCAACCAGCCTCAGTGCTCTAAGGGTATGAAAGCCAGGGAAGAAGAGATAAAACGAGGACCGTACTGCAGCATGGAGTTGGGCTTGAGACAAGCTTCATAGTATAGAATTTACCTCACTCTGTAAAGATACAGTGAAAGGGCACCTAAGTGGTCTCTTTACATGGCTCACCCCTCGGTCAACCTCCTGCTTCGGCCATTGAAACGTAGACGGAGCTGCAAGACTCTTCTGCGCCGACCACTTTGGTCATCGATTTTTTGTGCAACTGAGAAGATAGTCGAGTGCCAATTTAATAATTCTTCTTCAGTTTCAGCCTGTATGAGAACCGAAGTCGGGGACGGGCGTAAGTGTTGGCCATCACCTGAGTCCACAGTTAGACGTAGGAACACTGGTCAAAACGCCGGATCATGTAACTGTGGCGTCCCGAGACTCCCTGAAGATGAAAAAAGACACAATACTTGGGCAGAATACATATATTCAGCACGGAGAAGGTGTCTGAGCTACTAGCATGGCCCACAAGGCCAGCCCACCCAGCGAGGTACAAGAAGGCTAATTCAAAGTACAAAAGTGGCCCCCACCAATGCCGAGGGAAAAACCACTATCGTATTACATAAAAATTGATGGAATCAAACGTAATCCTACAAGGCCAGAATTTTGCTTCCATTGTTCCTTGCTGCGTTGTACCCACTTCAGAGCTGATCAGCCACACCCATTCTCACATATTTAACATCACTGCACAAGGATGGCTGACAGCTCCGTCATAAACTTTTCCACATGGTTTACGACTAGTGCTGCTTCCATTGCTAATAATTTTCCAGGAGAGCACAGGACTGGGGTAGATGTCAAAAGTAGGAGCCATTTCCATTCCTTCTGTTATGTGTCGCCACCAATTCTCCCATTCGTAGCACTTGCACTTTATCCGCCTTGCTAAGGCTTACCATTTGGCAGCACAAATCTGAGGACAAATACTATGTATGTAATACGATAGTGGTTTATCCCTCGGCATTGGTGAGGCGCCACTTTTGTACTTTGAATTAGCCCCCTTGTACCTCGCTGGGTGGGTTAGCCTTTCGGGCCATGCCAATAGCCCAGACACCTTCTCCGTGCTAAATACATATATTTTGTCCGAGTATTGTGTCTTCTTTCGTCTACAGGGAGTCCCGGGTCGCTACATGTATTTGTATGTATGTATTATCGACAGGCAAACGAGATTGGAGATTGTAGCATAGTTTAAAGTTCAGATCATCCAACAGAGGCACAATAGAGACCGAAACTAATTCTTTACTCAAACCGAGAGTCACCTAATACTTCATATAATGGCTAGATGTGATAGTTGCATTGTTTAAAAGTGCCTTTTGAAGAGAAAACGACCGTCAGTCCAAACCTCGTGATAGAGAAGTGGCCAAAGTTCCTTGAGGCAGATAAGAGCTTAGTCTCTCCATTCTTCTTTACACGTGCAATTTCTCGTTGAAATCGATTAATAAACGTGTCCCAATTGAATAGGACCACGCGCAAAGGGAATGAAGGCTAGAGAAGAGGAGACAAACGGGGAACGTACTGCGTACTAATGCATGTCTGGCCATATTTTATTAGTGCTCATGTTATTGTCTTTCAAGTAAAATCCCTTCGTACTTTTTTGGTATTTCTCTGCATTCCATGCACAATATTTTTGATTCTGTTCCAAGTGCTTCCAGAAGGTCGCTGTTGCTCACAAGCGTAAGTTAAAAACGACAAAGTAAACGGTAAAGGGATGTAAGTGCATGGAAGGTGTTGTAAACAACTAAAAAATAACATGTCTATTTATCCATTAGCTTATTGACCTTATTTGATCACTCTCTTTCGTTTCACCTTTACGTTCTGGTTTAAACATTCATTGTTGCTTTTAACCCATTTTATAATATTTAGTTTTATTTTTCGCTCAATGTTTAAGGCTTGAGTTGTTTGCACAATGAAAGAATATAACCGCCAGATAAAAATACACCAATCAAAAAATAAGGATTTCGGCTAACTTTATCGCTATGGTTATACCCTAGCAATGGCAAAAGGGAAGCTGACGAGGAAGAACTGTTTGACGTCTGTGAAGTCAAGAATTAATCCGAAGCATAAATCTCGTAAAAATTCGGTGTACAGCAGGCGCGCTGTGAAGAAGAACCAGCCTCCTATCTCATATAAAGAGTCCCATTCAATCGGTAGAAGACAATCAACTCATGTACCAACGTACAACGAAAGTGGACGGCTTTACTTCGATTTATACGTCAAATATGGGCCGACTGATTGCTTTGCTAACAAGGAAGACAAAGTGACTAAAGAATCTAATCACAGCTGTGGCTTTGATTCTGATATTTCAGATACTACGACTGTTGCATGCAATGATGCATCAAGTCATTCTCCTGGAAAGAAGAAGCTCGACCTTAAGAAAAAGCGGGAACAAACGTCTAGGCGAAACCGGAATGTTGTACAATCGCCTCGGTCCTCCGTACTGTACACACGTCGCGAAGCAAGCTTAAATGCTGAGGCGAAAGTAAACATGCTTTTTGAATCTCCGAAAGAGTGTAGATTAAAGAGAAAATCATCGCCTGTTTCTTTGACTCCTAAAGTAAGAGAGGATGTATCCGGTCCTATCAATGAGAATTCGGACTGTGCATCTTCTCGAAGGCGAGCTTCGCGTTTGCGGATTTCTGATCCTCCAATTTCTTATTCTCCACCGAAAAAACGCCTGGCAGGTCTTAATGCAACGGCTATAATTAGCGCATTTATGAAATCACCTAAGCCAACACCCTCTTCTGACGCCAAACCTCGAAGGTGTGGAAAACAATCCAAAGCTTCACCTTCTCAGTTGGCAGGCCAAGACGATTCTCTCGTGAACGTAAAACGACAATCTGCCTGTATCGTATCATCTAATCAGTCACAAGTCCCGAATCACTCGAACCCTCTGACTGCTGTAGCAATGGTAAGCAGTGATACCAAACCCAGACCAGCATCGGTTGTGCCTACTGTGGAGCGCTTTCAATCCCACAAGGTGATATCTTACGGCCCGAAATGTATAGGTGTTGAAAACGTTTCTCGGCAAATTATACATGTTCCATCTCAAAACCAAAGTTTGCCTGGTCCTTCATGCTCAAGTCCGGTTCCTCAACGTCTTTTCACTCAATCTTGCTCGTCAACTCCGCCTCGTACCGCCTCTCCCGTCATGTCGACGGCAAATGTTTCACCTCAACAAAACCACTCCATGTTTGTTCTTCCTGATACCTCCTTTAATTCCTCTTCACGATCGGAACCCCTTCTTCCCGCTGACGTTCATACTTGTTTCCCCAGTCAATTCTATGTGGGTCCTTTTGGTCACCCATCTGCTTTACAACCGCACACATTCTTCATGTCTCCCACACTAATTCATTCGATGCCCCCATCACCATTCCACTTTCTGCACACCTCGCCGTTTGCGACAACGTATATGCATTCACCCGCCCCTATGCCTACGAACTACATGCTTCCAATGCCCGTATCCCCGATCTACAATGCTTTTCCCCATAGCGGTTTCGGGAGCTGTGTAGTTCCTCGGCCAGTATTTTCGACTCAGCCAATGCCACCACCAGCGCCAGCAGCACCGGCGCCACCGCAGCCGACATCGTTGGCATGTGAATTAGGCAGTTCACAGGTACACAGCACACTTGCCCGTGAGCCACCGAAGCAAGTTGATAGAGCAGTGTCACCAATGCCCGAAATGAAATGCGACAGTGCTTCCAGCTCTGCTTGTAATGTCCTAGTCAAGAAAACTCCTACCAAACGTGTATCTCCTGAGAAAAAACAGGCTCCCTGCTTGTGGGTCTGGGAAGGGACACCAAACGAGAGGCCCGTTTTCGTAAAAGTATGTTTTTCCTTTTATTTCTGGACACGCTCTACTCCTATACCCATTACCTATGGGTACTAAAGTAAGACATCCTCTACATTTATGGCCAAAGAGCATATTAAGTACTGTTGAACAAATTCATCCACCTGCGTGATTCCTTTGAGTCATTAGTGAGAGAGCTCAGCACTTTTGGTTCGTTTCACACTAGCTAGTGCTAACCTGAAGCATTCTCTACATTTGTTATCAACGATCAGTTAGTATCATTAAATGAAGTCGCTTGATTGATAGATTATCTAACCTGCTTAACAGTTTACTTAAGGGGCTTACCGCCTGTGCGATAGCTGTGTGTTATCAGCGCTGAGACTGAATATTTACTCTGTTTCACATTGTCAAATGCAGTGCCTGAGTCGTGTGTGGACATCTGAAAATAGCTTTACTATCGGCTTTCTGAAACACTGGAAAACTAGTAGCACGAAGATTGACTAGGTCTACGCGGTAAAAAATGTGATTCTGATCCACAGCCGGATTCACCACCGGTGGCTCGTATGTGCTATCCATCGATGCGCCACGAGAAGGACGGCATGGTGGTCTGTCCCGGGGACAACGTTCTCCTCTGCAGCGGACCCGATCGCCACAGCGCTCCTCACGTTGCTAAGGTCACAGCTCTCTTTGATAACCCTGACAATGGTGAGGAGAGCGTCTCAGCTTCAGTTATTTTCGATTTTTGTCGCGCCTTTGGATTATAGATTTCTTCCGCTGAAATTTAGTTACAATTATCATTTTTCAAAGAGCCAATATTTTCCAGCAGTATTTTATTGTGATTGATTTAAGCGCAATATATGAGCAAAACAAATGAGTTTCTCTTGTTTGTTCTTAGGTGCATGATTGCAAGGCATGGCACGTGACTTTTCGGTGTCATACTTTTGAATAATCTGAGACTCCGGTGCGGGCTCTACAAGAATTTTGTACACGCTGGCTTTGTGAATATGACATTTAAGATAATTGATTACTAGCCCAAAGATCCCGCTGTGCAGTTTAAGCGTTCAAACTATCACATTCCGAAAACTGGACCCCCCCTTTTGAGCGGACTTTACCAGTTCCGCTGATAGCTTAGGATGTGCAAGTGATGCGTTCAACATTAGATTCTCACTACTCTCATTCAATGTGGATTATATTGGCGTCTGCACAGGCACCAAGATGATGGCGCTGTTGTGGTACTACCGACCGGATAGTCTAACGCCACCGCGTCGAAGCGGTGTTGTGGAGTGTGAGTTGTTTGCCAGTCGGCACTGCGATGTGAACCCCGTTGATTGCATCGACGACCGTGCTTATGTACTCTCCGCTGCTCCCTACGCGCGCTTCATGGCACTGGCTAAGTACAAACAGGTAATCCCCCTCCACTTCTCTTTTCATCTCCCTCTCTCTTTCACTTGTCCTCTAGCAAACTGACGTGCAAGACAGCTAGTCGATCAGCTAACGAATAAAACCAGTAGTTTTATTTATGTAGTCCTTTCCATTAAAACAATACTTTTGTTGCAAAAAAATTGTGCAGTTATTAAAGTTGGAGGGGGATTACAAAAGGATCTGAAATTGGTTTTTAACTAGTACGAACTGATTGGTGAGGTAAAGAATTTCCTTTTCTGCAGAGCTCGAAACCCTTTCCGAACCACGGGGTTTTAAGGTTAATTCCTTATGCCGGAATTGTAGAAGATAGTTTCCTTTATTACTCACTCTAGTGACCATTAATGGTTGGTAGTGAATACTGTATGCGATATGTTGAAATAATGTAAAGCTGAGTACTCTATCACTTTGACTCACGAAATGCTGCCGCCATAGCGGCCTTTTTTGTTATAGACTTTTTAAGCTTAAATCACGCTTTCAAATACGGACATTTTTCATTTGATTTGTTTATAAAACTACTGATCCTTCGTTTATTGTTTGTTTTGCAACTAATCATCATACATTGACCAAGTAACGGTTATCAATTCGTTTATGTTTGATAGTTTGCAATATTTTTGAGTCATATTTTCTTCAGTTGTGATTTTCTTTTTATCTCACAACCAAGGCATGATCCTTCAATCAACCATTCCCACTACTTTATAAGTGTTCTAATTGAAGGCAGCTGTAAACTATCTGTGAGCTTGTTTTGTTATTTTCACCAAATAAATGATATATATTTCATGTACTTTTTGCATTATCCATCAATTATTTGAACCCAAGGGAATTGAAACTGGGACATTTCCTTGTCCCCATCATTTCTTATGATTTTTTAAAATTAGTTCCATTTGTTGATACTATATCTTTGCTTTATCCAGCCACAGAGTTTTCATTTTAGTGCGTTTATGCTGTATAACTACGTTCTTTTAATGTTAGGCATACTGGAGTCATACTACGCCTGCTTGATATCAGTTCCACACACAATCAGAAGTGGAGAGCAGCTTTGCCGTCTAATGTCCACTGAAACCCCAAATATGTGAATAAGCGCATGAATTATTCCAGCATTTTGGATGAACTTATCTCTCAACCATGCGTCGAGGTGAAACCTTTTTCATACCTTTGTCAACTTTGTGTTCTGGCAAGGTAGTCGTGGTTTGTCACAACTTTTGGCTTTTACGAGTGGAACGTCACTGGCGTTCAGTTGGTCACCTGTCTTATTTGCCTCTAACGTCACAAGCGTGGGTGCGGATCGACTCCTTTGTATAGTTATCGCACAGTCTTCATGTGACGCCAAACAGGCCAGTCATGTCCCTAATAGCTTCTCCACCAATAAACATCCGCTTTCCCAATTTCGCATAAAGTTATGCGCAGTATGACTTTCTGCGCGAAAAGTGTTTGTATCCTTTGAATAACTTAGTCAATGACAAAATGGCTACGACGTTTATTAAGTGCTGGGTTCTAATTTGCGGTTTATTGTAATGCTATTTTTTAGTGGTGGATGTTTTTCATTTTATAACCTCCGAGAGACAATTAGTTGGAAACTACTATTCAGTATACGACTGGGTCTTAAAATCATGATAATCATATTTACATCTTCTGAATGCTTGGTATTTTTGTAAAAGGAGTTGCCTTAAACATCGTGCCTGTGGACGATTTTCGATATCCGGGTGCAAACTTATTCTGTTTTGGAAGTGTTATTTCTTGATCATCGACAGCGCGATATTTGTGCTCATCTTGCTGGAAGATGTATGCTTCAAACTTCATCACCTCATGTACATCACTCAGCATCTGCGCGGCGTGTTTGCACTTCTTTTCGGCCTTTGCTCAGCACTCGTGCAGGAAAAAAATTTGATGTATTTACCCTATTGCGAATGTTGTTTACGTGTAATACAAGCTTTATAGGGAAATTCCAGTAAATTTGGCCGGATTAGTTAAAATAACCCCACTTTTTAACTGTTTAATTTTGTTGCATGACAAGTTTGGATGTTTATTGTTAAGCAGGCATTAGCTCTACCTCAATAGTGACCTCGGAGGATTGTGTCTTGTTATTCAACTGGAAGTACAGAATTTGTGTCTTAATAAATGTTTTTCTTATTTCATATTTTTGTGTAACAGGAGGCTCGCACTCACCGCCGATCAATTTCTGCAGTTCCACGGATTGCTGCTGCCACGCCTCGTGATGCTACAGCCACTTCCACAAGTACTGAGGTTGTTTACTTCTTAGCTAAGAATTATAACTGCCTTAATCACCAGTCATGTCGCTTTTTACTTTGTATGTTATCACATTTAATGCGTCAAGTCGCGGACCATCATCTGAATACTATACAGACATGAAACTACAACCTTCCTTCATTTTCAATTTCCTTTTTTAACGGTAGTTTCAGAAAATTCGCTTTGTGTCAGCCTACGATATCACAGCGAGTTCATTTGACTTCTAAAATTGTTTTTTTTTTGGTCGGAGCTTAAATTCTACTTCATCCCCTGAACTATTCGAATTGGTTCTTGTTTAAATTGATTGAGAGGCTTGCCATTAGTTTGTCTTCAAAGTGTCGGCACTTTCAGTACTCTTAGAGCTGTGTCGTGGAATGGAAAGTAAACCTACGTGCCATTGAGCAATGAACTTGTAATTTAATGCTCTGTAAAGCCAAGGTGCTGGTGTCTACCAGCATATCTGGCATTTTCCGTTAAATAACACCTGTTGAGAATTTAGCCCATTGACGTTGCTCCCTACCTAATCGTGGTGAATTGCCAAGACGAGGGAGAACACTTCTGAACGTATTCCGATTACTGTCCCATTGGAACTCCAATGGAATCTCCTCATTTGCGTGACTGAGGTGCAACCATTTAACGAAACCTTTTTCAGAATTGCGTTTAAATGTGTTCCTGCTTGTGGCTAAGTATGAGAACACCCAATGGAATGCACTTCCATTTTTGCCAAATTGTTGGTCTTCATCTGGTTTACTATTCACTGCCAAAACAACACTTTGAAAGCTATTTATAGGATTATTGCGGGCGGTAATTTTCTCTAAATAAACCATTCTACAGCTGAATGAGTGATTTTTGTTGAAACACTATTTAAGAATGTTTATTTGGAATCTCACTGTAAACCTTTCCGAACTGTACTTGTAAAAGCTCTCATGCCATCCCTTTTCGCATTTTGCGGCTTAGTATTACTTTTCCTTTTGAGGGATTCCATCAAATCACAAATTCGACTTTCATAAGAGAAAAGAGGGAGGCCTATCTGTTTCAATTTACCTTTACCAGTAAGACTGCATTTTCTCGAGTATCCGCCATCTCTACACGTCAAAGACAATTCATGTCAATACAATCAGCTTGTCTCAAACGCCTAGTTCGTTTTATCACATTGTCAACTTTTTCAAGTCTTCAGTTGTTTTTTTGGATCATGTCTTTATCACGATTATTTGCGTGTAGCATCTTGTTGTGCAGACAGCAGGCCTCTGGGTGGGGTTAAAGAACATTAGCATCTCCGTATGTACTGTAATTTCATGGATTTGAATTGTTTTGTAATCCGTTGACGCCTGAGTCATTTCTCCTACTTTAGATGGGTTCTTGTATATTCATGAATATATTTCTTATGCTTTTGGAAGTCACCTCTGTGATTTTGGCCTTGAAATTGTGTACTCCGTGTGGTGTGGAGAGGGGGATGACCGTAGCGAGGCGGGCTTCTTTTTCAGTTTAGAAAAGCGATCAATGGGTTTAATTTGTCGAGGCCTAAACATGAAGTACCTATATGTGTATTATGAAATAATTGGCATTTTCCACATCTTGCTCCACCAACGAGCTACCACTACTCACGATTTTACCTGTGCGTGTGTTAGCACAACAATTAGCACAGTGTTAGTCTCACGTGCTTGCGATGTGCTTGAGCACTTTACAAGCCAGAAGAGGAATAGGGAGGTGTATTCGCCACTTCCCGCCTTAATGCCACTTAGGCGAAGGAAATTTGTCTCTGCGTCCATGCTTCTTGGATTTTTTAACAGCCATCTCTTTGTTTTGACTTTTTCAATATAATAACGCTTAGCACTAACCACATGCGGTTAGTGGTTACACTACTCTCTGAGTATGAATTTGTTGCAGCAATCAAGATATCCCTTGTGGTATTTTGAGGCATACAAGGTTGGAGTTATCTTTATCTTTGGCTTGGGACTGATAGTTTAGGCGGCATGAACATGGTGATCGAATCACTAATGACTGAAAAGGACCGCTTGTTCGAATTCACGTGTGATTCTGTTCCAGCATAATGGTGAGTGCTACGCTTCCCCACTCTTTTAGAGAGACTATATCGTTTATTCTTTTTAGGTCTTCGCTGGCAATATCTCCGAGTTTCCAGAAGACGCAATTCCATCTAATGTATTCCTCTGCCGCGCCTGGTACGACTTCCGTTCTCGCAGAGTTATGCGTCATTTAAAATCGCTCAACAGCAACCTTGATAATGGTGGCAACAGCAACAACGGCAGTTTTAGTAACTCTAGCAAGACATCACACCAGCAACAGCAACAACAACAGTTGGATACCTCGAGTCCGGTCCAACCTCCGGCCGTCAACTCCTCCTGCACACTGCTGACACTTGCACCACCTTTGCTATCACTTCCGTCCCCTCCAGTTCTTCGGCCAGAGGAAGAGGCGGCTGAGAACGAGGCAGAGGCAGCGGTGGCTGAGGCAGTAGAAGAGATCTCCAACGGGCGGACGGTGCTCGAGAAGACGGCAGATATCTCCATCAACTGGAGTGACCACGGGGAACAGATTGCGCTGTCCCTAGGAGGCGCGCCGCTCTCGCCATCTCCGAAGAAACCTGACGCTGCCCCAGTCACCTCCTCTCCCACTTCCGCAACCACCCCCACATCTGCGCCCGGGCCCGTGCCCACGTCCACATCCCAACCCCCGCATATGCTACTCTCTTCCTCCTCCCCCTCCTAACTCAGCCTGTTTCCTTCGCCCTTAGTCTCTATCCCTCACACTCCCTTTTTCTGTGTGCTTGTTTGTCTACCTGTGTGTACATAACAGCGTCATCGCTGACATTGTTATCACTTCGCTCCTCCCGCCTTCATCTTTATCTCCTTCCCTGGCCGCTTTAAAGTACTACTGCTACACTTATCATCATTAAAGGCGTTAATATGTCACTGTTGAAGTTTCAAATCCTTAATGGACGTCTCTACAGTGTTTGGTGTCAGTGTCCGATTTTTTCGAAGGCTCGTTGAGAGTGCATAACTAGCTATCGATGTGGGGTTTATCTAAATCATTGCTTTCTTCCAAATCTGTTCTCGTCAGTACTGCTTAACGTGAATTCAAGAACTGAGGCATGCAGCGGCATGTTGGGGGTCAGATTTGAGCAACATTTCAACCACGGCAAGGTCTTGTGTTTTTGTGCAAGATGGTGTTAAATAATTGTCAGCGCGCAAACTACCCTGACTACCACTGCTTGGCAGTGCAAGTTTTGCTACTGATTGCTACTTCATGTAATTAGTTGCATGCAGCTGATTTACAGCAAAGCGAGAGACCTGGAAATAAGTTCACACTAAAGGAAAATCAACCATTGGAATGAGAGGCCATTACCATTTTGGTACCAATTATTGTGTTTGTGAAATAAACCGCTTATTTACAAGAACTGAACAAGGCATCAACTACTGAAATAAGCGAATTCATAGTTAAGTGTTGCGTTAAAACACTTATAATTATTTTAATTTAAGGGTGTTCCATTTTACAGGTTGGACCAGCGACATTCATTTTTGCGCTTGGCAGCCCTTCACCATAATCGGGCCAGAAGTTTTACATTCAGAGTGTTACGGAACAGCACTAAATCGCCAGCAGAACTCTACCTTTTTCAGAAATGAGGCCAAGATAATCTGCGTCGTTAAACTCAACTGCTTTGCAGCATCTATCACTGATAGATCGCCTCTTGCAGATTTTAAAACCCACACCACTTAAAAACCTTATGCCGTCCTTATCCAATGGAATGAATTTGATCCCAAAGAATCGGTAAATTTCCTCTAGGACGAAATAGTAAACATGATGGGAAAAAAAGCGAGTAAGATTATAACCTGGCAGATCCAGATGAATTAAGCACGGGACTCCCAAACACAAATCCCCCTTCTAAAAAACTGCACCCGCTTCACTGGAGGCAGTCGGAACACGAATATTCACGCAGGAGGAGCGATTTATTCCAATTTCAAAAGAGTAATTTTGGTGGACACATGGTATCATTCAGTGGGTGCTTGCTGTAAAATCGGCCCAAGAATTATGTTGGGAATAGTATTAAGTTGTCTTGAAGCGCAGTCAATGGTGGTGCACGAAATTTGTGGTTCAGTAACAAATCACATTGACTCGCATAAACCTCTTAAACCTCCAACGGCTAGGCCGCCCGATGTATGGGTTTGATTACATCAATTCATCTATATTCAGATGGCCATTAAACGACGACTACAACAAAGCATTATCGCACATTTCGAGAGGAAAAGGCCCACGAAATAAAGTAATCAGGACTTTTATGTCGATCAATCAGGTTATTGGTGATGTGCGTGCCGCAAATTGAGAAAGTCTATCAACCAGAAAAGGTTGAGAAATAGCGAATATGGTGAATAGGAAAAAAAAAGTAATATACTAAGGAAGCCCTCTGAAGCCCCTTCATTCCCAAGACTCGGTGTTGCTAAATATATCATAACCGAACATGGTCACATTCTTATATTATGTGAAATGGATTCCACGCAATAGAATCAAATTGGATACATGTATTATTTCCATAGAATGTGTAGACTTCCTGCATTAGTACTATCAAATTCACTCAAAGTGTAATGCACTCGATTAACCCCAAACACATACAAAGAGTACACAATAACATTTATTCCGATACAGCTCGATTTAAATTACTCAGCCGTTTATTCACTTGAGGAGAAAGCTACTCATGAAACCGATAACAATAGGGTTCATAAGTTAGTGGGAGCCAGACAATAATCGCCACTAGGAAATTGTAGATTGTGGCAAAGCAAATCCATTCGGGATGTATAAAATACCCGGACTAGACACTTATACCCAATAATTGCTCAAACACTTGCATTATAATGTGTTTTTAATGTCAACCTCCAACTTCGCCCGAAACATTAATTGTTTGCTTGACTCTTGTTTTTGATTACGAACCAATGAAGGCGCCGGGCAAGTCTCGGGGCGTTGTATTTAAGCAGGTGTTTTGTGTGGGAGAACATCTGATAACTTTACTGATAAAAGTGACTCAACGCAAATATAGCTTAACCAAAAGTACTAAGTTATAATCTAGCATTTCTGACTTTATAAATTAATCCTCATGTTGGCCGTTATATAATCAGCTTTTTGATAAGTCCGTGCATACTATTAACTAGCAGAGAAGACACTGGATTTGTTTTGAATCCAAAATAAAGGAGGTAAAGTGCAAGTTATTGTAAATGGTAATCACAAAAGTTAGTAATCTTAGTATTAATTACAAGGACAGCGATTGTTTAAGTTAATCGGTAGTGTAAACTTGTAACTAGGCCAGTCTGATCTATGCGCCTAGCTGCAATATTTAGGGCTGTACGAGCACTATTTCTAGCTATATTTGGACTAATTTTGGTCTATATTCTGTGTCGATCAAAACCCATAGTCACCATTTATGTCATAACACCAACGTTTTATCGACTTACTCAAAAGCCAGAGTTGGTTCGGCTGTGTAATACACTCTCGCTTGTTGAAGACATTCATTGGATAGTCGTTGAGGACTCACAAAATAAAACAAAGTAAGTCTGTTGATTTAAAAGGCATTCATTTGCAAGATTATTGATGTAGTGCGTTGCGCAAACTCCATGTTAGTATTGTTATCTCTCGACACTCCCATCCGTAGGCTTGCTCATGTTGAGCGAAGTCATTTTCTCAATTAACATTTTTTACTCTTCTTTTTTAAGCTGATGTAGATTAGTGCATACTTGAAATCGTTGCGTGCATACACTTTTGTCGAGTGCGGTTTTTTCCTACTCTTTAATCAATAACAGCCATTGTGTTACTAAATGTGTCATCTGATTCTGATCTACTGATGTAGCTTACCTTTTTCAATCATGCATGTTACCGAAATTGTAACTTTTAAGTGATAAATAATAGCTTGAAAGAATTATTGTATGTTATGACAAATGATTTTTCACTTTTTTACGCAATACATGGTACCTAATTTTGATGCATTTTTAGTCTTGTCGCCAATTTTTTAAGTGAATGTAAGGTTCCATCAACACATCTGAATGCAGCATCGCCAAAAGATAGGAATTATCACATTAAGGGGAGTAATCAACGGAATGCTGGTCTGCAATGGCTGCGAGAGAACATCGTCAAGGGAAAACAAAGAGGCGTGGTATACTTTGCCGATGACGATAACACTTACGATCCTCGTATCTTTAATGAGGTTAGCGCCTCGTGCACTTCAACTTATTTAAATGATTTTTTTTAAAACCAAATGAAGTGGATTCTGGGGTGTAGACGATTACTTTTTATCATGGAGTATGACTATTTTGCACACTTTTACTTTGGTGACTTAAAAAATTAAGAAATAAGGTCAGCAAATATTGTGACTATGCAAAAATATTCCCAAGTTTTGATAAGACTACTTATATTTGGCAACTGTTGATTAATATGGTCACAGAAGGAAAGGGTTATCGATAAGGTCTACTCTTTGGGGTGTGTTAGCATTGCTTAAGACTCTGGAAATAACCTGATCTTTAACTATAAACCAAGGTTGCAGACAGCTAGTTCCTTGAAAACCGAAGAAATCACATATTGACAACTCTGTGAGGCTTTTTAATGAGATTGTTTAGTCACAATATTTAATTTTGCATTCAGAGAGCTTTCAATTAATCATGGCATTTAAAGATGACGGATTAACTCTTTAATGGAAGGCATTGGATATAAATTGATGAGCCGATGCTCAGGGCATTAATGTGTTCAAAACCACCTAACTCAGACTGAAACGCACATAAAATTTACATCAAATGACAATCTTTGAATTGAGCTTAAGTGGAAAAATTAAGTTTTAATTAGTAGAGGTTTGCTTTAGGAAGTTTGTGGTTGTTTTAAATCACAATATCTGCAGGAATATTGGCCAGGGAGATGTCTTCCATACATCATGTTATAAGTTGTTTTCTTTGTGCGTTTACCTTATGCCTTGTTTTCGTATAAAAGTATAATTGCATCTTCATTTAATGGAACGCTTTTTTATTATAGGGAATGCTTAATTGTTCAAAATCGTACACTACAATAAATGTATCACTACAGGTGACACTTGCTAAAAATCTAGTTTTGTCCTCCACAGCGCTTTCTTTTCTTGCGAAATTCAACTAAAGGTGTTTTAGTACTTTGGTCCTACTGTAAGGATGAATGGCTTTTACGCAAAGAACACCTTGAAGTTCCTTTGCCGTACATTTGCTTAAAATCCTTTTTTGACGATTGCATAAAACGTGGCGCAAAGATACACGGTTTTGTATGCACACAATGTTACTCATACAAAGGTTTGTATCAGCTTCATTGTAAATAAAGGAGGCCATATGTTGCATTTGAATTAGCGCAAAGATCGGCAAAACACTGTAGATTAGCGGAAATGCGTAGATGCGGGATGCTTTAACCAAAAACCACAGTTCATTGGTGGAACTTTAGGTATACGGCATTGTTTTACTTCCCGTTGAAGGGTCACATTAATCACATCGTTGGCTAAAGTTGTTACCTATTCCATGTCAAGGCATTGTCCACTATAATGCTTTCCTTTAAAGTGAAATCTACACCAAATCGTTTCGCCATTTTAAATGTGCTAATTCTTCATATTGTAGTGATACGTCATTCGCCTTGTCTAATGAACCGCTTTTTCGAATGCATAGCACTCCATATGCCTTGGGCGTGCATTCGAATAGGCGAATTGATCAATAATGTCCTGACGGCAACTGAAACAGTGGGAAAACGTGGTATTTAATGTGGGGTGCTGAGTCACAAAGACCTTTCTATGAGGTGTTGGCAGGGGGATGGGTAATGGCATCTACTTAACTGATTTAATTTGTTCTAATAGAAAAGCAAATCAGTCGTAGTGCAGGCTACAGGCAGAAGAACTTTATTTAAAGTGTTCGATTCATACACTGGGTGCTAAGACTGCAAGCTTCCGTAGGTCTATGATCGCTTTCTAACAAAGCAACGCTTTATTTCATGACCAAAGATTATCTCTTGTGTACTGGGATAACCGAATGCATCAGTGAAACTCTATCGTTGCCGAAACAGTAAAGGTTGCGTTTGGCAGTGTAGTGTTGCTTCAAATGAACACCTTCCGATTGCTCACTTTTCCTTTATTAAAGTAGCACATCCTCTATTGAAGTATTTACCATAGCCCTGACATTCATAGTGCTTTCTGTTGCTATTAGATTCAAAACTCATATTATCTGGTTGAGATAAATCTGAGAAATCCACGATAGACTTACCCATTTATGCTGTCTGATTGGAATGGAAAGTTTCTTATGATGTTTTTTATGAAGAAAGTCTCTTGATATAAGTAAGACTCCCTTTTGACATTGGAATGAAGTCATGAGTCGAAATAAACCCATTGCGTTACCGAGTTGAGACATATAAGTGCAAAAATATTAGCTAGAATAGAGGTTATTGCGGCATAGGAACTCCCTGAAAAGCATCACTAGGAGGAGGAGGAGGAGCAGCAAGATTCTTTTTAAGTGACTGCGTTTTTGCTGATCGAGGGCATCACTCAGCGTCAGCTACGCGGATGCCACTTCATATTTTAGTCTTGTCTTTCACAAAGTTTTTTGTTTAAGTGATATTCATATAATATTGTTTCAGCAGTTAAAACCCCCAAGTTACTGATTCTCAAAGTCCGTTTCATGGGACTGCACAGTTGGTTAAATTGGTTTTTTGGTATGGATACATGAATGGACGGAACTCTGGTTATTACAAAAGCAATGAATCTAGACCATAGGGACCAGCTAAAATTAAACAAAATATAGTCTATTCACTCCTATTTTTTTCTTAATCCAGTTCTTTTTTTGCTGAGTTGCCTGACAAATAATAGTAGCAACCATTTAAGGATGATTTCGTAATATCACAGTGCAATACTGCACAATTCTTCCTTTTGACACGCGATTTACACAAATGTTGTCTTGGCTGGTTGGTTCAAAGCTTTCTATTAATAGACGACTTTTTACAGAAGGAGCGCATCAGAATTTGTTCATTGGAATAAGCACGTGGCTGAGGGTGGTATTTCTTTGTCGTTCAAATATAAATGCTTCATTATTCGGTTTGTTTAGTGCTCATGCTCTAAGTTTGTGCAGCTCTGTACGTCCAATACACCCCCTTTAACAGTGCAAATGTCGAATGATGTGATCAAACTTCTCAAAGGGTACATGAAACCATAACTAAATAGCACAATAGCAAAGGCACGTGTACAAATTGTGGAATTGAATGTGTACTACTAAGTCCCAAAGACTGCTATGACTAAAATGAGGTTTTTTAGACTTTGAAATCACCACTTTTCTCTGTTGATGAAGCTCTTCAGCCATGCGTCAACTTTTGGGTGATCCTTCACTTTCATGGTAGCACGGTTTTGCTGTTAATTTTAGATATGCACAGAACTGTTTCATTATTTGGAGTGCTAGCATAGCTGAGACACAATGTTCTTCAGATCCATGAAAGATCTAAATTAGACAACTTCTAATGTGAGACAAAAATACCCGATTTTTAAGTGCCTAGTTTGCTTAACACTGATGTGGTATTCTTGGTAAAGCGCATCGTAAATAAAGAAAGTGGCAAGATGTAGTCAAGACTCCCCTTCATACATTCAAATGAATGTATAGGGCAAGTAGTGGCTGCTACAAAAGTAAAATATAGACTTATAAATTTACAGAGCCCTTGAAAACTAATTAGTTATCGTAACACGGAAAATGTGTGTATTCAAAAAGAGAGAATTAGATAAGCATTTTACAATGCCTTCCTGGAAGGCCCAATGACTAAAGAAAAAAGTGAGCGTGTTTTCTTCCGTTTGTGAGTTTGCATGTGTGCATTGCAGATGCGCAATTTGCGTCAGGGCGCCACTTGGCCGGTGGGGATAGTGGGAGGCAGTAGTTGGGAGGGCTGCATCACCGCGCCTGAAGAACCCTCGCGAATTGTGGGCTTTTGGACAGGCTATAAACCACGGCGCAGCTTCCCGATCGACATGGCCGCCTTCGCCATCAATGTGGACCTTCTTTTTACCTACCCTAACGCCTCCTTCGACTACAAGCACGTAGAACAGCAGGAGGGCACTCTCCTTTCTCAGGTTGGCTTTAAGTCTGCCCTCGACCTTGAGCCTCGAGCCAATGGATGCTCAAAAGTAGGTCATTTCTTTATTCGCCAAGTTTTAAAGCCTGATTCATTTTTGAAACATCAGTTTGATTTAGAAGATAGCTTCATTATCAAGGTGAAAACTGTTGGAATATAGCCATAGATTGTCAAAATCTTAGTAAAGGGCACAAATAAAACATCGTTTATTTACAGCTTGTTTGTTGTATAATTGAATTGGAGAAACATATTCACAGATGCGCGATCTGCAGTGCATTAAACTAAAACGCATTGGAATTTATCGCATCGACAGCTTCCAACCGGCATAGGCGGTTCCTTTCTGCTCACGTACATGATGATTGATGATGAAGATGACTTTTGCGATCAGTCAACATTCAATACTAGAAATAAAATATCTGCAGGTGTTTATCAACGAACTATAATAATAGAACTAAAAAGGGGTTTTTAAGGCTCAAATTAAAAGTTTGTAAAACCATTAAATTTTCAGAATTTGAAGAAGGTGCTCCTATTTGACGTAGAAGATTGTTTTTTACGCACTGTAGATTTCAGTATAGCCAATAATGCGTTTTAAAATCTGATTTATAAGTGACACAGTCACAGCAGTTTTAACGAGATCAACATCCAAAAATTTTGCTGTTTAATTGACTCAATAATTTCATGATTCGAAAAAATCCACTCGTTAAAGTTTAGTTACTTTCGCCCTCCACACCGCATAAAAGATTAACATAATTGACACCCAAACCATCCTGTGCAAAAGTTCAGCGTAGTAAAACAAACTGCAAATGCTCTGACTTCGATCGAATCACTTGAATGACTGCAAAACGCATTCGTCCAATGCTGCTAGCAGTGTCGCTATGGCGTTAGCGTACACATTGCGGATGAAATCTGTCGGATGCAAAAAGTTGAGGTGCACCGTACAGATGAAAACCTGCATCACAGTTGTCGGCTAAATCTGGTATGTTTTGATGTACTCCGAACATATTCTGTCGACCTTATTTTGAATTAAGTTCGAACGTAAAGGCGTTCTTTTGGCGCCCTTCGAGATGTATATGGTACACGCAAAATTAGTCATATTTGGGTGCTTTCCAGACACGCACTGTATAAAATAGACAGGTGCTAGCAGTCGTCTTTTCTTAAATGGGCCAAATCTTTTAAGAGGTCCGATAAAGTGTTCTATTTCTAACGATTTATCCGAGGGATAAGGCATGAGCCGATGGAATGGAGAGACAAATCACAAAATGAACACAAAGTCGCTAAAATGGGAACAGTACAGATTTATGCGGGCTGGAAGAATTGCCAAGCCCTTTTGATGATCGATATCCAACGTAAACTTGCATTAACTACAATCCCTAGTAAATTGTTTCTTGCAAATCCGTAGCCCTATTTGCTCATATTCCATCTCAGCGCATTGTGCATGCTCGTGGGTCAAAGTTCACGTGCGCAACTCGAGTGTGTTCGTGTTTGTGAGTATGGATTTCTATCGTGTATCATGAATTGTGCTGTAGAAAGAGCATTGCCCAGTGGTCGCACTCAAATTCGTCATTCCCACAAGACCGTATTTACTTTAGTGCCTAAAAAGTCGTTCTTCCTTTATCCGTTGTCGAAGCAGAGTCACTGCTTTCAACATAAGCCACGTGTGAAATTTGCCACCACCACTCAGAAAGAAAATCTTAGAATTTGGATCATGCGTGGGGTTTTGCTACAAGGATATTAGTTATCTTACAATCAATATTGGGTGATTTTTAGCTCCATAATTCAACTGATCTCATCCTTAGTTTTTTTTTTTCAGATTCTCGTGTGGCATACAAAAACCAGCGTTCCAAAAATACCAAAGCAGAGGCCACACCAACCTCCAATCGCTGATTTTTTGTAACTATCCTACTTCTTTCTTTCATTAGTACAATCACAAATCAACTAGGCCATTATATATTTTGTAATGAGAGGCAAATGTACATAGTATATTTATTGCATTAGTCGTTGGAAAAGCTGCATAATTTTTAAAACATGAATATGCAAATCTTTAAGAGATTCTACGGATTAAATAAATCCCGCTTTGATTATGTATTTCAAGCTGTCTTTTCCACTGGAAGACAAATATTTATAATCACAGTGCTTACACGACAGTAATTCACTAATGTTTACTCCAATTTGTTAGCCTTTAGAGCATCGGGCATCCTTATGGGTGCATGCGGGGAACGGTTATGTATTACACAGTGTAAAACCGGGTTGTGGGTTATAATGCAGCGGAATCAAGGTTAAATCTCAAAACATGAGAATAATTGCAGGCACTTACGCAAGTCTACACAAATGACTTTAAAAAGCAAAGACCTTATTTTAGATTAAATCGCCTTTCTGGAAGTCACAGGCTTTTCGAATTGGACTTGGTTTACCTAGTGCATCAGTAGGTCGGGGTTGCTACGATTCACCTCGCGTGGGATGGCATAAACGAAGATAATGGAAGGCTGGAGGTGTGCGAATGCTTGTATCGATGGCGCACACGCCGCACCATCATGCACAGTTTATCCATGAAAAACCATAAACAACGACTAATTTTAAGACTACATTAAACTGCCGGAATTTGTCTGCACTGCTTTTTGGTCTCGGTTGCCGAATCACTAAGCTTGATGGTACTGTTCCTAAAAAAATTGGCAGGAGAATAATTTTTATCAGTAAATTCCACGCAATCCCAAAAATAAATATCGCTCTGTTATAAAAACTACGTAGCTGACACCAGATAATACATTTAATGTCCTCGAGATAGAGGGTCGTTCATAGGGATTTAATTTGCGATTTTACTTAACAGCCGCAAGAATCTGTTGATTAATAGCAGAAATCGACTTCCAAAACCTCTCAACGATGACTGGAGTCCTTCTTTTCAGAAAGCAATATTCCGGTAAGAAATTCAATTTGCTTTTCTATTTACCGTAAATTTGGATGTTCAAGCAATGCTACTTTGATCATACCCTTGTAAAGCGATGCAAAAATATCAAATTCAGACAGAACTAAAGCGGATCGGATAGGATATGAAGGTTTAGAACTTGGAAGTCTGCATAAAGAGATATATATTGAATCGAAGTGAAACCAGGAACATGCACTGACCAAGATGCACCCAGTTTTAGGTAAAAAAGGATAAACTTTAAGCAGCATCATAATTCATTGTTTGGAACACTATGCGACCTGAAGTATCACCAAATTTAATCATTATTCAGATGAATCCTTTGAAAGAAAATACGTACTGCGAAGTGCGAGAGACTCATGCCGAGAATCAGTTTGACAAGAGAGGAATGAAGAATTTGGCATTACCGAAATCTATTTGCTTTGTGTGCATAATTGGCGTAGTCATTTCGGCAATAAAACAAAGTAGCCAGGCATCTTTGTAACTACCACAGCTACTCAATGAAAATCCCTACTAGAGTAGATTTACACATCAGGAACCCCTAGACTGAAGTCATGTTATTTCAAACAAAATTAAGATAGCACCCACTTTTCAAATCCCTTGGTGCGAGTGATGAGCATTTATCCATAAACCGATTCAAAGGTCACTTAAATAAACACGTAATGCACGTTATTCGTGTATGAACATAACTGAAGCTGTGATCCAGGTAAAACAGGTCAAATTTACGAATCGTCATGTTCCAATGTATGGCTATAATCAATGATGGTATTTATTTCACATTACAATGAGAGACTTTCGGTCCAGTGACTTAACTAGAAGAAAATTCTTTAAAATAATTATTCATTCCATCCAGATATCGCACCTCGAACTGGTACAACATAGAAAGTAGAATGAAATTGGATCACCATGTCTACCTTTCATGGGAATACAAAAGAGTTTGAACCCAACTAAAAAATCACCAAATCTTGCGATATCGTTGTGTAAAGTGTGAGGACTTTGACGTTTAATAAGCAATATAATGCAAGTTTAAGTAAGATAATTGAACTTATCTAGCACTAATCAAAGTTGAAACTTTGAATAGTTAATAAGTTGTCCTCCCACTTTATTATGATGCATTGCCTCACCTCCTTCCTGTCATTACAATACATTTCTCTTTGCAGAACTTAAAGAAAAGAACAAGTTACTATATTTGGAGATGAGGTTAGTAAGTTTCACTAATTTTGAAACATGAAACCACTTTGCATTTCAAGCATAAAGCGAATGTGTGTAACACGTCCATTCTGTATGGATTCGCGTTACTAGAACACTAAAGGCATATAAATCTCCTATTAGCGATTCGCAGTCTCAGTGGATTCATTCAGTTGAAAAGGGGATTTTTAAGTTTGGGAATGTATTAAATATCAAGACTGCAAATGCTGCTGATTAGCCACCTTGTAACTGGCTCACCTCCGTGCCCTTTTGAAAGGCGATTTAAAGTAATTACCAGCCTGAAACGAATTCACTCTGACTATCCGCTGGGCCATTGGTGTCGGTGCCTCTGCGGCGCCATAGTTTGGTTGGTAACTGTGACCCGACACTCTCTCGTCACGATTAACAGTAAACTTAAAGTGACTGATTACAAACATTAAGTGTGCACGTGTTACAGACAGTCATGTCACGCACTTTACGTGCCTCGAATAAATTCCATCGTCAAATCAAGCACACCTCAGGGATACATTTACATGTCTGCTGATGCATATTTCACCTTGACCGTTTTCTATGCCTTGGGACGGGGCATTATAACCAATATTGAAGTGGACGAAAGAAACATAAATAAAAAGTTGATGTTGCAATCAGATAGGACAAAACAACCACTGATTCCAGAATAAGATAAATGTGCTAGTTACAAACATTCTTTTAGGTAAAAAAACCGTCCTTAATACCTGTTACATTTATTGCACCACTATCGTAAAATTTCACATGCATAGACATTATTAAGGTGATTTTTCTACAAAGATATTGTTTTTAAATTGCTTACTTAAGTAATCATAGACAGATTCTTGGATGTACGACTAGAAGAGAGCATCAGAAGTATTTCTGATAAACCACAAACGCTAGTACCTAGACCATTTATTTAAAGTAGTTAAAGGTTGTTTTTCATTAACATTCAATAACTGACAAATTACCAACAACCAGCATGCTTTACTCTTACTTAAATATAGGAAAGCTAGAAATTAATGACGAAATCGAGAGAATACACGAATTCTATTATTTTCAGTTAAGGCAGCGTAAAGGGCACAGGAATATTTTAAATTGTAGCAGATTTGACGCATTTTTATCCACGCCTGCAAGACTATCCCATGATCGAGGAAATCGTACGGAAGGGAGGAAATGATGAAGAAAAAACACACACTCACCTTCTAAAGAAACCCATATCATGTGTGGCACTTGGTTGGCACAGCTAATTTTAATCAAATAGAAAAGTCATTTAATGTGAAAAGGTAGTATCAATGCTAAAATGTTTTATCGACGTGACAGAAGAGATTCTTAGATCTACATTCCACAAATTTATCACAGCTGTTTGCGTTTTACAAGAATTACTTGTTACGTTATGCAAATTGGACCGCATTAGTTATTATCTGTGTTACTAAGGCCTAATTATATGCAAATTACATAGGGTTTCACGACCCTGAAAGTAAGAAAGAGTGATTGAACCTAGGGTACCTAAAACTTTTGTTTACCAAAAGCGAATATGCTAATCGCGCATTAGTAATTTAATCTGACTATACTGTGCGCCTAATTATAACCTTCGCTTAGTGTGATTCGCATGAAAAGCTCCTAACTTTGTAATTCAAATGTAAAAAGCGGTTGCGTATGGGCAAAATAAAAGTGTGCCTTATTGAATACTCGGTGGTTGATTGACACTTCCTTTTACCAATTCTAAGGTTGCTTAAATTCACATGGTAATATGGACCGATTTGAGAATACAAGAACATTTACGACTACCTTTAAACCAAACGGAAGTTCCATGCGTCATTTATTACCTCCCACGACGCACTCGCACGCAAAAGGAGCTATCATTGAAACACTGCCACGATAGACCTGATCAGATTTGACTGCCTGGAAATGCGGGACAAATGAAGTCACGTACGTGAGTAGTGAGGTAGCGTGTGCCATGGTGCAATCATGAATGGAGCTTTCTTTCTAGTCTCCCGTCTCTTTCGCAACGGTTATGTAGATGTTAATTCTACATTGGAGACCCTCACGCATTACGCTTGTTTTGGTAAATTTTTGATGTTGACATGGTGCAAAGACTATACAAGTGAGAATAAGTTTCTCCAACTGACCCTACAGTGGATGCGAAACACAATTTTTCAAAATTACTTGAAAAAGAAAATTACTCTGAGCCGGGTCTTGGTTAAAGGCATGATATCCAACGACTCTTTAATTCTAAATCAAAAATAGGAACAGTAAATCATTTAGTAAAAAACAACTGTCCCGGTATAATCCTAAAAGAACAAGATTCGCTTCTTCAAACGCTCACATTAAATAAATTTCATTAAGTCTTGTTTATCGACTTACGTCAATGTCTAAAGATGAGGTGGAATCAAACATCCTCAAATGACCGGATGGTGAAAGTACCTGCCGTTATAAACACTCAGATTTGGTCCTACCACAATAGCTACTCACTATTTAGCCTGACAGAAAAGAGGTATGTCTAGACCTAATAAAAACAGAAGTTTAACTATGGCAAGCTCATAGGTTAGTGACCCGCCGAATGCGTGGGTACACGTCTTACGATTTGAGAGGGCATTTCCTTCCTATCAGTATTGATTAAAAAAATCAAAATGCTCTTGGGGCAAAATGCAACCCTTAAACGGGTGTTTGAGTCTTCCCTCAAGAAGTTATGTAATGAATGCCACTGGAGAGAGCATAATTATAAGAGTGGAGAAAGGCCAGTGGGACGGTGTCAGAAGTGGGTTAAAAAGTGTTATATCACCAAGATGATAATCCAAGCTTATGGTGACTGAAATACATAATCAAACTACTTTAAGCAAATGTCACTCGGCTACAATTTGTTGAAATAAAAAGTGGGAAAGAGTGTCCGGTTAGTTAAGAAATAACCCTCAGACGTGTGAAGTTAAACAAAGCTACGATAAATTCTGGTAGAAAAATGAGATTTGAAAGCTATTTTTAAGTGTTTACCAGAAGTTCTCACATTTTATGAAGGTGTTCGCACTTCATCCGCGGTCTCAATGCAGAGTCGAAATTGACAGTTTAGGTAGCATTCACAATGCACTTAAAATATAATGAAAGGGAAGGCGAGATTCTCGTATTGTGAGAGGTTCAGCGTATACTGAACATGCCGATTCTTAACTAACATTATTCAAGGTTGTAAGTTGGTGAGATATGTGAGAAGGGCAAGAAATATGATGGCGGCATTCGCCACAGTATGGAACCGAGCTCACATGTTGCTTGAGGGCGGATTTGAGGTTGGTGCACAATCAACGCACTTTCTTATTTTGTAATGAAGCTGATTTGAAGTAATTTTTTAAGGGGATAAGCTATAGTGGAGTGGGAGAAATGTTCTAATGTGCTTATTTAACGCTTTGTCACTTTTTCTCACGATCGTTAGGCTATACAAGCGTTTTTACTCAACAAACCAAAAGCCGTTTGTCAATTTATTAAAAATGGTTCAGATACTGTAGATAAAATAAGAGAAAAGGGAGATGATTAGAACTAAGATGTGTGTTTCCATTAGAGGGACAACTCTTCGACCACTTCAATGGACGGCTTTTGAACTTTCGGTTCAAGACGCATACCTATGTAAATTCCGCCTTTTTCTGCAACTTTTTGGGCTTAAACTCAAGTATTGCTAGTTAGCTGTGCTCTGACAAGGAAAAATACACGTTAAGCATGGAGTTCTTGGAGCTACATTAAATTTGTTTTGTAGAAAATAAAAGTTAGTTTCGGAGGCTGATTTTTCTTTTAAAAGCCAGTGAGGACATAACGATCTTCTGAGGAAATAGCATTTTTAGAAATGGTCGAAAGTTTACCTAAAGTGTTTTCTATTTGCCACGATTATTAAAAAATGTGGGTTAGGGTTTACTAAAGGATCTGAATTGCTGTTCATCTCCGCACGTCGGTTAAATTCAAGAGCTTGGCAGTTCGGTTATTATTCTTTATGTAGGCTATACGGGCTTTAGCAATTAGCAACCGCGTAAGGTTGGAACATATATGTTTTGGGTTTACAGACTGGTAGCGGCAATTTACACAGTTATGAGGTTCAATTGTCAATCCTCTCAGACTTATATAAATCTCATGTGATCTATTAAACCTCAAAAGCTGTTGAACAATAATCCTCCAGTATGTGGAAGTACACTTTTTGTTGCAAACGACTGGCTAAAGTTAATTCTTCACAAAAATATTAGGCGGGAATTTGACTACGTAGGACCTTTTCGGCATGGCATTGCTCCGTTTTATTGACCCATTGCTCACTGAGAGCAAGTAATCACGTACAGTCAGTCCAGCACAGAATTCAAGATTTCGAGGCGATTAGATCACGCTTCTATTGGGGCGTCAAGCTCCACTTAGTGTTAAGTGCATTCCCAACTACACAGCATATGTCAAAGTAATCTTAACTTCTACATTTATTCATGACACTCCTCAGAAACTGTCAACTTGCAAACTTGTCGAAGTTTGGTCTTTTCCAAAAATCAAACTGGTGCATCAGAGGAGGCATTTGAATTACAATTTTCGATTTTTTATATTGCACCATGCTGTTTATTACGATTCCTTCTAAATTTATTTTTAGGAAAATAAGTCTAACAAGCAATTAAACGCTTACTGCAACTTGGTCTGAGAAAAATACATCGGAAATATGGCCAATGTGGCGGACCCTTTGGCCAGATATATTTGCGGCGAAGGAAGGTGGGTACAATCTAAGTGGCTCCCAATGCATAGGTTGACAACTTAGCATTTCCGTCTGCAAGCCCATACAGCTTCCTATTAGACAACAGTCAACTTTTTCTAATGCAAAAAGAGCCCATTATTCAGACTTTTATCCAAGAATTCTTGTAGCAACTGCACCAACAAATGAATGAAAGCATTTCTTTTTGCATTTGCCTCCTCTATTCGCGCTAAGTGACCAGCCAAAGTGTTATTATAAGAACCATCGACAAGGCATATTTTCGGATTATGTTTTACATCTAAGATTCGCAGTCAGTTTGAAAAGTGAAGAAAAACATTCTTGAGTATATTCTATTGTTCACTCCAGGAAGTGTTAGCATTTATCTCTGGTTTTATGTGACGCTTACATCGCTAGTTGAAGCTTTCAACTTAGAGCTACAATTTTGTCAAGAGAGTGATGAGACATCCAAATTAGGGGAGTAATAAATCCGATCCAAAAGGATCTTACCTCTTAACAGGTGGTTTCTGACAAATTCCTAAATAAAATGGACTACTTTATCTTTGGTCGGAGTGACATTTGTCGTCCAAAATATAAAACAAGTTTTTCAAAGCGTGCACCTTGCTCCTACATTCATTTGGTCTGCGTTGGTGACACGTACTATGCCTTGTTTCATCTTTACTGAAACTCCAGGCAAAATCGAGCCTAACAATTTGCTGCCTTGACATCACACTCCTTTAGCCCTGATTACTTTTCCGCAGCACAGGTCTTAATTTCTTCAAAAGCTTTGGGCCATAATTATTCGAGGCACTAACAGCTTATTTACCGCCTTGTTTGACAGCCATTTAGTAAGACTGCTGATCACCCATAAGAGAGAATCAAATTGCTGCTAAACAAGTAGTCACTGAAAAAGCTTTCACTGCGTAAAGTCGAAACCGCTAGGACCCACCATTTTAACAAAGTTTTTGTTTCAATATTAAAAATCTTAAGGAAGGGTCACGACTCCCGAAAAACTGTTAAAATTAGCAAATATCCAAACTAGTAGTCTCTGAAATTATTCTTTTTCAATTTTTAAGAAAACAGTTAGGTTAATGAAAAATTTCTTTGACAAAAAGGAAGGAAGGCAAATTCAGTAGCATTTACAGAAATGCCCAGTCGGCTGCGGCAAGGCTGACAGATGGAAGCTACGTCGACACTTGACATTGTCTTTACGCACTACCTTGAGCCGGAATCAAATTGAATAAGCCAGTCTTCTTGGGCGAAATATTGGCATCTTCTTAAATTACAGAGTTTGGAAAGGTAATTCTGATTGGGGTCTAGAGTCGACAGAAATAAGTGAAACATCGCAATACCTGAATCGTATGAATGCCATTTTTCTGAAGGCAGGCATTATCGCATGCCGAATGATTCCTGCCTTGTTAGTGCTGTATATCATGATGAAACGCATGAACTAGGGGAAGGCAATTATCACAGGGACTAGTAACCATGCAAGTGTTCCATGGTAATGTGAAGTGTGGTAATGTGGGCCTCCACAAATGATGGATGAAACACGGAAATTTTGAAAATGGTCTCACCACCGAACATCTGTAGTATTGGGCGCCTCGATTGTGTTTATAGTAGGCGAACCTTATTTTCTTCCAATATACTTTTAACTCTGTCAAATAGGTCATCCTGAAATTCGTACCGTTTCTAAATTTTACAGGGCTCCATGGAGGAAGCAGTACAACTAAGCTTTAACTTTAAGAAAAGTGAAATTCAAGGAAAGTCTGTTACCATGCTCTTAATGGGCGCATTCTTTGATTGTGAGCAAGAACTGCACACTTAGTAGCATTAAAGCATATGAAAGGTAAGTTATTACGTCCAACTTGTTCCCATAGACAAGTACGAATATAAAATGTTTAAGAGGAAATGCTAAATCTTTTATCTAAGACTTGAGACTATCTCCTCTTGAACCTCCCCAATTGACGATGAGGGAATTATTCTGACGAATCGAATATATGCTCGAATAATTGCGTCGGTGACATCGGAATAAATAGTTTAAAAAATACCCACAATCAGACCAGCGAATAAAAAAATAATCGACCAGAACAGACCGATTCCTTGCTATCGGAATTGCAAGTTGTTTGAGCAAAATAAGTACAGCAAATGCCTGTCTCTTTTAGCTTAAAACTAAAAATGGAATAGTCAACATAGGTAATTATTGTCCAGGTCACCAAAGTCAATTGCAGCACGGCATCCGCCTTTGTGTATGCAGTCACATCAATCAACCATCTACCTGCACTTGAGACTGGGAAAAAGGCAACTACTTAGGTGGAGCTGGTGGTTTTCAACCAAAAACATGTTACACCTCATATAAGGCAAAAAATCCCGTTCTGATAGTAAAATAAGTGACTATTTGGAGTGTTTGTACCCACTTTCTGGAGTAGAAAGAGGACGTAAAAGAATTGTTTACTCCTTTACTTTAGTTTGGAGCACAACGATTTGAGAAACATCGCAAAACGAAGTTGAGCGGAGTGGTATAAATGAGCTAAGACAAATAGTTTCGAGATGACGCTCCAATTTTTACCTTCGCAAAGTGAACTGTGACTCCTAGCTGCCCGTTATTCTACATTTCCTTTTACATTATGGATCTCTTCTGAATGGTAAGTAACAATGACAAAGCATAGCGCAAGTGGTGGCGGTATTTAAAAGCAACTTAACGTCAGAGCATAAATGGATGTAGAATGAAGTTTCGGTACTAACACAATTCTTGATAATTGATTACATTTTTAACTTTCGGGGCGCATAAGTAGTAAGGGAGTAAGAATGAAGAGGCTACAAGCTTTTGTGAAAGTAGGTTTCACAAAATGCAATACATGCAACAATAAAAATTCCGCACTCAGAAATGCAAGTGTCATGTAGCTCTTTGATACCGATACACCGACAAAACACAGCTATAGTACTTTAGCTTTCGTCCAACCTAATCCTTGAAGCGTTCAAATACCAGCGCTTGCCATGGAGTGCGCTCATAGCGCTGACTCGCTGGTATGCATTTTCTTCAGAATCAGGGGAAGTTGTTTTGACACGCATCTAAAATAGGTCTTGACTAGTAATGGGCTTAAACGTGTCAATGAAACATCTTGCTAAGCAAATAGCATATTTGCTGGACAACATTCAAAGGATGCAAGTGTCTAAAAGTACCATTAAACAGGTTTTAAATCTATCATTTGTGCGTAAGATCATTAAAGTGCTAAGCTACGTGGTGAATAAATAAGCAAATAATCAATCTACCATGGATTAATGAAGCCTGCATTCAAGTAATTCCAAATATCGAATAATCGTAGAATTCCTTGATAAAAGATGAACATGTAAGGCAACGAAGAGCAAATTTTACTCATAAACGTTTTGTAATCTCCATTACTAGGAAAGTAGTTTTAAAACTGCAGCTTCTTCATCCTAGGCGCATCTTGGGGGGGGGGGGGGTAGAGGGGAAGAGGAAGCACCCCTCTCTTCGCTCTAAGCTCTATAAAACAATTTTAGCTCTCTTTCAAGCATACACAGACGGGCTGTCTCGTGGTTCTACGTTAAGAGTAAGTACATACGCACATTAAATTTTCTTGTCCAACTTACCTATTTTTGACTGACGAATTCTTCATTTCACTATCAGGTCTAACTGCGCAAGTCAAAGAATGACCGAGCATAATGATTACAACGGCAAAGCCTATTCTAGGGATGTGTAACGAAAGTTGTAAAACACGGTCGACCCCCGTCCATATAAGGCTATGAGAAGCTATGATCAGTACTGTGCGGAAGTACAGGTGTATTTCAAGGAATTATAAGGGCCAATCCTTATTTAATTAAACCCACTAAAGCATTAAAGACCATACAGCAACAGTAAGCAACCAACTGTGTGCAGTAGTATGTGAAGAAAATTAAGTAA